CAGCATTCAGCTTTATAGATCTTTTTTAAATTCTATTTGACCAGCAGGTAGATACTTGTGACTTCCAGCACTATATACCTTTTTATTTCTATTACTTTGTACAAATTTGTTATTATATTTATCAAATTGGACATAGTATGGCAATAATATGTGGAGATTTTTTTTAGGCAATGATTGACCTTTTTTCCTCATATATAAGTTTAGACTCTATCAACATAAAATAGGATATAGTATGGTATGAATGGTTTTACATTTTTGTTTATTATGAATATAGTCCAGAATTATTCATGTTCTATATTAACTAAATGACGTTATGAATGCAGAACACATGCAGCGACATTAGAACTGATAAACATCAAAATATTACATAATGGCTCTACTATAGTAAAAACTGATGCGGCATTGATATTTTCGTAGAGGTTATGATTTTCCGCGAAAACCTCTACATTTCACCCAGTGACCTGCACTTTGCATACTATTTTTTTAAACGAAGATTTCCACACACATCTAACTCATTTTCCCAAAACAAGACATACTTTGAGAAAATACTGACATATAAATTCCACATCTAAAAAGTAAAGGCTTCTCTGAACAACGAAAATTTACTTAAATGATTGGAAAATCGGAATAGCACCGAAAAATATTGATTGTGTTGAACAATTCTGGAAGGTATGCTATATGTTAAATTGTAAAACCAAAATTGGAAAAATGCGATTTTTAGAAATGTTTTTGTCGGTCTTATTATTACACATATATCACCAAAAAATAATATCAAAATTAACGCAATGAATTCTACGTTAAATGATGAATCTGGAAATTCCCTTAAGTCACGAAATCCTATTTATTGACGCTAATCATCTTTCTGCAAAGTAGATTTCATATATCTGATTAATGGGCTATTTTTAAACTTCACAAGTGATAAAGAAAAAATGAATGGAATTGTTATTTATTGTACTGGAAGTTGTTTTTAGGGCTTTTAGCTGTTTCTCGTTTTATTATTACAGTTTTAGCTATCCGAGCGTGTAATCCGGTTCACTTGCAATATTTCAAATGTTCAAGTAAACATTAAAACGTTAGACAGAAACGATATGGCAAGCGTTAAAGTTGTAATTGTCTATAGCAATAAACAGAGAAATTAGAATCGAATTATGTATTTATATGTTTCTAACGATTTATGGGTGTGTGGCGGGATATTGTGAAAAACTTACGGCAGTGCTGAAGAAAGCGACCCATACGAAGAAACTGTTCTTCGTATGGGTCGGTTCGTATCACATTCGTTGTTAGTTCAAAAGAGCTGACACATGTTTTGTTATCAACGAAATTAATTTTAAATTAATGTCCTCGATATTTTTATTTGTGCTTTTTCTTTGACATCCACTTCTGCATTTTTCTAGTATTTAGAATATAATAATAAAATAAATAATTACAATAACAAATAAAATCAAAATAAACAAATTGTTTCGCAGATATTATGATGTGAATGGATGGATAAGATTGATTATTTTTTGCCTATTTACGCAAATTACACTTTGAAGCTCAGGATTCTCTATTTCAATATTTCCTATAGTTAGTAAATCACCCTGTATAACTATAGAAATGGATTGTTTATATAAGGGACGCATTATAGACGCGTTATAGAGTTAGAACCGTCGACGGTGAATAGCCACATGGTTCCTCGTCAGTTAGAAAAACCCTTGAATTCGGGAGCGTTGATAGTTAAAGCAGCTTTAAGTGAACGATTTAGGGGTGGTCTTATAACACGTGTTTAAGTGTTGTTTTTTCTTTAGCACTTTAAAAATTTGTAAAATATTTGATTAAGTATGTACAAAATTACATAAATAAATTAATGCGAGCAATAAACATTTAGTTGTTTTCAGCTGTTTCGGTTTCATTAATAGTATATTATGCAACAAGTGCGGTAAACGGCATTTGACTCACGAGTTTATTGGATACGAGCGGAGCGACTGTTTAACAAACGAGTTAAAAAATTTACCGAACGTGTTGCATACTATACTTTTTCTACGACCGTTAGTTTTTCCGTACATTTTCGAAAAACACGAATACATTCACTGACATGCGTGGGAAATATCTCGGAAAACATTCGATTCCTCCCAAACCCGGGCGGTAAAATCCCGGAAATGTCCGAAGTGGCTCGGATTCGTGGGAAACGAAACTGACCTGGTCAAGTGACGCTTCCCGCACACTAGAACGGTGCGTAATTAGGTATTTTACAGACGGGAGTCGAAAAAAGTTATTGTTGGTTCGCTTAATCCTAAAAATTATAAAGGCTTACCAGGTTTTTTTTTCTGCCGTTTTTATATAGGGTGTTTCTCAATATGATGCTGATTCCTTAAATTTATAGTAAACATTTTGTTTGATTGGTAGGAAATTTAGTAATCTGTTATTTTGACGGTCGTAGAAAAAGTATAATAGTATGAAACACGTTTGATAGAATTTTCATTTATTAAGCGCGCGCTGCGCTCGCGCCAAAAACAAAACTCGTGACTAAAATCCCGTTTATTAAACTTCTTGCATAATGTGAAAACATGTGTGGTTAAATTGAAATTAAATAATGTATACTCCAATAGTGGCGAGGAGTTTTTTTAAGCTTACATATTCTATAGGAGCGGTCATCAATTAGCAACAAATTATATTTGCAGTCAGAAAGTCTAAAATGTGAAATTCGGTAACCGGCGCGTTAAAGTAAACGCCACATTTTACCACGCCTTGTGTTATGGTTATACCACGAAAAAAAATATACATCCACTGGTATACTTTCGGAGTTTATGTTTTGAGACAAAGAATAGAACCGCTCGATCGGATATTTGCTTTTCCTTCGTCGACGTCATTTTAACGGGGTAGTAAGAAACAATTGGCTTTCCAAACTTGTTACGCAGCGATCGTTGTTGCAATTCGCAATACATCGCATTTCCATTAACCGAAACTCTATTATTATTTGTGTAGGATAAAAAAAAGCAATCGACACTGTTGCGGTCGCTTTCGAGATAAAAAGTAGCGGCACCCCGTCGAACGTGTAATGACATGCGCGGACGAGAGGGGATCGACCGTCGTCATGGCGACGGAGCGCGGGTGCAATGCTGAACGGGCGTGACCTGTATTTTATCTCGCAAATATCGGGTCCGATAGCATTTTGTTTGTTTAAACTTAGGGCACCAGTCAGAGGTTTTTATTATGTGGGGGAGTAAGCGAGATCAATCGTGGAAAGTCAATATAAACAATGATTTACATTGTCCGAAAAGTAATCTATTATGAATTACCATTTTGAATTTTCTAACCCGGTTCATGCAAAAATTTTGTGTATTAGCTATAGTTATGATGACCACTATTTTATTTTGAGACAAATTGAAATCCGTTCTGCCAAAACTCTTTGTTCTATCTCTAAAATAAACGGTGGGCGGTGGAGGGGTAAAGGGTAAAGTTTAAGTCGTTAAGAACTGTTGCAAGTGAGGCGACTGCGATTGCTTATTCAGCCAGCAGATGGCGTTTTCGTATGGCGCAAAAAAAATTACTGAAAAAAATGTTTTTTATGTTTTACATGGTCAAATAAGCACGCAATAACCCGGTGAAATTCTTATATCAGTGTTTTTAACCTAAAATATGAATAAAAGGTCTTAAAACTTAACTTAAAAAGTTGAATTTCGGGAAGCATTTCCACGTAATGGTCTAGTCATCCCGATTTTTTCTGTTAAAACTCTAAATTTATTATTTATAATGCTGAATAATATTTAAAATCAAATTAGCTAACATTATTCATGTCACTTTCCATTTTTAGTTATTTATGTTACCAATTATTTTTTCATTAAAAATTAGGTTTAGTCGACTAAAAAACTAATTTTAATTATTGAATAGTAATTATTATTGAAATATTTAAATAGTAAACTAGTGAGTATTTTTCGTAATTCCAAACATTTTTACTACAACAAACACTAAGCTAACTATTTAAAGCGGTGGGCAATCAAGACTTTGACAAGCATTTATTTTTTAAATGGTTAATATTTTAATCCTTCAGTAGGTTTCACTAAAATTATTTACTCTCCAGCGACTGATTATTGACCGAGTTAATGATTAAACAAAGACAGACAGATAGTGATATCAAAATTTACCGGAATGTCACCTACAGCGCCATTTTGTGCTCTTCGAAGGTATTGCAAAAAAAAGTGATAAACATTTAACATCCTAAAAATTAAATTAGCGTTTTATTTGGTAAATTAGGGATAATCAGACATAAAAGTTAAGGACATTTTCGAAAATTTTCAAACACCTCTCAGCACTCTCCTTTTAGAGATGGAACAGAGGGCATTAAAAAGATAAATTTGCACCACTTAAAACGCATACCTACTCTGACTATATTTAATATAAGGTAATTTTGCAGATACCGTGTTTTCAAAATCCTGCTGGCCATTTCAGAAACTAATAATTTCCAGTATTTTGTCTTGGCCGCTCTATATGTTTAATTATGCTTAAATGAAAAATGTTTCTGAAAAAGTGAACTAAAAGTTAATAAATAATAAATTGACGCAGGTGTTTTTGCTTCTTCCTAAAATATGCCTAATATATCAACGAAAATATTTTATGGGATTTACGCGCCATGTTGCTAGGCAGCTGGAAATATCCAATAACACCATCACGCTAATATAAAACGGCAATTAACTAATGAGCCTATTCAAAAACGCCACAACTGTAATTTCATTATGTTCAACCCTTTATAAATACACATAAATACAGCCCGATGACGTTTTCCTTCGGAAATTACCCTCTCGACTGTATCAGTTAATTTTCACCAGACGCGCACACATGCAAATTTATGTGGCCGATGTATTTTTAGACGTCGAGATATGCGACATATGGCCAACATACGTGGAAGACGATCTCGCGGTCATTAACTACCACTTACTACTCTCACCGACATGTTTGTTTTACCTGATTGAAGCGGCGGTTCCTCGTTTTGTTGTAAACCAGAGGTTTCCCGTTCGTTTCAGAATGTAGACCACAAGATGAAGTATCGCTCCAAGAAGGGGCTGCTACCTTTCATCGAGCTCAACGGCGAAGAGATAGCGGACAGCGCAATCATTATCAAAGAGCTAAGCCAGAAGTTCGGCAACGACCTGGACATAGTGCTTACCACCGAGCAGCGCAATCTGTCCCACGCGACGATCAGCATGATCGAAAATCATCTCTCTTGGGTGGTCATGTGGTATGTCTAACTATATTATATTGCATTGTACTATATTTGAACGCAGCGTACAGTATTATGCAAAATACTATATCTACTATACCTAAAAGACATGTTGAAAACAGGTGGCTATCATTGCGACTCTGTGTTGATTGCATTCCTTTTAATTTTAATAGAATAGAATTGTTGTTTATTTAGCACTTGATTAGTATACACAATTTACAGTGTTACACTATTACAAATAGAAAAATGGAGATAAAATATTAAATACTAACAATGTAACAATTTAAAAATAAGGTCCTTGAATCAGCAAATCAAAAAGACATCATCGAACTTGCAGACGTTTTATCAATCATCCTGTCGGCTTCTTCAGAATTTAACTCATGCTGTTTGGCATTGACGAAGCCAACTGGGAGTTTTATTTCTCACCATTTTTTCGAGGTGTGCTATGTTTTTGTGCCAGTGTGTTATTTAATTCTAAAAATACTTCTTCTGAAAAAAGTTCGCAACCCTAATCGTCCCCTACCGGCTGCGCCACATTTTACGTTTTTCCAGGTGGCGATCCAAGTATCCGGACAGTGTGATTAAAGGATACAAGGTGAACCTTCAACATGCACTGGGCACACGGATACCCAACGGCATCCTCAATTTCTTCTTCAAATTCGCGTACGGAAGAAAGGTAATTAAAATTCCTCTGATATTGTGCAGGTTCCATTTGAATCCGATCAAATTTGAGCTTGTGGTTAGTAGTAGCTCGGCAATAGCTTTCAGGGTAGTGGATTTTAATACAACTTTTACTGAGTTGGTTATTTGTTATTTGACGAATGCGCATGTGTACTTATCGTTGGAAATAGAAACCAATTTTTTATGCATATTTTAAATGTGTGTGAAAATGACTCGAATGTGCTTGCTTAACACGAATCAATTAAAAATAATTCCATACACCTTTCTAAGTATCTAACACTAAATCATTCGTCACACTTATTCATTCTTTTTTCCTTTTGGGTTACTTTGTTGTCATTATCAAGGCAACCATGTTCAATTGTTGAGGTTTTAGTTATATGCCGACCAAAAATAGGATTGTGATTTTTCGCAGTAATATTGGTAAAGATTATGATATCTAGATGTTATGTTATCAATTCATTTGTCAAATAAAGCCCTTTAACTTCGAAAAAACAAAACTTGACAGATACAAAAAATGATAAGAAAAATAAACAATAAAAAACCAACCACAGACATTTAGGTTTGACTAGTTTATTTTACTTTATTTTAAGATTTTAAGACATTGCAAAATTCCCAGAAAGCTGCAGCCAACTTAATAAAAAAAAGTTATTATGAATGATAAAGATTCTCACCCTGTTAGCGATAAAATGTGTTGTACCGAGTGGCCCTTTATTACGGGATGACACCTAATCTAAAAACTTATAAAAATATAAGAAAAAAACTAAAAACCTGTTTGGATTTACTTATACCCTTAAAACGTTATATTGTTATCTATACGGAATGTTTGCATTTTTTACTTATTCCTATAACTCAGTCTTACCGTTTCTGGAATATGTTGAAACATATGTCACAAGTGACGTGTGAAGGTCCGAATATGTCTATCAATTTCTTCAACCGAAAACATTTGTTATATATTTAGAGTTGGTTTCCTTAAGTGATCTGTGTTGAAATTTTAAAAATATGACTTGAAAAATGTTTGAAAAATATCGAGCGCTACAGCACTATTTTAACTTTCAGTTTGGAAATCAATGTTTGAATGAAATATTCGCATCTCTATACAAGTTTTTTCTTAAAACATACAACGAGAAAACAAATATTTTCTATTGCTAGTTATTTTTTTATTTGCATTTATTTATTCCGGAAAGTATCATCACAGACCACTGAACGAAATTCCGTTTCCCCTATAAGGAAGTCACCTCCAAATATATAACAAAGACTTTCAGTCGGAGAAATCGATACTTATATATAAGCGTGCAAATGTCACTTGGCTTAAAATTCAAAATATGTCAGAAACGCCTTAATATGCAGGGTGTTCTATTTAAAATAAAATAATAAAAAAAATACAAATACGTATTTAATGATATATTTCCAAGTTACAAGTGCATCCAAAGAATTTTGTCTTTATTCTTTGATATTTTTTATAGACGCTGAGTTGATCTAATAAAGTTTGGTCAAACAGGTGTGTCTGCTGCTATTAATGTGGTTTTAATATGTTTGGAATTAACGATTCCATATTTATTAATTTTAATTAATGCGCCAAAAATTATGAAGTGGAGGCCCACGATTTTCCTTTCCGAATTTCAGCATGACGCGCACGTTCACGTCAGCAAAACACTCTCATACCTAGAAAGCATGTTTTTTCCAGTGTTGTGTCCAGTAGTGGTGTTTTAATTTAGCATTGACCATTTAGTGGTTCCAGGGAGCGAAGAAAGTGAAAGCCCAAGGCATGGGCGTCCACTCGCCCGAAGAGATCAACGAGTTCGGTCAGGAGGACTTGAAGGTGCTTTCGGAAATGATCGCCGACAAGCCCTTCTTCTTCGGCGACGAACCGACGAACGTAAGCCCTCCAAACTCCCATCCACCGTCGCACCAGATTTACTAAACTCGTTTCTCCGCGCAGCTCGACGTCGTCGCTTTCGCTCATCTCGCGCAGATCTACTTCGTCGACAAGGAGGTCCAGTACACGCTGCGCGATTTCATGGTCGAGTCGTGCCCGAACTTGGTCGGCCACGTCAACCGCATGAAGGAGCGCTGCTTCCCCGACTGGGACGACATCTGCAACACGCTCGATCTCAACTCCCACCTGCCGAAACCGGCGCCCGAAGAAGCGAAGGACAACAAAGAGGCGGCCAAAGACGAGAAGGAGAGCGGCGACAAGGAGAAGGAACCGGAAGACAAGGACATCGAGAAGGAGAAGGTGAGTTGGGATCAATCGACTTGTTTCCATTTTGTTTACATTTCACTAAGATTTTGGGCATTTTCCATCAGTTGTGTTTGTCTCAATCTTCATCGTGTTGGCTTTCGAAAGACCCTCCCCATTAAAACTTTAACGATATTGTTAACTACTGTTAAAGTCTGTTTATAGATATAAGAAACTGACTAACTGATACGCAGTAAGGAACGACCCGGGCAAGCTGTAAGAATGAAATATGGCCGAACAAGTCCGTACTTTCCTTAGAATTTAATTATTTGGGGTTTTGTTTAAATCTAAAATAGAATTACAAATTATTTTTATTACCTACTTTAATTACTTAAAATTATTCACATAATGTATCCGTATTACGATCGCTATCATCGCCTGTTCTAATTATTATTTGCAATATGGATATAATATTGTTCTAGTTTTTCTATATGTTTAACAGAATTTGCCCAACTTTGTGGAGGGATGTTAAAAACTTTGGTTTCTATAAATTTGAGGACATTGGAGTTAAAACGGGGAAACCATTATTACGACGAATGGCAGATTTCATTTGGTGCCAAACATGTTCAATGGGATTTAAACTGTATGCCCTAGATTTTTTGCATAATTATCACCGACGTATTCCTTTTGTACGCTCACGCTTTAAATAATATAAATGTTATTTTACATGTAGTTTTGGATTGTTGTTTTGTGTCACATGAGGAAGGGGTTTTAGTCAAGTGTCTACTGTGATAACTTGCATTGTCCATTACATTGACGCTATTATGAGGAATGTTTTGTCTTCATGGTAATAGAGAGAAGAATCTTGAATATTTTTCGCAGACAGAGAAAGTCCATTTGGAATCCAACCATCTTTAGAGCCAGCATGCAAAATAGTTATTCTTTTACCTCTTTTTGATGGCGCGTTTGTTTTACACTTATCAGTTCAGTCAACACAACCCTTTTCCGGGGTAACATAAGTGTCGAACCAGGTTTTATCCAAGTAAATAATTGGCCTTTGTTGTTCTCTGTAAATTCTAATTTTTTCTAGATATTCCAGTGGCCATTTCCGAATTCTAAAAGATTCCGTTAAAACTTGCCTTTGGTCAATTTGTTTAAATCCAAAACCCCGTGTGTTGAATACGCTTCCATAAGGTAGTTCTGCCACATGTAACACCGGTTTCATCTTTTTGAAGCCTCCTAATTAAAATATCTAATACAGGGACGCTTTGTTCCTCATATAACTGGTAAATTTTACGCGGTATTATATCTTGATCACTTTCATCTATACTCGAGAAAATGTCACCATCGCTTCTTTTTTTGCTGATGCTATGGTACCACGTTCAATGAGAGTCAAATAAACGTTGTTTATAACTTCCTTAGTCTCAATAGAATAGTGTTTTCTACATTTGGGCGGGAGCAGGTAATACTCTTGTTGCATTGTATAGTATAGTACCCTTGGATAATCCATTCAAAAGCATTTGGTCAGTTTCTTATATCTATGAACAAACCATATATTTCTTTCGTTCTGATATATTTCTTGAGTGTTGACCATTTGTGGCAGTGTATGTATGTATGAAATTTTAATGGGTAGAGGACTTATTCAACAAGAAGTTTTAACAGAAACCTGTCTATTTACAAAAACGCCAATATCGTCGATAAGGGATATTATTAATAGTGGAGAATTGAAGAAAAGGAACAAACGTAGCAAAGTTGTTCCTACCTTGGATAAACTGAAAAAGAAACTAGAAAAAGATGAAACCAATATAAATATAAGCCGTGCCACCCTCCATAGCGTTGTTTGTAAAATGGAATGTGAGTATCGCAAAATAAACCATGGAATGATAATGGAATCACACAAATTGCGCACTTGGAAATTTAATTACCTTCAAGAAATTAAAAGAAACAGATTAGATAACAGATCCATAATTTAGCTCGATGAAACATGGTATCAAAACTGTCATACGAAAGCACCTTCTAATAAAGGAAAAGGCATCACCATAATGCACGCTGATTCAGAACACGGATTTATCGCAAACTGCTTGCTGTTGTCTGCAAGGAATATTAAGGATTCTAGCTTGGGTTACCATGAGGATACAAATGCCGAACTTTCTGAAAATTAATTTTCAAAACAATCTTTTAAAAAATATTCCCAGTAGCAGTGTTATTTTCATGGATAACGCAAGCTGCCACCAGTTACGCAAAACACCAACCTCAAGTTCGAAAACTGAGATCCAAGAATATTTATTATAAAATGATATTTATTTTGAATTCAGTTACAAAAAAGGGCAACTTTTGGAAGTCCTGAATTCATATGCAATTAAAATGTATGCGATAATTTGACCGAACAAGCTGGAAATACTGTTTTAAGTCTTCCTCCATATCACTGCATGTTTAACCCCATAGGGCATTTGCGGAACCAAGTTAAATCAAATTCAGAGCAGGAAATGTTACTCCCACTTTTAAGTCCCAGTGTTATAAATTTGATAAAAAATGTAATTAATACCATACCAATCGAGAGCATACAAAGGACATAAATCCTATTATAAATAATCTCAATTAGACATTTAGAATAAAAATGTAATATCCTAGCTATGAATTTATTGTATGTATTTAATGTCATTGTTTTTTCTTAGTGTAATTTAATAAGATTATATCCTCCTAAATAAGCAAAACAGTATATATATTATTACCAAAACCTTTGAGAATCCACCCCTAATGTTCTGTACTTTAATACCTACCGGACCATAGTTTTATTGCCGTCGGCAGGTAACTTCCATAATTGCGGACAAAAGCCAATACGATGAAGATTAAGACACTTTTCTATACTATATGAACATGTTTAAATAACTAAAATTATCTTTTTTTATTCTATGTTAATGTTAACTTGTTGAGTTAAGTTTAGAGCCTGGCTGGATAGTATATGAACTGATGTGTTGATAAAAAATATTTTTTGAATAAAAAAAAACCATGAATGTTGGCTCTTTTTTATATTATCCATCGAGTCTACAACCTGTGTAAATTTTACCGGCAAACTACAAACCACAAGAAAAGTATACAAATTGGCTTTAGTTTATTGGCTTTTATGACATTGGCTTATATGATATTGTTATTATTATTTAAACATTAGTAAAAAAAGTAAAGTGACGACCACGCTGATGCCTTTAATGGCATCATTAAATTCATGATCATAAAAAATCATAAAATTAACTCATAATTTTTTATGTGATATTACGTGTGATGATTTCATTCTCAGTAAATCACATATATGTATCACACTAAACTTGTTTCTACTGTCAGGTCCACTGCCCCGTATTCCCTTTGAACGTTGCAAAAGGTGACTGTAATCACTGTCATTCGTCAATAGCAACACCAAATATTAAATATAACCTGTACTTTTCTAAAGAACAAACCAACGGGAATAGGTTAGTATATTAACTGCGTAGTTATTTTTCTTATATATATTACTAGGAATGCTTGTGGTTTATACTTTGGGCGTAAATCTTGTATAGTTGTATATTTGGATACTATTCAAGCTAAGCAATATTCCCAGAAATGTGATTTTCTATTAAACAGATATTTGAATAGTTTATTTATTATCCAGTTGGTTTATAAACTAGCCACGTTAACATTTTAAATTTAACTTTGCAAAGCACAAATGTGTGAGCCACATAATTAATATAGTCCTATAAAAAAAACAATATTCGGTTGTCAAGGTTAGCAAAGAAGTCTCATTTATTTGGGGCTTATAATTATTTATAGTCACACTCTTCCAGGATGTTTCACCAAAACAGATAATTAACAAAATTTTAAAAGCAAAATACACAAGTGTCTGGTAACTAATTATTTTTATGTAGGTGAGTTTTTGTATGTAAATTAACTAAGGTATAAAATACTTTTGAATATCTTGCACTTGCTTTTTTCTCTATCATTCTATTGAATTGCCTATAGAATTAAATAAAAGACCATGCATATTAGCAATAGCTAAAAATACTTAAGGTATCACATGCAGAATAAAAATCTTGAAACTGGTTGCTTAACACATAAGAAGAACCTAGATTTTAAAAAAAATTGTAACTGAATTCATTTCGCAGGCGGACGAGAAAGAAAAGGACAAGGCAAAAGAGAAGGAACAGGAGGAGAACAAGGAAAAGGAGGCCAAGTAAACCTCACTGTGGAGGCGCTCTGTCCTTTATCCACCTCCCCACTCCCGACCCTTCTCCTTTCATATTTTTGTTTTTACTTAAACATTCATCTAAACAAATATGTCTCTATGTCTGATTATGTGCAACGTTTAGTTTTTAAGTGTCAGCATATACCATTTCACTGGAAGGTACCCGGTTTTCGATTAGAAAAAAATACTCCCCGACGGCAAAGTATATAGGACGGTTTTTATCGACAAGAAAATTGATTATATAACTGCTAGTTATGCATACTATTAATTATTGTTTGTATAAATACTTTTAGCTAGTTTTTTTTATGTAAGCGCATGTATGGTCCTCCTGCCCCACGAACTTTGTAAGGCCCAAGTCCCTCCCATTGCGTTTACGTGAGAAAAGCGTTGAAAAAAGTTCCCCCAGCCCCTCCCAAATCACTAAGGGCCGTACAAAGTTTATACATGTTAGTGCAGTCTTTATAATATATGTACGAGAAAATATAAATAACCGAGTTTAATAGCGCATTGTATTCATGATGATATCCATTCCACGTTTTTTAATGTTGCATTTATCGTTTCTCGTTTCGACCTCGCGACTCGGCCGAAACTTGAGCACCGACCTTTCCACCCCCGACCCGCACAAAAACTGTCGGCGCGCGCGCGCGCGAGCCCGAGGACGAAACGGAAAGCTCCGGATCGGAAAAGTAGCGAGTAAAAAGAAAAAAAGTAAAAAATCGAACCTCATTTTCATTGTGTGTAGACTTTTGTATTTTTTCTAAATCCGACCGCCAATCTCTCTCCGCGAGAACTTTCGGACCACTTTAAATTTGTACCGACCGACAATTTCGTAATAATGGAAAAATTAAAAACGCTCAACAGGTAGACTAGCGTGTCCTTAGTTTTTTTTACTGTCATAGGTTTAAAATAAAATGTGTTTAATGCTATATATTTAAATAAATAAGTTCATATTTTAAGTTTTAAACGAAAGTTTCATTTGTCACGTCTATTCCAAACGGTTTTGACCTATGGCACTCGGTTGCTATATTTCTTCGGTTTTACCACGAAATTGTATAAAACGACGTTAAAATTGTGGTTATTTAACACTGCCTGCATCATAATGAAAATAAAGAGTTTCACAGTGGGTTAAGTAAAACAACAAAATTTTATTTATATTTTATATTTTAACAAAAATTCAAATTGGATATAAACCGGTACTTGTATTGTATTTTGATATTGGTTTATTTTTTTATTAGAACAACATATCCAGTTCTCTATAAAACTGTGTTGTTTAAATACTTTTTTATTTATGTAATGATGAAAATAGAATTGCCAACCTTAGTGTTGAACTTCTTAAAACTAAACAAAATAACTTTAAGTGGGCAATACAATTCGTAACTTCTAAACTAAACTCAACAAATTGAAAAAGGTAAGTTACTTTGAACACTCCTTTGTACAATTACATGAAATTTAAGAAAATATGTGGTTGGCAGCTTTATGTACCTTTAATGATATTCAGAAATTCAATAGTGCACAGGAAGGGGTTATATTCTAGTCGAAAATAATGCCGCGCGTTTCAAGGCACTCTAACCGAGGAAAAAATATGATTCGCTCTCGGCTATACTTGACTGCTGTGGTTATTCGCCCATTTTCCGAGGATTTTTCTTTCGGTTACAGACCAACACGTAAAGAAAAAATATAACCACCATTAACCTAGCAAAAAACGATTTTAATCGATACCAAAAAAAAAAAGGCTTCCCCTCGCTTCTGACGTGAACTATACGGCCTGCAAGCAGCGTGAACATCAAAAACACTCGAAAGGATAGAGGCAGATAAGTTGTCGTCGAGATGGATGGCTAACCTACCTGAAACCGAACATCTCTATTTGTCTGATGTCGCCGGTTATACTGCATAAATCCCCGTCTATGCGATCTATGTTGTCGGATGTCGGTAATCGGCGAGTGTTTTTAGCAAAGTTACCCATAATGGAAAATAAATTAAGAAGAAATCATCAATCATAGCCTACTTTGTAATTCGTAGTATTCTGTGCATATGGTAGTTGACTTTCAGAATATTGGTGAGGGACAAATATTCATAAATCGCATTTTTTAAATTGCAAAATCGTCAGGTCTAATTAACTAAATGGATTCCGTAGCAAATTCCGTTGCAGTTTACGCGTAACCTGTTAATTCGAAACCTACCTACGAGATGGAGCCACCGCGCCGTTAAGTTGTTTCCTAACACTTTCAAAACGACTATGCGATAATGCCAATTTGCCTAAACATACGTACCCCGTTCTACGCTTTACAATCACCAATCGCGGCGCTTAAAATCATTTCTTTGACGAGCGTTTATTTATAGCAAACCGTCGATACTTTTCGAAATCGAATCAACAAACAATTGAAGCGGTTTTGCGCATTAAGAGGGCGGTCAAATCTGAACATTTCGCGCCTCGTATGTACCGACCGCGGCCGAATCGTCGCGTTTAGTCCGTTTTTGCCCGTTAGAGGTGGTGGCAGCGTGCTCCGAGCTCTCTCGTCCGTGATCTCACAAGCGTGGTGCGATGGCGGCGTTCCGTTACACGCACGCTGTGGTCAGTCGCATTCCGTCGTCGCTAGCAACGCGGGGCGAAATCGACCTAGACGAAGCTAAGAAACAGCACGAAAACTACGTGAGGCTGCTCAGGGAACTCGGCCTCGACGTGATCGAGCTACCACCCGATGAAACGCTCCCCGAATGCGTTTTCGTCGAGGACTGTGCCGTCATTTGCAACGGGGCCGCTCTGATCACGAGACCGGGAGCCCAGCACCGAGTCAAAGAAGTATGTCGATGTTAATGGGGAAGGAAACAAAAAAAGGAGATCCTGAATATATAATATGTCGCGTTAACAGAAACAATTTATCAAATTGCCGCCCCCAATTGTTGAATTGATTAGATTAAATTGGATTACAAACAGCCAGCTTCACAATTTAGTGCCCGCTGTGCGAGTGGTAAATGTAGGTCAGTTGGCGCGGATAATAAAATCGGATTTCGTGAATTCGGAATCACGCACCCGCGGAACTGGTGACATTTACGTTCGACCGGGTCGATTTATAATTAATTGTTAAATTAGGACGAACTTCATATGAATGAGATGCGTTACAGCATTTCTGCGCTCGACCGATTTAAATGTCGCAGCGACTACAATAAAGTTGAATTTAATCGTTTATCGGTTAAACACGGGATATCGGGTATGCAGAATCATATGTTTTGGTTAGTTTTAAATAAGTTGGTTTTGGGCACAGGGTTATTCACAAATGGACCCACCAAATTAAACCTGATATTTCGCGAATTTTAAAATAAACAGGATGGTCCTAATTATAATACAGAAATTTTAATATCGTATTTGGCAGATAGAAATAAGTTAAAAAGTTCGTGTAAAAAATATTTCATTTCGGAAAAGTGGCGCGCCAACGGTTTATCGCAATTTTGTTAATAAATTTAGATACTTTTCAATTTTAAACTAAAATGGTGGAAAACGAACCGTTTTCGAGAAAAATAAATTATACCAATATATTATATGCTAACGCCACTGACTAAATAAATGTAAGTCTATCTATATTGTAAATTTGTGTATTTGTATGTTTAAATTTGTAATTTAAGTAAGTTTGAAAGTAAAATGTAGAGATTTTTTATTTTCAACCCCCGAAAAGAAGCATTTTAGAAAATAGGTTTATTTAAACTTTTTTGCTTATTTTTGTGTGCTGAATACGCTGTTAAAGTTTCCCCATTATAATTGGGACATCCCTGTATGTGAACCGACACTAAGACGTTGCCCCAGTGTTCCCACCAAATCTAAATTTTATGGTTTTGCCTTCCATTATGTACCAAAATCTCAGTACACAAAAACTAAGTTGTTTCTAAATGTCAAGTTACGGCATTTCGCCGTCGCCCAAAACTTTTGAGTGACCGAATCCTATATACGTATGTCATTCCAGGCGGAGACGATTAGGGTGGTGCTCAAAAAAGAACTGGACATTCCGATCATCGAGATGTCCGACGACAAAGCAAGACTCGACGGCGGGGATGTCCTTTTTACAGGTAGCCCAAAGTAAAAAATAACACCGCGCCTGTGATGTTATTAATTAATATAATTTTTCCCCTCATTTCAATTAGGCAGAGAATTTTTTGTCGGATTATCCCGCTGGACCAATGAGGCGGGAGCACGGGCAGTGGCTGCCGCTTTCCCTGAGTACCCGTGTACCCCCATCAAGGTAAACTCTATGCCTGTTAAAATGTAGGCTGAGCAATATTATAATTAATAGTACTAGTAAAAATCGACAAAACAATTAAAGTTTGACAGCATATTTTTTAACACCCTATATGATTATTGATATAATTCTTATATAGCAAGTAAGTATAATAATTAGGTCACAGAATAAAACCATTTGACACTTACTGTCGGTCAAAAAAGTCTCCGTACACATAGTATTTTTTCAGTTTTTGTTTTAGTTTCTTATTTTACTTACATTTAACGAGAAATATATTTCAAGTAAATATCGGCAATCTCATTAAGATTAATAAAAATAAAATAAAAATCGTTTGAAACACGTAATTTAAACGATAAAAAATAAGGCAGTTTAAGAAGCAAGAAACTATGTCAAATAAGCCTCCGTACACCATTATTTCTTATGATAAATTGAAAAGTTTCTTAAAGATATTTTGTACAATTGCCATTTGCTTTAATAATGGCATTAAATCTTTTTGGAAATCTTAAAACAAGCTTTTTTTAACTTCTGGCGATGTGTTTTCCTCCTCTTCTCTAATCTTATTTTTGAGGTCTTCTTTACTCGTAACTTGCTATTTTTTCACTTGTCGCTTTAATTCATCCCACAGGGTTAACATCCGGAGATTGTGGTGGTGTATGAAGTTGTTGGCGGACATTATGAATCAATCAGTGACATACAAGCGTAACAGTTTCTTTAGGATCGTTGTCCTGTTGGAATAAATAACGCCCCTCAAGGTTAAGTTTTTCAACACTTTGGTTTAAATTATTCTTTAGGATGTTCAAATAGCCATGTGCCTGTCCCAATAAAACATTACCTCTACCATGCTTCACAGTCGGACAGACATTTTCGATTTTCAGAGCTGTATTTTTTTTCCTCCAAAATTTATCCCGGCCATCTGACCCAAAAAGATTAATTTTTGTTTCTTCACTAAAGATAACGTTTTCCCAAAATTCCCTGGTTTTGTTAATGTGTTCTCGAGCAAATTCCAAACGTTTTTTTCGATTTTTTTCCGAAATTAATATTTTCCTTTTGGCAACGCGGCCGTTTTAACCTGCTCGATGCAAGCAGTTTCTAATCGTATGAGGGCTAACATTTTTTGAGAACACTTCCCTGATTTCCTCTGCCATTTTCGGAGCGCTTTTTTTAGAATTAATTATTTTGTTTTTTTTTTTTGTTTTTTTTTTTTTCACAACAGAAAAGTCTTCTCGTAGAGTTAACTTCCTGGGACGACCAGGACGTTGCCGCACTTTATAAGATTCGGTGGATTTGTATTGATTTATTACATAATGTTACATACAGTTGAATGCGCTTTTTTTCATTACTTTACCAATGTAAAGGATTTTTTTCTGTTTCCATAAATCTACTATAAATTTTCGAAGCGCAATTGGAATTTCGTAATTTTTAGCGCTCATTTTGCTTTTACTTCAAAACTACTGACTTAAAGTGACGTCAAAAATAAACAAGTATAACTCATTTGTTTAAGCTGACTTGATAAAATATTGATAATTAACGGTTTTGCCTGCAATTCTGGAGAGTGATTTATTAAAATGTATGACGGTTCAAATAAAATGTCTCAAATGATTTTTGTTTTATTTTTATTATTCTTAATGAGATGGCCGATATTTACTTGAAATATATTTCTCCTTAAATGTAATTGAACAAAGAAACTTAAAGAAAACTGAAAAAATACTATGTGTACGGAGACTTTATATTTACTATCACATAACATAACTTAAAGCAGGTAGCGCTTTTGCGAATACATATTTGAATTTTCATTTTTTTTTCTCAAAAATCCGTAAAAGAATTAAATATTTTAAACACTTTACACTCAATTTTTCAAAGAAAGTTTCACGGGCTACTGTAATACTTTTTACAAAACTTCTGGATTCCTCCTGCGTCAGTTTTTGCTGAGTCAGTTTCAGTCAAGCTCTGAAGAAGCCAGCAGGATGATTGGCGAAACGTCAGCAAGTTAGATTCGGCAAAAACCGACGCAGCAGGAATCCAGAAGTTTTGTAAAAAGTAATATGGCAGTTGTTATACGTTCATATATATTGTAAGGTTCCCGAGCCGAAACACCTGAAATCCTACGTCACGGTTGGCGGTCCCGACCTCCTCTGTGTAGGCGTGGGTAGGGAATGCCAAGAGGTGCTCAAAAGAATGGAAAGAGAGGCCACCTTCAGTTACCAAACACTCACCCTTCCCGAAGACGAGGCTGCTAACGTGTTGTACCTGAATGAAACGCTGGTGCATAGGTCTATTGACGAAATACCGTTGTCGTTTAAGGTACGCAAGTTTATCACTCGCAAAAAGCAATTAATTGAAATTTAATCAATTTAAAGCCAAAACACGCACACTGGATATCATTTACGTTTTATCCTTTTAAGGTGTTTGACGAAAAAATAGATTACCCGAAACGGTCGGTGAATATATGCCAACTTGCCCATCTATCCTGCGGATTGACGTCGAGCTGTTTGTTGATCCGAAGGACTCGCCACATACGAAACTTGTAAGACCGGTGCGTGTGTAGCAGATTCTTGCCACCTTCAAAGTCTTCATTCCTTGCCGTCGACTCGCCCTGACCCCCCCCCCCCCACCCTGACATGCGCAGTTTATTATATTGATTATTTCCATGACAAAACAAAAATTATCAATTGAAATTAAAAAAGAAGTGGCCTTCATTGCAGTACAATGTTGTAGTACATGCATTACCAGAGAGTAAAATATCAAACAGTAGAGACTATTGCAGAATTTAAACAACTGTTCTATTGTCGCGATCTAAGACCTAACATAAAAAATGTTCAACATGTTAGTGTAGGGTGTGTGTAGGTTCTTTCGTTTGAAACGTACCAAGTACCGTCTGCTTGTTGTATACAATACTAACTTCTCATGTTGCAATTTGACGTTGCTAGTTGCTGCAGTTTGTTGCATAAGTCATAGATACGCGAGAATTACAAGCTTTTGATCGACCTCTCAAAAATAACTTCGCAAGTTAGTATATATAAAAACCAACATTACTTCACTCTGTGCTGTTGGATTATCGAGGATCCCATCCAGATAAACATCATAAAATACGAAGAAATTAATATTTACATAATTCTTAAAAATTGATTTTCCTAACTCCACTTTTAGTGCAGCAACTTCTCGCATGAAATTAGAACAAATTCTACTTTGACGCTGCTCCGTTCCATGCAATCATATAGCTATAAGATAATATAATGTCATTACTACCGACAGGTGGCTATTTTCAGTCGAGAAGGTATTACACGAAATATAAGAAAGCAATTAAGCTACAATTTTTACTAGAATAAGCATAACACATATCCCTTGTCAATTATTGTCTATAGGAGGCGCTTCTTGAGCATTTTTTCACCTAGATGTTTCATGTGCGATATCTCAATGTTATTTCAATGGAGGTTGAACCTATGAGTTTATTAAAACTAACGCTTTACGCGGATTTACAAAAAAAAATAACTTACTTAAAAAAATATGTAAGTGCAGAAATTGCATCGTATCTAGACGGCTTCATGGACATAAGCTCCAAACTAATTACATAATCATACTGACGCCAACGTGGGTGATGCAATTCTGCACTGCTTTTCCAGACCTTAACTCCTTTTTTGGCTGAAAATTTAATAGGGTTTCGACATATTTTGAGAAAATAATGCTGTAAAAATGCCGCATCCAAACGTCGACGATCTGTCAGCGGCCATGTTGTTTGTTCAAAGCCGCAAGGTCTTATGGGTCCTACGTCATAATTTATCATTAGAGCTACCATTGGTTATAAACCAAATTTTTAATCTCGCTCATACGCACGTTGAATGGACCTTCTCAAAAAATTACATAGTTGCTTCTTGAGTTCGTGTACTGTCAGCATAGACAGGACCTCTATGTGTCTGTAGCTATATGCATGCATTTATTGGTTCAAATTACTCTACTTACTGACGTAATTCTTACTGAAATCATTTAAATATTATTGATGAAACAATACTTCTTTAAATATTTGTAAGAAATAAAGTTTATAATAATTTCAATTAAATAATATTTAAACCTTTCTAACCTTTTAATAGTATATTATACAACGTTTTGTAGACGCCTCTTTAGTCACGTGTTTGTTTTGGCAGCGAACACAGCCCAGCAAGTGTTTCAATAAACGAACTTGTATGACAAAGAGAGGAATACCCATTCCTGTTCGTCTCCCTCAAAATAATAAAATCCACACCGTAACCGAAACCATTAGAGTTTAGGTCGACTTTTTTGCCGTAAAGTTACAAATCTTGTAGCCTCTTGTTGGTTTTTTACTATCTGGTGCGTAAACCAAAATCTTCGTTTCTGTTGGCCACACAGATACATTGGGGCATAGCAGCTGTGGAATGGTTTTCGGTGAGAGTATCGGGTTTTGATTCTGCCATTTTTGTTCTAAATTTAATGAACGTCATTGGACCAAATATCCGTGCGAAATTTTAACTATTTAAAGTGCAAACTGTATAACGCACTGAAAAAATCGTAAAAGTGCATATTTTGCAAAAATGAAAAGCCTTATTCGCCACTCTTAGTTGTAAAAGATATTCCACATATACAATTTGAGATTAACTATTTTATTGTTAGAGGCTGTATAGGTAAGACAAAGTTATTAAATGGAACTCTAGTTATTTTCTAATAATTACCTCGTAAAGGGGTAGTTATTTTTTACTTACCGGTCGACTCTGATATTTATAACGCTGCCACGCAAGCGCAAAAGATTTGTTTTTATTGATCTGTGCATAATACCGATATGTGATTGTTTGTAAACATAGTTTTTATTTTTAGATTTACTCAACTATACCCATTCCACGAAAAGTATTATAGTTTGCTTGTAGATATAATTTTTGTTAAATCGAATATTTTTTCTTAAACTAACTCTTAGAAAAGTTTGAGACCTAAAAATCAAATGAACTACATATAAAATGTTAAAACAGACCAGTTAAAATAAGGTTATCAAATAACGCACAAGCTCCTTAGTTGTTTTGTAAATCGACGTTTACCTAATCCGAGCTCATTTATGATGAATAATCATAAACCAAAATGTTGTAATATAAATACAAATCAAGATTGTTGCCAAGTTCTGTCAATAAAAAGTGTATTAAAAACTGCTTTTTTATTTTTTAGTAAAAACTTAGCTCGTGAACCGATCGAAATCGAACCGAAATCGTTTAGTGTAATTTTAGAGCGGAAAAATATCGATAAAAAATTATTTTAAGCCGTCCGTTTTCTTTGAATGAAAACTACACTTTATAATGCAATGGTCTTTATTTAAATAAAGATGAATACAATGATATTTCGACATGTTATATAATGTAAATGCTGTAAAAACACTGACGATGCAGCAAAACTCCCACAAAATTACTTCTTGGGCTCGGTCAACCTCGCCGGCTCCCCGGTATGCGTGATCGGGATATGCTTGTGCCCTGAATCTATGGCGCCCATGAACGGAGCTGTAATGGTGAGCACCCCATCAGATGACAACTTGGACTCGACCCTGTCCATATGACAAGTCTTCGGCAGCACGTATCTCCTCACAAAGTGCCTGTAAATGAAACCGTGTTCGTCTTCTTTCTCTTCGTGCTTGCCTTCGATGGTTAGGACGTTGTCAGCGTTTAACTTCACAGTGATCTCCTCCGGCTTGAATTGTTGTACGTCGAGGGTGGCTCGAAATTCATCTTTGCCGATGGAAAGAGTAGAACCGATGTCTTGACTGGAAGCGTTCGGACGCCAGTCACGCAGGTATCCCGCGGGAGTTCTGGACAAAATACGGTGGTTCGACGTTACCGGTTGCAGAAAATCGTCGGGGTGAAGTCCCAGACCGAAGTGCTGATCCAATAATCGGGACGGACGGTTATGATGATGATGATGACCGAAAAAATGAGGCAACGAAAGAGCCATCTTAACACTCGCCGGTATCAAACAACAGTTTTCGAAAAAGTAACGCCGGCGTTTTGTCCTGAATTCCTTTTATACATACGCCGAAGGTCCCCCGATGGTAGTCGACGCGTCCATTCGGTTCACGAACTTCCAGAATTGTCAGTCTCGTACTAGTCTCGCGTTACAACGTTGCCATACCCAACAACCCTAATTATAGGATTTTTCAGAACAATTTATTACGATACGAAATCAATGTAAAAACTTGCGGGGTCACTAGTTTTAATTTATTTTATTGCAAAAGAACAAAAGCAACTCATAGATATGCTATAAAACTACTAAAAACAATAAAACATCCTTAAAAGAATAATAGTATACACAACTTCCAATTAGATGAAAACGTTGTGTTAACATCCGAAAGTAACAACAATAATGATGGCGAATAAAAATTTCGAATTGCACTTGAACCCAGTCAACGTAACTTACTCAAAGAAATACAAGAAATTAAATTGTATACGTGTCAACATCCACATAAAAGGTCGGCGCCTTAAAATCTGTTTTCATCGGTTCTGCGTTCGTATCTATTCGTAACTCTTCTCCCCACTTCTTTCATTTACGTGCACCCAAACAACGCGGATCCGAAGCTTCGCGCAGACGATGGGTGATGGGCATTATATTTGCTTTTTTTGCCTGCTAATGTTTAATATCCTTAATTTCTTCGCATTTTATGATGTTTATCCTATATTGTTTTTAAGAATTTTAAGCGATTTTGAGTTTGTGTTGTAGACTTCGAATATTTTGTTTTCCAAATACTCAAACTGCGTTTGCGCTAAGCTGCGAATCTAATTCTCTTGGGTGTACTTAAACGCTCTGTCAATTTTTGAATTAGAACGCCGTCGATAAGACACGCGATATTGGTTTAAGTGTCTGCACGGAAGCAGAGGGTCGAAGCGTTGTCAGTTCCGCTAAGAATGGCGTTACTACCGTTAATGTTCGACGATGATCTGTTCGGTCACCCGAGAAAGTGGTCGAGTTTTTTGGAACCCGAAGAACTTTGCTGGCCAACAGCTACATTTTCCAGGGGCGTAAACTTGCACCACCTGCGCGATCTACGTCACCAACTGCCGCGTGTCGATAAAAACACATCGATAATTGTCGACAAGGACCACTTCCAGGCCAACATCGACGTACAGCAATTCGAGCCCTACGAAATATCCGTCAAGTTAACGGGGGATAATACCGTGACAGTAGAGGGTAAACACGAGGAAAAGGAAGATGACCACGGAACGATTTGCAGACATTTTGTCAGGCGTTATCAATTGCCAGAAGACTGTGACGTCGCCAGGCTTCAATCCAAGTTGTCGTCGGATGGGGTGCTGACTATATCGGCGCCGAAGAAACGAGACGACAAGGAAGTGGAATTGAACGAGATTCCGATACATCACACGTGGAGACCCAGATTAAATTGGTGGCCGAGCAGAAGCCATTCTGTGTCTGGTCATATTTAGAAGGCTTTTCGATAGTCATTGGGAAAAAATAAATTGGTCTTTAGAATTTGAGTTGTAGTTATTTCCCTTTTACGTTAAAACAAGATCATTTACTCTTAGTACCGTGCGGAGTTGTTCGAATGTTTCATAACGTGACAAAGCGTCTTTAACGCATAATTCAGGAGGCTCTAAATATTAGACTACAATAACTGCTTAAAGCGATTTAAAACTTTGCGGTTACGGTAGAATTCAGTCTGACAACGTCGGGCAAAATGAACAGGATCTGTTAACGATTACCAATAAAGATGTATTATTAAAAAAATTGTTGCCTAGTACCCCAACATTTTTTTTGTCCTTTTGTTATTTAAACGAATAGTGCCTACCGGTTTATTGAAATCGTTCAACTTTCAATATCCAAAAGAAAAATTCGATTTTAAACGTTTATTAAATAAAGCAAAAATACAAACTTAAAATAGCACAACTTCAGTCTTGAAAAACAGAACTAACACTGTTACTAATACTTATAACGCTAATAATTATTTGCGACAAACGTATATAATAAATGGTGACAAAAAACGATTACTTTTTCTGTTCTATTTGTTTTGCCGGCTCGTTGGTCTGCTGAATCGGCACGGTCTTGTGGTCGACCTCCATCGCCTCGATCTTTGGAGCGGTAATTGAAAGAACTCCGTCGGAGGACAACTTGGACTCTACTTTATCCAGGTTGCAATTCTTCGGCAACACGTACCGCCTGACAAAGTGCCTGGAAATCATCCCGTGTTCGTCCTTTTTCTCCTCGTGTTTGCCTTCGATCGTCAGCACGTTGTCCGCGACCTTCACAGAAATTTCTTCCGGTTTAAATTGCGAAACGTCGAGGTTCGCCTGGAACTTGTCCTTGTCAAAGGTCACGACTGACCCGGCGTCTTTCTCGGATGCGTTAGATCTCCAGCTTCTTAAATATCCGGCCGGCGTCCTGGTGACCTGACGATTGTTGAGATCCAACGGCTGAAACAGGTCTTCGGGATCCAAACCCAACCCGAAGTGTTGATCCAAGATTCTCGACGGGCGCAGCCAACGCGAAGTGTAGACGGGCTCGTCGAAAAAGAATGGAAGTAGAGACATTTTGTTGAAATCGCTTTGTAACACTGCGTACACGAACTACTCTTCTGTCGTTCACGGTTATCTTTGGGCGTTGGCACCGGCCGGCTGCGCTTTTATACCGACTCGGAAATTTCCAGACGGATCGAGCCGTCGCTTCGCGAACTGTGACGAAACGTATTGTCGGGCGAACGGTTGTCGTTCGTTAGATGTTGATCCAACACTTGATTTAAGTTCCGGAAAAATCTAGTGAGATTTTTCGTGGGACCACGGTTATCTTCGTTAAATGCAAACAATTATTACTCTGGAGCAAGTTTAGTACACTTATGCTATGAACAACAGTTTATTCAAAATTGCATCTAAATATTTTAGAAATCTATTAGTGTTCAAATATTTTTATCTCTGGTACCTATATCTGAGAAAGATGGTTTTGACACTTAATAAACGTCCTTTTTTATACTCGAACGACAGAAATTAACGTTTGAAGAGCTATATGAAATTCCATAAAATATATATTTTTGTGTTCTCTAAAATCAATTTTTGGCCAATTCTCGCACGTTTATACGAAAGGCCAGCAAACATAAAATATAGGTTTTAATTTAATTAGGCAAATTTCTGAGAAATAATTTGAAAAAGAATAGACATAAAGATATTAGACAATGTCTAAACTGGAGGTACTAGGTATTAGGCAGCAAAATATTATGAAATTCCAACATTTGTTTTCAATTTTTTTTATTACTATTTCCAAAAATTTTATTAAATATTAGTTTTTTATTGTCCTCCGTGCCTCTTCATGTCTTAAGTATTTATGAATAAAAACAGAAAAATACCTTGAACTTTTCAAATTCAAATAACTCAAAAACCATGAATTTGACGATCTTTCTATGAAAACTTGTAAATTCGTTTAGGTTTCCATGATGTTTCAACCAGAACTAGACAGATAAAAAAATATGAATCCATTTATTTAAACGTAAGACCGCCAATTATTATTATTACACTACAAAAAAATTCTAAATCAATGAAACAAAATTCGGAATAACATTAAAACATTGAACCGCCAGCGACATCTGTATGAGGCATGTTGAGCCCAATATATTTCTGTTTCTTAGAAATTCTGACATATGTCTCAAAATTATAACTTGTCAGAAATTCTGACTTATTCTTGAAAAAATTACCTAAGTTAACTTATATTTTACTTTTGGTGGCTTTCTGCGTTTTCGTACATTTAAGTTTAATTTATGTTACATTGGAATAAAGATTTTGTCCTGGCTAAATTGCAACACCTATATGGAATCACTACACGATGAAGAACTGAGTCTAGTAGAAGCTTTACACTGTCAATCGTCATCTTTTGTGATTTCCACTTTATTTACATTTTTCAAAAATTCTGAATTATTTTACACTAAAAACAGCTGCTAACTTTATCTGTAAAAATTTTTGCAAATAGAATTAGCGAATTGGGAATCAAGTCTATAGAAGTAATAGAAAATACAGATAAGTCCAAAGTTTAAGCATCTGCATCTTCACGAAACAAACCCGAAAAATAATTTTCTAAACTAACGGAAACTTCTAGAGAAAATAAGGGTTACGCGGACCAGCATCCAACGAACGTTAACGGACGGATATTCTCGAACGCTCCATGGCGCCTTCGATCGATCGCTTGTTTACTCACAATCCCGACCTACCTCGAACATTCTGGATGCGCGGGGGCTTTCGTATAAAAACCCGTCTCCGCCGCAACACCGCCATCAGTATCGATTCAAAACGATAGCGAGAGTGATCTCAGTTAAGTTCTCAAAGCGTCTTTAAGAAAATGTCTCTATTACCGTTGTTGTTCGGTGACCAGCACCAGTGTCCGGTGCTGAGGCGTCCAGCTGTGGAAGAATTCGTCTGGCCGCTTCAGACGTTGTCCACGTTGACCAACACCCTCAACCAGCTGGCGCAGCTCGACAAAGATACGTCCATCACCATCGACAAGGACCATTTCCAGGCCAACATCGACGTGCAGCAGTTTAAACCCGAAGAAATTACCGTCAAATTTTCCGGCGACAATACTGTAACCGTTGAGGGCAAGCACGAGGAGAAGCAGGACGAACACGGGTTTATTTCTAGGCATTTTGTGCGAAGGTATGTCTTGCCGGATGACGTAGACGCCCAGAAGTTGCAGTCGAAGCTGTCCTCTGATGGTGTGCTGAGTATCGCGGCCCCCAAGAAGCCGGAAGGCAAGCAGCTGGAGTACAGGGAGATACCGGTACAGAGGACGGGCCCGGTTAAGAACGTAGAGCAGAAATCGGTGACGGAAGGGGAGAAAAAGAAGTAAAATGCCAAAAATTCGTAATAATTAATTTAATTTCACTTTGTTAGACTGTTAGGTTAGGTTTTGTTTACTTATTTATTTTGTATTTCTTCATATTGTTATATAGTAACGCTATTACAGTACACAGTAAATGTTCCGTTTTTTGCCATAAGAATTTATTTATACATTATGTGAAATAAATGTGATTGGAAAATAAATATTTGTTTTTTTTTTTCTCGAATCTGAATAAAAAGTTAAAAAGTTTAGTTGTAATTCTAAGAACAATGCGCAAGATACGCATAAGTTATTTCTGAAAAAAAAAAATTATAATTAAAACCTAAGCACGGTATCAAACTCGGTACAAGTAAAAAAAGCTTTTTTTATGCGTAAAAAGTTAACACTTACAAACCATCTATTTCAAAAACTTACTGCTTATATAATTTTATATTTGTTATATATTTTTCCTTACGCGTTGTGAATAAAACAATGAAAAACATTTTTATTTTGGGATTTTTTCCGGAAAATGCGATAAAAAAGTGCCAAATAGAAACGAATAATTTTAAATTTGGTTTAACCTTTTTGACTCGGATATGGTTTATGGATAAGACGAGAAATATTAAACAAAATGGAGCGTAACGATTTCCAAAAAGTAATGGTGATTACCCGGACCAGTCAGACGTTAAAAACCAAAAATTCGAAGATTTATAGGCTAGACTGTTCTCGAAAAAAAATGGCTGTCATTCATCCAATGCCGCCACTCGAAGCGTCAAAATGGTTGCCTGCCAACTCATGAAAAACACATGCGTTTTTAAACTCAAGGATGGTAAATAAAATACTTTACTATTGTTTTATTACATTACATCAAAAACGCATTCCTAAGGACGTCAAAATGTTATATATAACCTGAACAATTTCGCAATTTTTATGTCTAGCATATGTCGCTAGATAAAAATTGAATGGACACTGTGCTCGTGTAAACATAAATATATAATATGATATGTTCGCAAACAATATACTAAATCATGCATTTGCGAATGTATAATGTACCATTAAACCAAAGTTCAATGTCTTTGGATTTTTTACCAGAAGCAAATGTGCACTACTGAAATTAAATCAACAGTTGGGAAATACACTTCAAAAGCGTGCTATAAATAAGGTTTATTTCGAAATAACAAAAAATAATTTAAACATGAAGCTTGTATGCTGCCTACTGCTTGCTTTCTTCAGCTGTTTTCGTCTCCGGTGATTTGACAGGGCCGACCCTGGTGATTGGGATCTCCCTATACTCTTCCGTCTTACCTCTCGCCTTTTTGGGAGCCGAAATCGTGAGTACTCCGTCAGATGACAGTTTCGATGCCAATTTTTCCACATCTACGTCATCGGGCAATTGGTACCTACGCACGAAACTCCTGGCCACATAACCGTGTTCGTCCTGCCTCTCCTCGTGTTTGCCCTCAACGGTTACAGTGTTATCATCGTTTAGCTTCACCGAGATTTCGTTCGGTTTAAACTGTTGCACATCCACGTGGACTTGAAACTTGTCCTTGTCCACGACGACAAGGTTGCTGTTGTCAAACTGGGATATTTGACTCAGGAGCCTCCTGGTGGGCCATGCGAATTCTTCGGGTGTAATCAGCGGGGATGCTGCCCATCTGGATGCCGGTGACAGTGGACCGGAGTCGATCATAAGAGGCAAAAGCGACAGATCCATGTTTTCGAAAATATTCTCGCGATTTCCGACACAACACTGCGAGATTCTCGCCTCCCGTACGATTAAATATTGTCTAAGAATATTCCAGAGTTCGGTGCCGAAAACGTAAACAGACGAATTAATTTTTCGAGCGTTGCCAAATTTCATTCAACGTAATACATACATAATATTTCAATGGAATATTCTAATTATCATAACTATCATTCCTAGGCTCTTTGTCAACTTTATTTATTAATGTAATCTAGGGTGTTGGCGGAATAAACAACTTGCTTAAGATTCATGTAGCGGGTTTCCTAGAAAATGTGGGAACTTCTGAAAAATAGTTTATTTGAAGGCTTAAGCTACCCGAAAAATATTTTTTTGTCTCTTTAATACACGGTAAACATGTTTCAAGGAAACATTTTAAGGAATCCATGCGAGTGGTCATCATATCACATTTTTATTGAAGCATATCAACTACTTTTAAAATGGTTAAAGGTGTCTTTACACGTATCTCCGTTTGCAGGAAAATAGTGCAACAAGTGCGGTAAACGGCATTTAACTCACGAGTTTATTTGACACAAGCGGAGCGAGTGTTTAATAAACGAGTGAGTTAAAAAGTTTACCGAACGTGTTGCATACTATACTTTTTCTACGACCGTTAGTTTTTGGGTACATTTTCGCAAAACAACACGAATACATTTACTGACATGACCGTCAGAATTGATAAACGTCAGAATTCAAGGTGTGGGAAATATCTCCTAAAACATCCGATTGCTCCCAAACCCTTGCAGTAAAATCCCGGAAATGTCCGAAGTGGTTCAGATCCGTGCGAAACGAAACTGAAATGATAAAGTGGACCTTCCCGCATGTTAGATCAGTGTGTAATTATGCATTTCACAGACCGAAGTAGAAAAAATTATATTACAGAGATTTCTTACGTTTACTAACATATGGTCCGAAAAGAGTCAGCTCGCGGCAACTCAACAGCTAAAGTTTTACATTTACAAATATTTAATTAAATCAATTGTTTGCCTTTCGGATTTGTGATTTAATCGCCCATTGTTATAGTTTTATGTAGACCTCTGCAAAAATGTAGTTTACTGAGTAAGTAAATAAAAGGGGAAATAGAAAATTATGTGAAATTTGTACATATTTTGGCGTGTGTTAAGGTGAAGTTTTGGGTGCATTTAATTTTGAACAGACCCTCAGATAAAAAGACCATTTTTCAGTTTCCATAAATGTAACAAACCATATATATTTATTCCAGGTTTAGGCTATTTGCAAAGTTCTTTGTGTAGAACATACCCTCCTAAAAAAAGATCATTTTTCGGTTTCCATAAATGTAACAAACCATAACTATTTATTCCAGGTCTAGGCTATCTGCAAAGTTATTTGTGCCGTCGTAAAAGTTTAGTAAATTAAGTGAATTAATGCTATGCTCCGCAGACGTTCTGAAACTATTTTCTTCTCTGTAATAAAACAAATCAGATTCAGAGATCTACGTTCAAAAGTATACGAAATGGCTTCATTTCGAAAATTATTATTCCAAAAGCCACTTCAATCAAGTTTCCGACGACAAATGTGATCAGCACCATCTAGCGCACAAAAGGTCAATATATAATTGGAGTTTAGAGCGCTGTGCGCGTGTCGTAAATCTGAAACTTGAAACAACAAATTTAGTTGCCTAGGCGACGGTATGATGACGCTGCATTGGAAATTACCGTCAAATTTATTATTCTTTTGTCCAAAAATAGGCCGTTCACCAGGGACAATCGGTCATTATTGAAATCCGATGTAGAATTTATGGGTTTAAATTGAAAAGTCATTCGAATGTACTTCCTAATCATTAACTCTGGTTATTAACCTAAGCTTTTTAGAGCTTTTTGAATATTTTTGTAATTTAATGAAATATTTTTTTTATTGTCAAGAGAAATTTTAGTTTGTTTTAGTCACTGTTTTGATCCAAAAAAAAAAAGAGAAAATTCAGTATGATGGATGTGAAGCAGTACATTGTAGCAGTACAGTACATTGTAGAAAACGCTTTCCCTTATAGTAACATAATCAAAAATTCTATCTTGTTATATTATTAGGTGAAATTCTGGTGACTTCCTACCAGTTCTTGAAGGACATGGAAAATAAGTTGGATAAGTTCCGAGCAGTCGGCTATATAATTTATGTAAAAATTTATGGGAAAAATATTTTTTTAGTATAACAGAGGGAACATTAAATCGTTCTTTAGGAGTATAGCAAGATTCTACATGGTGAGACAATAAGTTTAGTAATTTAATGTATGAATATAATGAATTTAATATAAAAGTATCAATTATTTTCCCAGAATTCCTCTTCAGAGTACTGCGTTATTAAATTTTGACTGCCAAATAAAGCAAAGCAAGGTGGACATATCAAGTAGAGTTGGTTAGTTGTAAGTGAATAAAGACACCTTCTATATCTTTGGAACTGTGCTGTTTTTGCATCACCCCTTCACCTTTAATTCAGTGAGTGGCTCGCTCAGCAGTGTGGCAGGGCACTTCACACTCTTTGTGTGTGGAGTAAAGAAAGCAAGTTAGCTGCTGGAGCTGGGTACCACCACGAGTTCCCAATTCCGTTGAGGCAAGGTGTGTTTACTGATAGTAGAAGGTGGCCAACTACCCCAATTGCTCGAAGGGCGGCTAATCATGTACCAAAAATTGTTATTCTTGATAATGTCGATTATATTGTATAGTGTGTGTAACGTCATTTTGTTTGCTGGATTTTGGTATTAATTGATTTCTCCTCCAATTCCATATCAGTTATTTTAATATTACTTCACTTTAAGAAATCGCTTGCCAAGACACCTAGATACAGGCATAATCTTTATTGAATCTGTTATCTGTATACAGATACCGAGAGGTACTTAAATAAGGATAAATGTTCCCAGCACGTTTTAATCTAGGTATTGTATCTGTGATACTTTCCAGACATTACGAAATTTTTTTGCAACAAATTAAAATAATTTCGATATCTATAAGGTAAGAAAACACTTAAATTATGCTATAACCTGTAACCTACCTATTATTTTTTCATTCGTTGACTTCGTAGGTGTTTTGCAAAACTAAGACGAATAAAATGAGTGAGTACTTAACATAAAAACAAACAAACGCGGCAATAAATAATCTTGAAAGGTTTTTAAACTATTTTATATGTAAGTAGTTTCATTTGTGCCGCACGCTTGAACGCGGTGCACTACACGCGGTAAGTGGATAAATGTAATAATGCCGAAAACACTTTTACCTATCGTTCAACCCACGCACTGCTGTTACCGAAAAAAGTGTCTAATCGTTTAATCCGTCGCGTAATAATTCGCAAATTTGAAGTATATCTAAAAAAATCGGCAACTTTATATTAAAAAGATTTGTGAAATCGCTTATGTGCTACCGCTTCATCTTAAATGTGTCACGTATTATCTATCCATACAATCAAGATAGTCGTGAGACTTCAAAATTTACATTTGGTGTTCTAGAGTTCTTTTTTGCATAAACGCGCGTGCTAGTACTTTCGCTCCTATAATAAAGCTATGTATCATGAAATATTTGTTATAACGAAGTAAACAATGTAAAAAATTATCTTAGTGTAGAAACAGGGAACTCGATCTAAATTGGAATTGTTTTCTTTGTCATACGCGTTAATACCTCAGATAACTAATAAAGGTTGTTTATATTATTTCTCAACTCTACCAGTTTTTTGTTTCATCATCTTTAAACTAAGCGGCTTAGAAATATGTGTGTATGTGGAATACCTACTAATAATTTTAAGCTGCTGTGATTATTGTGTATCATACGGTTGCATTAACGACATATTTGGCCAAGGGAATTTTTTTTGGCTAAGTAAAGCGTTTTCACGTTATATAAATAAGTAATTTCATAAATGAAAATTGTTAATTTGATTTTATCATGTATGACATGATGATGTATTATTTAGAAAAAAATAAATAAATCTCTGACTACTCCAAAAGCGAATCCATATAATTAGCAGTGTTTTCCTATTGTAAAATTTGCGCCATTGCCATTCCACTTTAGATCGAGTTCACTCATTGGAAATTGAACGTCAAGCTTACAAATCCACTTTTCTCTTCGCGCACCAATTGATTGGCACGTTTGCGCAGGAAATGGCGGCAATAACGTTATACCATGCCCAACACGCGAATCCAGACGACGGTGGGAATCCCACTGTTGCCAAGGTGACAGCTATGGCGGTCCTCTTCGCCTGTTCGTTAACTCTGGGGTGTTGCCCCATCAGGTTGAACAGGTGTATAGTCAAGGGCCATTCGGACACGAAAAACAATCGGATCGTCAAAATGTTGCTCGCCTTCGGGGGCGGTGTTTTGCTCTGCACTACGTTCCTGCACCTCGTACCGGAAGTATCCGAAAAATTCGAAGAACTCGACCTAACTCCGGACGTCGAAATCCATCCCGCCGAGTTGCTGATGTGTCTCGGCTTTTTCATTATGTACTTTGTGGAGGAGTGCGTCCACGTTTACCTTCACAGGTAGGTTAAAGCTAAAAATTCTAACCACTCTATAAAATGCAATATGATTTTTAGTCATAACACTATATAGTATATATTTTCCCTGGTCGAGTTCGTGTAATAAAAGCTTATTTGATCTCAATAGACTGCTTGCACTCAATTTTTTCAATTTTCTGGATTCACCTGCCAAACATTTTTTAAATCCATCGACTTTTATTAATTTTACACCCATTCAAAGTTTGGAATCGACGTGGTTTGTAAAAATCGATCAAATCGTCTGTGTCACCTTGTATTATGTCACGAGAACGACGTCGACGTCGTGGAAACACATAACCTATATTTCAAATCAGCGTTTTCTGTATTTTTTTTAAAGCTTTACTAGTTTATCATTTACCTAGTAACTTTCGCTCTACTGAAATTTTGTTAAGAAACTGATTCTGTTATTGTGGGAAGGCCACAGCTGAATGAAAGTGTTGGGATAAGTATTCCACAAAGGATATGAATTGCCCGTGGCTATGAACAACAACCATTAGAACAGTGAACGTCAATTGTTTGTCCATTACTTAATGAAAAGTACCTAATGTACCAAATTATCAGTGCTATAACTTAATTTTTCTACTCCCGTCTGTAAAATACTTAATTACACACCGATCTAGCGTGCGGGAAGCGTCACTTTACCACGTCAGTTTCGTTTTCCACGGATCCGAGCCACTTCGGACATTTCCGGGATTTTACCGCACGGGTTTGGGTGTATTCGGATGTTTTCGCACATATTTCCGATGCTTTGAATTTTGACGTTTGTCAATTCTGATCATCATGTCAATGAATGTATTCATGTTCTTTTGCGAAAATGTACCCCAAAATTAACGGTCGTAGACAAAGTATGGCATTCAACAGGTTCGGTAAACTTTTTAAGTCACTCGCTCCGCTCGTGTCAAATTAAGTATGCAACACGTTCGGTAAACTTTTTAACTGACTTGTTGATTAAACACTCGCTCCGCTCGTACCGAATAAACTCGTGACTCAAATGCCGTTTACCGCACTTGTTGCATAATATACCATTGCAACTTGTTTAATTTAGCTGCGGAAAACAAATAATTGAAAAATAAAATGGAATTTCACCTTAAATATGTTCGTTTTTTACTGTAGTTCTAGTTCATTTCAAAGCTCAGCAATGAGAAAGTGGCGTTATATTGCATCATAGACCGTAAACTAAGATTTGGTTTAGGGAAAACGCCATTCGATTTCCAAGGGAAAGTCGAAAATACATACGTTGTTACCATAGACATATAAACGACTGTGCCTTAGAAGTCATCTAGTTTCTAAAATTTAGTTGTTCCCTTGCTATTTCAATCTTAGTGCCACGTTAGTGACACAACAACCATTTTACACCAAACGTTTGGAGCTATTTTCCCGAATACCCTGAATATTTAATAATTATAATGTGATGTCATTTCAATAACATGCTACACATGGTCGGATTTTCGTTTCAGGAGGGAAAAGATGGCGGACAACATGGCACCGGTCGCGCGTTCACTATCAATTCGCCGTGGTGAAAAAGAAGATTCCTGTTTCGCGGAAAGCATTGAAGACAACCTCCACGAAGACACGGACCACAAATGCAGCAGGCACACAGACCACAGTCACCTGTTCGTCGACAATTCGCGATCCACTCTTGCAGTCATTCAAGGCATGCTTGTCGTATTAGCGTTGTCGATTCACGAACTGTTCGAGGGACTTTCTGTGGGTTTGGAGTCTAGCGCCGCCAATGTTTGGTACATGTTCGGAGCAGTGAGCGCCCATAAATTAGTAATAGCGTTTTGTATAGGCGTCGAGTTGGTGACGTCGGGGCTGAGAACCCCCCTCGTAGTCGTTTACGTGTTTATTTTTGCGGTCGTCAGCCCGTTGGGTATCGGCGCCGGTATATTGCTGAGTGATTCGGAGATGACGTCGGCGGATACGGTCTCCGCCATCTTGCAGGGTCTCGCTTCTGGTACGCTACTGTATGTCGTGTTTTTCGAGATCCTGCAAGACGACAGGAAAAACGGACTGCGACAGTACGTCTCTATATTCGGTGGGTTCGTTGTTATGTTCGGGATCGCGATGATTTGAATTTGCGGTTGGTAGATGGAGCCAGTGTCGGTGGTTGACAAACGGACGTCGTCGATCGATTCTAGGTAACCGATAATATCGCATCATCTCAGTGCGTGGAAAACATAAAAAATAGTTAAGGACAGATTAAGCAGTGCTGAAAGGATTATAACTTAGTTACTGTTTTCATTGATTTTTAATAAATAATTGCTATTTTTAACGCTTTTTTCATATTTTTCCTCGTCGTTCTTCTAATTGTAACAACATTCATATGGAAAACCCTTCACTCTTGCACATTCCTGTCAGAGCAAGAAAACCCTCTACTCGTTAGACTAATACAGGGTTAAAACTTCGCGAGGTAATTTTTTGGGTGATTTAGGGTATTAGTGTATAAAAGCGTAGGAAATATTTTGGTTTCCGCAAACAGGAAGACAAAATTTAAATAGAATTGGTATTTTTATAAATTTTATTGGTTTTTAATGCAGCAAGCAGTTTAATATTTAATATAATTTAATATTCTTTAATTAGTTAATTAATTCATTATATAGATACATGTCTTTACATGTAAAAATGAAAAAAAAATAGAACTCAACTCATTCAAAATGGCTATAGTATATTATGCAACAAGTGCGGTAAACGGCATTTGACTCACAGGTTTATTTGACTCGAGCGGAGAGCAGCGGAACGAGTGTTTAATAAACGAGTGAGATTAAGAGTTTTTCTACTCCCGTCTGTAGAATACCTAATTGCACACTGATCTAGCGTGCGGGAAACGTCACTTTATCACGTCAGTTTCGTTTCCCATGGATCCGAGCCACTTCGGACATTTCCGGGATTTTACAGCAGTGAATGTATTCGTGTTGTTTTGCGAAAATGTACCCAAAACCTAACGGTCGTAGAAAAAGTATAATATGCAACACGTTCGGTAAACTGTTTAAGTCACTCGTTTATTTAACACTCGCTCCGCTGGTGTCAAACTCATGAGTCAAATGCCTCTTACCGCACTTATTGCATAATATACCATTTTTCTACTCGCTGTAAAATACCTTTCACGTTTATCAATCGTGACAGTCACGTCGCAGGTCAGTGATGGCATTCGTGCTATTTTGTATTTTCAAAAACTAGTAGTCATAGAAAAAGTATAGTATGAAACACGTTGATAAACTGTACGCCATGTATGAAAATGTCTTCAGTTTCCACTATCGTAAATTGGTAAAATCAGCATAAAAATTCTTTTCTTCTCTTCTTTTTTTTCTTTGTGAGAAATAATCCAAGAACTTTCGTCGGAAAAAAGTAACAATGACATGATTTAATAGAAGAAATGAATTGTTATAATTATTATTTGCAATGCCAATAATTTTAGCTGGACGGCATAGAGGCACAGACCATAGGATTAGATTTCTACTTAATTACTCTTAATTAACGCATTAATTAAATGCAGATCCGTATTGAGAGAGAGAACTTGCAGACAGGCGTTAAATCTAGCGGTTATTTGATTCACTTGGGTTACCAACACTCTGGAACTATTGAATCTGAATATTTACGTGTATTATTGTTTTGTTGTTTTAAACTTTGTGCTTCGCACCCTTTAGAATACTTGAAAATCTGTGGGGCCATTTTAAAATTAATTTTGCATGAGACGGTTCTGCATACTATTCTTAATCCTGTATCACGAAACACCCTTTTCTCTCACGAACGTAGAAAAATTTTCTCCCAACCGTGCGTGTAAACATTTAAGCATGATTTCTTTTATTTTCCGCGGAGATCTTCGAACGAGTTTTGCTAGTAAACATGTTCGGAATAAAATTTTTCCTCGTAAAATGCGTATTATCGCTGTGGTTACTGAGTGTGGTTGTAGTGGAGTGCGACCACCAAAAGCGAGACATCTATCACAGGATAATCTTAAAAGAGAGTAGCCCTCAGAAAGGTCACAGGTAAATCGTATATAAGTCGAATATCAGGTGATCAACCAGTTTTGCGGTTATAGAACAAGCTATAAACACCACAATCATGCGAAAAAGAAACAAAAACATGTCAGGGAAGAGCCAGCGGAACATGACTACCAGCTTAGCGGAAGTTTCGAACAATACAGCAAGGAAAGACCAAAGTACTTTGAAGAAAGTCTTGAAAATAGCTACAGGAAAAAGGTACACCCAACATTTCTTTGTTCTATGGGACATAAACATGATAATTTGTTAATTCATAAATTCATCTTCTGAAACTTTTATGCAATATCTTTTTTTTAACGTTTTAAGCAAGAATAACAACTACTATCTTGCTGATAGTCACACTAAAGCCTGTACACTACCTATATCGTAAACAAGGCGCATGACGGTGAATGATTATAACTATTTTTTATGCAGATAACGTAATATATTTTTCCCCCAATGTAACGAAGATGTTTACTTTAAATCCGGCAGTGCGCCATCAAAATATTCATTTATTATTAACTCAAAAACTGGTTTTTGGATGTTTTATTTTTATTTTGCTTTTTTTTTTAATTTTAAAACAATACCTACCAATTTTTAAGAAAAGAAATGGCGTTTCCCTTTGTTCTGTATGAAACTTAAGATGGTTAGGATTCACGCGGGCTTCGCAAAAAGTCAGTTATTCTGTGAGGGGCTATCTAAGCAGGTCCTCAAGTTTAACGGTTTCGGTCCCCAGTTTTGACTACCTGATTCTTTCCATAGTCTGCATTTGCTCTCATCATTGACCAGGCCTATCTTGTGCATATGATATTTGAAGCTGCAGTGTCCGGTGCTACGAGAATTTTCAGATTTGGTCCGTGCATTGCTTGCGTGCTTCGTAGGACTTACTTCCACTTAACTCCCCCACGGCCAGTATTTGCGAGTTTCCTCTGCTATTCAGGCTTGCATTCCTTGGCGATTGACGTGCTGTGGGCCTATTGCTGGCGTATTGACTCCTTTCCTCCCTAGTAGGCTCGCTTTTTCATTACCTTGTATGTCAGTGTTACTTTCTTACAGCACTCTAACATAGATATACATATAGTCGTAGGAGGAGATGTGTTTTTAACGCCTTTGGCCACCCGACTGTCGGAAAATATGTTAATTCTTCTTTTCACAAATTGCTTCCTTTACAGCATCGTTGAGCAGTCCCTCCCCATAAATGCCAATCCACTTAAGATCTTCCCATACATACGCTAATAGTTAATACGTTTTGAAAGTTGTAGTTCTCATATTTGTATACTGTTCGTTACTCTTACTGAGTTTGATGGTACTATCGATTGTTAAATTCCTAATTAATGTATACATACACAAGCGCGTGACAAGGTACCATGAAAAAATTTTACTAGCCTACGTAGGATTCGACGTATAAAACCAAGATGCTAGAATAGTGTATATGGTTGATTTTCTTTAATAAGCAGCTAAATTTTAAGGCTCATTTAAAATCATTCGCTCCATTCCCCGGCATCATTTTCCAGTTCGAAGAAGTAGGTTTCCAGATTAGTTGCAGTTACTGCAAGTTTAGATCATCCCTTTTAATATACTACATTTTAAATGGCGGCTATGTAAAACAGTATTGCTAGTATTGAATTATCATTATACACTATAAAAACGTCTTAGCCATTGCAGTAAATTGTTTTGACTTTTGAATACTCTTCATAGATAGTTGTAATTCCAGGCGACCCTGGAATTCAAAGTACAACCAGTACCAGTTGATAATTTTTATTGTACGTTTATTAGATGAAGTTTTGTCACTGCAAACGGGTTTTTTTTCTTGCAGAACAAATCCAAAAGGCTTGCGCAGCGATACCATCCCAAACCAAAACACAACAAAAATAGAAACCAGAGTTCCAAAGAAGTTAACCCAAAAACTAAGAAACAACACGATTACGAAGATCACGTCAAATATGACTGGACATCCGACGAATCATCTTCTGTCGAATTTCAGAATGCTAGACCGTTCGATTACAAGAAGCAGAAAAGTAACCAGCCGACGCCCGAACGTCTAGAAAATACTTCCCAGTTGCGCACGGAAATTCCGTATCAGTTCGAACTTCCCGTATATCCCCAATTGTACAATCACTTAAAACTGAACAATTACCCATTTGGCATGCAAAATCAACAAGTGGTACCCAAGTTGAGTATCATATTACCGAGCGTGGAGCCTATACCGCAAGATCAAAAATTAATTCTCCAAAATCTGCCAGTTACATACAATTTGAAAGGGAATGTTGAAGAGAAAAAGGTTTCTATTGTTGGAGGTGATAACGGTCACAGATCGGATCATCAACGAAGCAGTAGAAGTAGAGAAAAGGTTAGATCGAGGATTGCAGAAGATGTTCGTAATATGAGTCGATGAATGAATTTGACATATTTATTTTTAATAAATTTACAAAAATAATTATAAACTACTGTATACTCATGATTTATTAATAAATGGTTATATGCTTTTGAACATTAGATTGTGTTCATACTACAACAGTGTTTTGGTTCCTCTACCTATTTGGTTCAGAAATGACTCTTCATATTTTATATCTACGTCACAGACGACGAACGTCCACTATGCGTATGCCTAAAAACAGCTTTACATCTTGCAAGTGTGTCATTTTAAAATTATTCATTAAATAACCTCCCTGCTCTAAAATACCCAATAATGTAAGCGTACTGAAAATGTCACTTTTTCTACTCTTTTTTATAAAATACCGAATTCCCACGGATCCGAGCCACTTCGGAAATTTCCGGGATATTACCGCACGGGTTTTGGAGCAATCGGATGTTTTCGGAGATTTTAGGACAAGATTTGAATTTTGACGTTTGTCAATTATGACGGTCACATGAATGTATTCGTGTTGTTTTGGAAAAATGTACCCAAAAACTAACGGTCAGTATGCAACACGTTTGATAAACTTTTTAAAAACTCGTTTATTAAACACTTGCCAAATAAACCCGTGAGCCAAATGCCGTTTACCACACTTGTTGCATAATATACTATTAAAACGTCATCTTCGTTACCTACGGTCTCGAGTCACCTGGGACATTTCCGGGTTTAGGAGCGATCGGTTAGTCATTGGTGAAATTATACTCACATTTGTTAGTTCTGTTTCTGTCATTCTTTAAATGAATTCCCAAACACTGGTTGAGGAAAAAGTTTAACATGCTAATAAGTCGATAAATTTTTTCATATACTCGTTTCGCTACGCTTCGTGCCAAAAAAAAACAAGTGATTAAAGTGTCTTTTACAAACTTGTTATGTTATATGGTATTAAAACCTTAGAAGAACTTAAATATTTTGAATTTTCAAGTAAATCAATTTGTATGTTATTAAGTTTATTATAGATTTTATTTATTACAAATATTAAAAAAAGTATTTGATCATCAAATTATAGTATGTAAATGAGATAAATACTCTTCTGCTACTACTCTTTACTCCATACGGTGACTCTAGACCATAACCTATTGAATATGCAAAGTAACTGAATTTCATTTATCGGAAACCTTTGAAGACGAAAACTGTTTCATATGAAATACCAGTTGATTTCGGATTCCTCCTGGTATAGGTATATCGAGAACTGCTAATCATGCAAAAATTACTTCAATATTTGATTGCGGATTCTCGCATAGGGAATCCAAAAAAAAAGCCACCAAACCAACCTTATATTATGAAAATCCCTAGTTGCAGCCCTCTAGCGTCACAGCGTAAGACTAATAAAAATAATGCAACACCGGTTTGAACGTGCGCAAGTTATTTAAAAATAAGTTTAAAATTAATACTACAACACAGTGACGGCATTTATCTCTTTTAATATGGGATTTGATAAAAACAGTTAAAATAAAGATTAATTAATAATTATCTGAACCATTGTCAAAATAAATCTTACAGTGATTTGTATGTACAAAAAGACTATAGCAAATAAAACATTCATCATGAAGCAGAATTATAAATATTTGCTACTACTGCAAAGAATATTTCCAATTACCCTTAACGAGTATTTCTAAGAAAAACGTTCATATATATTGCGACACATTCGCCAAACAAATAAGAAATTAGCGAAAACGTTGAAAATTGTTAGAGCAAACTGCAAACGTCATCATCGATAATTAAATTTTTAGCTCACATAGATATAAAAAGAAAGCTTGTTCGATATTTCAGCAGTTAAAACATTTACTTTAACTCAAATTAAAAGTCGCTTTCATGCAAACAACTCTTCAGCGATGACGTCTGTGTTTGGTTTCGCATTGATGTGTGTATTGTTGGCACAGATTCTTGCCGATGATGGTCAGAGCATCGACGAAGAAACGTCTACTGAGACGGCTAAAAATAACACGGGGCAAGATTTGTAAGTACTGAAAAAGGATTCCCCACTGATAATTTTGACACGTTTATAGTTCAGGATATATTGAAACACTTTGATTGGTTGTTATTTATTTTACATCAGCCAATGATAAAGTTAAGCACTTTCCTTATATCAGTACCATTAATGATATAAGCCACTTTAGAGTATTTTTAATTTCTGATGCAGAAATCATTACTTAATTATTGAATCGCCAAATTGTTGCTTTCAATGATGAGGACAGTTTCGTAGTGAATATCTCAACATTGCTTCTAATAAGAGAAATACATTTTGCCACGAAAACGAATAAAGCAGAATATCCGGATAACGCTTCTTCCACGAAAGATTTGACAGTTAATAATGAATAATCATTATTGGAATATTGTCCAATTCGATGGTGCCATGTACGTTTAGACTCATTATATTGAAGCGTTAGGGAGAGCACAATTTTTTGTGGGTTATGTACATTCGAAACTAGTTAGCAGACCTCTTAGTATACGGTTCAGGACTTATGTTCAAATTAGCAAATTTCAAGGTCGATGTAGTGTTCTGCTTTATCAACATGTGATGGCCTTAGGGAAGTTGATAATCCTTATTTTTCGTAATTTAAATTATTAAGTATATTTAAGTGAAATAAAATCTTATCCACAGGCTGTTGCAAGAATATGCGCCAGCTCTCGGCTGGAGATTGGGTCATCCAAAGCAAAAGAAAAAGTTTCTTAAAATATAGATCAGGAAATGCCTAATTTTCAAAATACAATGTGTTAAATGCTTTTGGACCGATTTTGTTGAAATTTGGCAACGTTTTTTTTTATAATGATAAAGGGCATTAACTATATTAAATTTGTAAAAGCATTGTTAAAAAGATATACACCAGTAAGTTTTTGAAATTTTTGTTATTTTCTTTGAATAAGTCACTAAACCTTCAATTTTTTGGACTCTCGTTTTCTAGAGAAACAATAAAATTCACGTAAATTGACAAAACGTATAAAAACAACTTTCGTCTTTTTCAATATTTAAATTTTTAAACTACGTTTATATTACGAAATTTTCATTCTTTGTTTTTAACGATGAACTTCCAGCCGAGCTTCGGGACATGTTTTTTGAAACACCCTGTTTATGTAGGATTCTTCTAAATTGTTAAATAAATTGTTTTTTGGTTCCGGTGGGATTACCGGACCCACAAATTTGAACAAAAAAATGTTCCTAAATCCGAATCAGCAAGTCTTCGTTACTCAGAAAAAGAAGTTCCACCCATGGGTCGTTATTTTTTGTTGATTTTAAAATACTGATTTAATTTTTAGATACATCATAAGAAAAGTTGTTTATGAAATAGGCATTTTGACCGAAGCAGATGGTACGGACTACGACAACAAAACGTAAGGACCGATTTTATCCTAAACCTAAACATAAATACTAATCATTTAAATTATATAACTGCTAGGGCTATAGGTTGGGTTAGGTTTATATTTCAGTTTTGCGCCTTTTTTTATGAAACTCACAGTGATAATTTACAAAAACTTCAATTTTTTTTAAGTCAATAAGTGCAGATTACGATGCTGTTATTCATTTATGATATTTAAATATTCTAAATGCATTCTGCATGCTGATTTAGGTCTCCCATCCGTCTACTCGTCCATGCATGGCAGTCTGTAGTATTTTGCTTTTATTATTTCTCATAATAAGTTACTTTTCTTCGTTTGATTGTTAATAACAATTTCCGTTCCTGTTCTATTCTTCTCAAGACTTCCTCATTAGTAGTTCTAGCTGTCCATGACATTTTTAAAGTTCTACGGTTTTTAAGGTTCTAGAGTCACATTAAGACTCTAGCAGGTAGTGTTTTAAATCTCAGGAACGACTTCCTCGAACTTTTAATTAGAATTTTTATTTCATTATTTTATTCTAAATTTAGTTTTTACAGTGTTTATTGTCCCATTATGATACTTTCTTCCAACCTTGTTCACCAGTAATAAACACCTTCTTCTTTCTCCCTGTAAATGTAAATTGAACAGAGCAGCAGTACGCGCCCCTGCCTAATGCTTCGTTGTAAAGGCACTTTTCTTTTTAATCGTTTATTTTCGCAGTAAATGTTTGGTTACAGTATATTTTTTTGGATGAGCACTACGCCATCATCATACAGTTGAATGTTCTGTAAATAACTTTCTCTAACCAAAACCAATTATTGCAATTCCAATTTATTGCTTCGTTTGCAAAACATCATGGTTGAAAAGTTTCTGTTGGTGTAATTTTATTAAAAAATAGTCTAAAATATGTTCCGACCTACTTAGTCTAGCTACAGTTACAGCATATTTGTTTGGATGGGCACTACGCCATCATCATACAGTTGAATGCTCTGTAAATAACTTTCCTAAGCAATCAAAACCAATTATTGCAATTGCAATTTGTTTGCAAAACACCATGGTTTAAAAGTTTCTGTTGCTGTAATTTTATTAAAAAATAGTCTAAAATATGTTCCGACCTACTTAGTTTAGCTACTTTGTAAATAATAAATAAATTACCGAATGGTCGTATAAAAAGTATAGTATGCGACACTCCACTCCACCACAAACTCCACCACTCATTTATTAAGCACTCACGCCGCTCGTGCTAAATCAAACTCGTGACTATGAAGTGGAATTTGGCAAATTTGTTGGGTAATTTTTGTTGCTTTTAGACACGAACAAATCGATGTTTCATTTTTCGATCCCAACGATAATGGTACAGCCATCGATTTGTCAAACGTGCCAGTACCAATCGAAACTAACGTCAGCGGGATAGCAGTGACAGGTATTCTATCCTCCAATTTGGGCACACTAATATTCCCGCCCAAGGGCGCTGTAAATTTGAGCGAAAGCAACTTCCCCGTATTTCCCGACAAGCAAGTGAAAGTGACGAGAAACATCACCACCGTGGACAAGGAAAAGAGTTTAAATATTTTATCCGGAATCAGCGAAGTTTTAGGACTCGATAAGCTAATCGAGCCACAAAAACCTATCGGAGAAGTCGGCAAAAGTTCATGAGAGTGCAAAAATAAAACTTCGGGATCTACAATTTGGATGTTTATTTTCGTTTTCGGATCGAATAATTATTCCTTCCAACTTTCCTTGTCCTTATTTCTTCACTTGCAGTAGTTGCATCCTACCCGTTATCAAATTTTAATTATAAAAGACTATCGGTTTAAAGTTATGATGAAATCGGCTGTAGTTAAAAGTTCAACTCGGTTCTATTATTTGATATTGTTTCATTTGATAAACATTGATAAACTGTTTGTGAGTGCACTCTTCGATTGCTGAAGATCAATTCATTATACTTTTTACAAAACTTCTGGATTCCTCCTGCGTCGGTTTTTGCCGAGTCTTAATTGCTGACGTTTCGCCAATCATCTTGTTGTCTTCTTCAGAGCTTGACTGAAATTGGCTCGTATTTTGCTCTGTACCTGCTTATATATTGTTTGAAGGGGGCGGAGTTAACTGAGGGCCATAAACACCGTCTCGGATGAATGATTCCTATATTGGTGACAGGTAGAGACTGATTCCCAAATTGTTTGTTATTTGGCCTCATGGTCAAGAGACCCTAGTAGATTTTCTTAGGCATTTAAACTCTATACACCCTAACATACATTTTACCATTTACCATTTAACATTGGGTCATTGTGTTTACAGAAAACCTACGCACACAGACCGATACCTTAATGCATGGTCACATCACCATCCGGCCCAAATATCATCGGTTATCAACTCTCTTGTTTACAGAGCTATACTGTCTCAACCCGAGACACTGAAAACAGAATTAAAACACCATGCATCTGCTCTTTTCTCTAATAATTTCCACATTAAAGATATTAAGCGTTCTATCAAAAAATACACTTCAACACAACCTTCCAATAGCAATGAGGCCGAAAGTAATCCTACACTTGCCACTGTGGTCCTTCCTTAAATTCAAAACATCACTGACTAACTAAAATTCTTGCATGTAATCAGGTCTTCTACCAACTAAAGACTCTATAGACTCTCGGCTATAGAAATATATATATATATATATATATATATATATATATATATATATATATATATATATATATATATATATATATATATATATATATATATATATATATATATATATATATATATATATATATAGTTTATATTTTGTTTTTTCTTAGACCTTCTCTATATTTATGTTTAGCTTTTGGTTCTTGGGTTATAGGTCTTTGTATTAAAAGCGATTAAAATTTTTTTTGTCCATATATTGACGTTTCGGTCTTCTATGACCTATGACCTTCTTCAGAAAGGGGTACAGTCAGAAAGAGACAAACACAAATCTTAAAATTGAAGAGGTAGCATCATATGGAAGTTTATACTTTAAAAGCGTCATAGAAGACCGAAACGTCAATATATGGACAAAAAAAATTTTAATCGCATTTAATACAAAGACCTATAGCCCAAGAACCAAAAGCTAAACATATATATGTATATATATATATATATATATATATATATATATATATATATATATATATATATATATATATATATATATATATATATATATATATATATATATATATATATATATATATATATGCAACCTAACAATCTTAACCGCGATTCAGGTCTCTACCTGTCACCAATTTGGGAATAAGTCATCCGAGATAAGCAGGTACAGAGCAAAATACGAGCCAATTTCAGTCAAGCTCTGAAGAAGCCAACAGGATGATTGGCGAAACGTCAGCAATTTCGACTCAGCAGAAACCGACGCAGAAGGAATCTAGAAATTTTGTAAAAAGTATTACAGTAGCCTGTGGAAGTTTCTTTGAAAAATTATCAATTCATTATTTCCAACATCTTGCTATCACAAGGACATATTACAAAGATGTCTGCGTAAACTCTAAAGTTGTTGGGCATTAATATAAAAAATTGTCTTTCGTCAGGAGTAAAATAAGAATTAAAAAAACTATACATTTCCATAAGTAGAATAAATTGAAGTTTTTTTTTGTTAGTAGCCTGACTCCCGCATGCCCGCCAAAAATCTTAGTAATAATAATAATGCCTGGACGGAATAAATGTTTAATTTTGTTTTGTGCAATACAATAGAAATGATAAGGTAGATAAGTAAAATTATCTCAAATAAAGCTAATTTTAAATTAGACGATAGTTCAACTCAAAATTTGTTTTCTGGTCAGAAGGTTCCACTGGCGGTGATAAATTAGGACAATCATTTTGATGAAGGTCATATGATATTGTCGTCGTTTATTTTGTCTTCATCTATATATTAAGGACATAGTGGATAATTAGGACAATGTCAGCAACACATGGGCAATGTATACATTTAGTTTACTTTGGCAGTGTGGTTAAATGCGAAATATTGTCCACGGCAATCTTCCCCACAGAACATTGTTTACATTGCCTATTTATTATGCTTATTTAACATTTTTTCTGTATTAAATTGTCAAAAGAACTTTTTTTCTATTGGCAAACATTTTCATAAAAAAAATATCCATGAGTAATGAGTTTCAAAATTCTCTCTATTTAATGTATTTTTGGCCGACACTGAATGCAAGTATAAGCATGCCAACAATCGCTTGAACGAAACCAAGCGCGAATTTGTCCGATACACAAACAACGCAAAAATGCGAAAACTATTAGCTACTATCGGCAATAAAATAATAACTCAAAGGCATTGAAATTAAATCATTAACTCTCGAATCCTTGACACTTATTTATAGACGATAAATAATTTCGCAACTTTTTTCTTCAGTTGAAACCGATGCACACTCTATACCCAACAAAATTCAAAAAGGTATTTGTGTCGCGCAGAAAGATACCGACTACCTACAAAATGCATTAAGGATAATTATTCGAGCACGTATGTAAAAAACGTCGGAACAACAATTCGCGCTTTGGAACTACCGGCACACGTCATACAGACAACAAAATTACAATAAACAATTGGCAATCGAGACGTGCTTGAATTGTATCGAAATTTTATTATTTGTTTTCGGGAGTTACTTCGTTGACTTTTGGTAGGTGCGGCGGGATATTGTATTATGTTCGGCGATAAGGAAAAATGCGGGAAATTTTGTGGGTAGTGTAGAAAACAACAACGTTCAGAATAGAATAGTGCGATACTACGAGAATACCTGTACAGACGATAAAACTGTTGCTATGGGACATGGACGACCGTTGCAATGTAAGTACTTTACAGATGAAAATATATATTTTTTTAAGATAGTAGTGCCCTTTTCAGTGACATATTGTTACTGTTAATGTAAATGAAGTTGTATACCGTGGGTTTTAGAGCTCTTCACAAAAACAACAATTAATAATAAGTTCTCGAATGGTAAGGGGGTGCCACAAAGTTCGGTGCTTGGTCCATACTCATTACATCGTCTCAATTTACGATGTGGTGATGGTGAAATGAAAATTGGCAATATAGAATTGCAAAAACTAATAAGGCATCGCTAAAATTAAGGCAAAAATTTAAAAACAAGTTTAAATTACTTAAATTTAAAAACACAAGACAAATGGGTATATATATATATATATATATATATATATATATATATATATATATATATATATATATATATATATATATATATATATATATATATATATATATATATTGGTATATATATAAAATAACAAATTCCCATCATAAATACGATCAAGTTAATTTAACTAACTTACAGGAATATATCCCATGCTTATTTTTTAATAATTGTTACCAACATTTTCTCTGTATTAAGTCGTTAATCTTTAATTATACTTCGATTAGTCACATCCAACTATATCAGTTTGTAAATTTTATGGGCGATCTGTAGTGTGAGGCTTGTAGATAAAGATTTGTATTTCTAGATAAGTTCTAGATGAGTATCGAAAGTTTCATGGCAAGAAGGCCTATTGTAAAATGTTTGAAATGTGTTTGTCTTGTCAGACCACCCTGCTGTCTGCATTACTGTTTGAACAGCTATACCCGCGATGGTTATTCGGTGATATATAATATATACACGTATATAATACGGCCTGATATGCGTTATAATCTTTTTTATGAGACAGTCCGGTGTAAACAATAATGCACAAAATGAAAACCCAATCCAGAAAATATACTATACGTTGTCATAATATTTGTTTCATTTACCCATGATTCATACATGCGTTATCATCTTTTTACGAGACATTCCGGAGTGCACAAGTCAATAACTATGCTGAGTTAAAATAATTCATAAAGTGAAAAACCCAAACCAGAAAATATTACACGTTGTGATAATATTTGTCTCATCTACTGCAGATGTTTCCCTAAAATATAAAACTTCTACTTGGCGGTGGGATACTTGCTGAATTTTCTTCATTTGCCTTTTTAATATAGAGATATCTTTGTCTGGCTTTCCTTTTACTCGCTTTCCTTACCATGGCCTCATTATCCGCTAGAATGATATATTCGGATGTGACCAATCGAAGTATAATTTCGCTAACCCATTTAAGAGTCATACAAAAAAATAAAAAAATGTATAGATTGTTTATAGGACTCGCTGTCTTCCTCTTAATTTTCTTATCTTTATTTTTATAGTACCTTGCGGTTAACCCAGATAAGTTTGTTTTTGTAATATAATCTTGTTATTAAACTGTAATATTGTTCATTGCAAATAAATAATATATCTGTCAATTTTAGGCATATAGTTGTTATTTCGTTCTTCTACAGATAAATAGAGGTTTTATTATTTTCATCTTCAGACTGTAGTGCCTATATTAATCCCTGGCAATTTATAGCCATTCCTAACTGACTATGACTAAATGACTAAAAATACGACAATAACGAGCGCGCCAGAAATTGATATTGATAAAAAAGGGAACCACACAGGGCAATGTCGAGTGTTGCGCGACGCTGGCCGTCGCGACGAGCGACGGCGCCGCCGTGCGACGCCGGCAACGCATGGTGGCTGCATCCGGACGATACACACTTTATCGAACAGCTGTTAGTCAGTGCCGAAAATATAGCGTTTTCTACTTTGAGTAATCTCCCGGTGTGCAACAGAAAGGTTTTTTGTTTGCGGTTTGGACGTTTGCGATGGTTAATTGGATGTGAGACTGTAGGTAGTGAGGAGTTCGGGGGTTTTATCTGTCGAAAGAGAAATGAGGAGACAAAGTCAGAACAATCAGTCCCAAAACCAGAGCAGCGATGATGAATGTAGCGCCACTGTGTCTTCGCCGGTAGGTCGGTTCAAAAGTTTGATTTGTTTCTGTATATTTAATATTATTAATATTAAAATTATAGTATTTGTAACTAAAATTTATCATTTCAATTGTAATATCAATTTATCATCAACTTATTCATCCACATTGGCCAAACTCAAGGAGGTATGTTAAGTACTCCGGTGGTATTTTTTATAGGAGTATATTTTTAAATTTCCCATTATGCCTATGGGTCCATTAGACAGACTTGGTTAGTTGTGTAAATTAGTCTGACGTACACGATCGCTTATACTTGCGTACCCACCTATAGGATATATAGTACAAATGAAAGAAAAAAAAATTCTTACTATATACTATACTACATAAACACTGTTCTTCAACTGTGCGATGCGAACAATGCTCTTTTTTTCAACGCTAAAGGATAATATGACAAAAATTGTGCTAAAATTGTACTATTAATTTTAAAAGAGTGAATGGATAAATTGTTTTTAAAACGTCTTTTACATATAATTTTTGAAAAATGTTGCATTTTCACGTTTATTACAATATTTTAACATGACAATTAAAAAATATATATTTTTTGACAACACAGAAACAAAATATAACTGAAAAAACATTTATACAGCAGGCACCACAATATTAAACCAATCAAATGTCCGTTTTTTTTATCACTTTTTGAATTCTATAGATTAAAGTTTATTCATAGACTGGATCTTTTCAAAAAATCCTCTTCGGAAGTTTTTGAGCAAACATCAATTTATACCAGAGTCGTTTTAATTTAATAAAGTAATTTAAAATAATTTGAGCGAACCAGGATGGTAGGTAGTAAAAAATAAGCAATCAAAATTGAAGGACGATTTGGAGTTAATATCGCATAAAAAACTATTTTGATTTAAATCGGATCAGCTCGGACCATGACAAATGCCGATAGAAAGTCACAATATTGCTTTGAATTGTAGTGGTACAATCATAGTGCAAAAAGGAAATTTCTGTTGCATTTTTTATTATAGGAATTGATATCAGAAAAAATTCTCGGACTTAAAAAACTGTTAAACGAATCTAAAAAGCTACTATTTGGATATACTCTTAAGCAGTTCTGATTATGTTGCAGGCTCAGATTTTGGAACGGGTACAGTCGGATCGAGTGACAGTAACGAAACCGGAAGAGGACCGACGCAGGCGAACAATCATCGTTGAAAAGAAAAACGGAACCTTTGGATTCACAATTCAGAGTTACGGAATCCACTACAAGAAGGAGAAAGAGATAGAAATGATCACCTACGTGGATTACGTCGACTACGATGGACCTGCCTACAGGCATGTACAAATCGATGACAATATACAGTACAAAAATATGATTATTAGATAAAAAGCAAATATATAACAAACTTACTCAGTAACATAGAAATTGTTGCTGCTTTACCCTTATTCTTCATTAGGCTGTGTTAGATCTACTAATGTGGAGATTCCAAAGGTGTTCCACCTATACATCAATAAGTTAATTTTAATTTTGTTTGTTTAATGAACTCATTTGCCACTTTTTAATGCAATAACACCCACATTTACTGTACTTTGCATTGTGTATTAAAGATTTAAAAGATCATACTTTGGCTGTGATGTATTTATACTATACATTATTAGAATTATTGCCAAGTCATAATACAAGGGAAACAGATTAATGTGACATTTTGTGATATTTGAACTAATACCGGAAAAGGGTTTTCACTTTTCACCACAAACGAGAAATAGGAAAAACTCTTGAGTATAAGCAGTATTAGCAGAATTCAAGAATTTGAGGGGAGTATTTATTGTGATTTGCTTAAGTCGAAAACCTATCTTCAATGTTTCTGGTTTTAGATTATGTAGTTTGTCGCACAGAAAACAATTTCTAATTTTTTTTTTAATTAAATTCAAAATGAAGTAGATATCAATGAAGTCTTGACTCGATACTTTCCGAGAGGAATGCTCGTTTCTACATGAAAAGTTTTTCGAATAGTAAAAGATTCGCAGGTAACTTAAATTGCAAACATTTTCGAAAATACTCTGTATATCTTTCCTCGGTTCAAATGAGAATAGCACTAGAAAATCCTATTTTTTTGTCTTTAAAGATAACCGAGTGCAACAAAACATCATTGATGTGATAAAGTTTTAATAAATTGGGATCGAATTATGAAACCATTAATGCCTCGCTAAAACCAGGATTTTTTCCTAAAATCCCACCAAATCTTTATCTAAATCCTTTTATTATGATTTAATATGGGTTATATCGCAACTTTGCTTCAGGGCCGGAATGCGCGAGGGTGACGTCATACTGTCCATCAACGGCACGGATATGGAGAAAGCCGATCACAAAACGTTGGTGAATTACATCAAAAACTGCGAATCTCGGATGAGAATGGTTGTACTTTTTGAAGACTGCGTTAGGAAGGTATTTGATATGCGCGCGTATTTTATGAATCCTTTATAACGTCCTACAGGTCGAGCTGCACATGCGCTACATCAAACTCCAAAACGTCCTCGAGAGTAAAATGGAGGAACTCGAACGGCTATGCATACGGGAACGCCAGCTCCTCGAAGGTAAATGGAAAACGCACAGTCTGCCGGCCAGAAAAAAAGCAACGCAAGCGAACGCCAGCGGCCCGCCTACTCCTCAAGGGTACTACACGTACTGCAGGCCTACGGTTTCTACAGAGGACGTTGCCAAAGTCGCGCAGCAAAAGCTCCACCTCACTCCTCCGTTAGTTTTCGCGTACCAGTATTTCGACACGAGCTACAGGTACATGCTCCAGCCTTCGACGAGCAGCAGCGGGGAGTACTTGCTCACTTTCGAACCGCAAAAGCATCGCGAAAAACGTGACCCGGGGTTCATCGTTAAAACACCTTGCGATGAATCGGCCAAGCCCATTTCCAGAAGCAAAACCAACACGGATAAGGTGAAAAAAGGTCACGGGCCTTGCCACAGCTACGGCGGTCATTTGTGTAGTCCCTGCGTGACGGCGAATCCCAGTAACGGCGACAATACGAGCCTGGAAGCTTACGATCTGGCTAGTCCGTGCTGTGACCCGCACTGCGTACCGGCGCGGCGCAGGCCGCGAGTCCAAAAAGATCCCCACGGCAGAAAGAGAGAATCGAAGACTGAAGAAACTCAAACGGAGCCCCAACAGCAAACGGCACGATCGAGGCCGCACTCCCAAGTCGGCAGCGGTGCTCAAAGTTACTCGGCGCCGAGGAGAAATTTTCACATAGGGGCCGGCTTGGTCAGCCAGTGCAGTTTACATTCCTGCACTTCGAGCGAAATCAGCAACGCGGTGCCATACACCGTAACCGGTGAAAGTTCCAATAATAGCTATACGACGTCGTTGAGTACTGACACGTTGTATTGGGACGGATCCTGCGAAAGTACGTCGCGGCAAACCAACCCCAAGAGCGGTTCTGGCAAGCACGATAAATATTCGTATCAACAGTACACGCACGAGCCGGCCTACTGCCAATACAACCCAATGAAACCGAAATCGTGGGACAACCTAACGACCAAGGCCTTCGGCGGTTACGGATTCGGTTACGGATATCTCGATACGTCTGGTAGCACGAAGTGTCCGAAAAATCACGGCAGTAAAATGTCTCACAAGAGTCAGACAACGCAGTACGTGAGAATAGACAAGCAAGCCCCGCAGTATACGCCCCACACGCAGCGACGGTACTTTCAACCCACAAAATCTACGGAGAGTTTGTTGGCAGTGCCAAAGTACTCCAACGAAGCCTTGTCCGATTCTAGTATTTCTTGCGAATGCTTAGAAGCTAGCTCGCCTTTACCCGACACGTCGGAAGCTAGGTTTTTTCAAAGTCCCCGACAAAGCGTTATAAGTCCGACCGATCCTAATTTCGGGTACTACAGCGCTAGACGGTCTTCTAAAAATGACAATCAAACGAAAGGCAACAACGCTTGCACTACCACCTCGGAAGCCACTAGACTTTAAATATTCTGGTGACACGGCCACTGCTCAGTATTTTCGTATCTCTCTTGCGAAGAAATCGATAAATTATAATAATTATTTGTTCCCCGATATATTAGCAAGGTTAGAAATCAGGAATATTGTACAGTGTGTCCCGGCGCAAGTGACACAAAGGGAAATGTCATAGCTATCTTGGATTTTAAGATTGTGATAAACGTGTGTTTTTTCTTTAATTTCAGATACAAATCTTTAATTTTGTTCTCTTCCGTGACGCCAATAATATAATAATAAATTATAACAAATCTGATATAATAGGGCTGTGTTATCAATACGCAGCTAATTAACTTTTTCTAATAAAATATGTAATTTATGTAATTTTTGCAATATTGTATTTGTTAAATATGTTGGAAAAGCTAATTACAAGCCCAATGAAATCATGAAAAACCATACGGGGTCAAAAAACAAATTTAATTTGAATAACATTTGTGAGAGTCATCATAAAATTGCTTTCATCTTTCGATAACCGAATTACAATGCGCGTTTAAAATGCGACATTTTAAAAATCCCGCTGTATTTAAAAAACCAAGGCAGCTATGACGTTTCGGTTTGTGCGATCTTTAATTTTATGACAAACACGCTAGCTTTATTAATAATGGAGGTACACAGTAAAATCATAAAAAATGTGACACACTGTACAGCCGATATGAAATTTTCGTTTAAAAAGATTAAAAATTTCAAAGTTTCAACTATATTGTCAGGATCTCCAAAGCGCTACAATTTCTTTGAATCTAATTAAACACTGTAGCCTATACGTGATAGCAAATGAGTTGTGCTAAGTTGTGTTTGGCGTTCGCGGCATTTTTCATGAAAGAAGAAGTTTTCGATCTTTTGGCGGTCCTAGAGTTTGGTTTGTTCTTAACAGCTACTTTATTTCATGTCCACTGTTTCACACGGTTCGAAAATAAAAAAAATAAAAATACAAAATTAAATGCTTTTCATGCAAACATTGAATTTTCTGTAAAATTTCCTGTCCTGTATAATAAAATATAGAATTAATTGAATTTAATAGGCTTTTTTAATTTTTAAAAATTAATTATACATATTGAAAACGACTAATGTTAATAGAATTTAAAACCTAATAGTAGTATTTTAGTTTTGAACTACTTGTGAACTTTTTGTTAGAACAAATTGATATTAGATAAAATAATTGTTCACATACCGCCAACTTATCGTAGATAAACCGTGTGAATGCCTCCTCACCCAATGAAGTTAGGATTATTTATATTTATACTTAATTCTAAAATTAAAAATCCTATTAGGTATGCAGAATTAAAGAGTTGAATGTTATAAATATAGATGGCGTACAAGTCGTTGTATACATAATGAGTTGTTAAACTGTATTATTGTAAAACTTGTTGTAATTTCTCCATTGACAAGGCATGCGATGTTTTTTTAATTAATAATGCAAAAATGTACTGGGGATTTTGCGTTCAAACCAAAGTTTGCGAAAAAGAAATACTGAAAACCTTGAAAATTACAAAACGTAATTATAAAGAAATTTGTTTTTGCAGTTTTTGCCGCTCAGCTTGATAAAAAAAAACTGCATATTTCGAAATCAATTGAATATTTTGAACTTTGTCAGGGGTGTTTGTAATTCATTTAACTGTACATACACTGTAATTATAATTACAAATTTATGTGAATATAGACTATATATTTATTTCTCTAATGTAATAGTAGGTAAGAAACATTGAAATTGAAACCGAAAACAAGTCAAAACCAATACCGACGCTGAGAAACTTTGTTTTGTGGCTGTTTTTGCCGTTAGCACAACCGATTTAAACAATTGACATTTTATCCATGTTATTATGGAAATTAATTGAACTAGACATTTTTTATGTACAACTTCAATTTTCTATGCATTGCGACACAACGATTTTACTACAATTTTGAATAAAATTTTGTTAAGCAATACGTTTGTTTCAGTATAAACCTGTACCCAACCTGTACCGAGATTAGTATATATAATATACTATATATAATATAATATATATAATAGACTCCATTAAACTGCTTTACCCAGGATGGTCAACTTTACTATCACAATTATAGTTCTAAAACTTTGCATTTGCTCATTTGCTAACCCAGATTATAAAGGGGATGAAAAAAGTAGTGATCTATGATTTCCAAAATTTTAGGACATTGCAGAGCTGTCACATCTACTCCAACCAACGTTTATTTTATTATTTGGAGTGCCCCGTATATTACTAGATTTTTAGATTTTATGAAAATATCTGCTATTAACTTTTCGCATACAAGGTGTTTACAAAATTATGCACGTTTGGGAGAATGTAAATAGGTTAGTTATGCGCAAAATTTAAATGAAATCCGTATATTGTATTATGGAGATTAGAAGAGCCATTCTTTTCTTCATATGATAATATGTTACGCAACAAATTTGATAAACGACACTTTTGTCCGAAAAAATATGATCGCGCTAACTCCCGTCGCCAAAGTATCGGAAACGTCCGAAATCGGTCGCGACGGTGATTAACGCAGCTGACGTCATAAAGTCACAGTTTGCGCACGATATTGTTGAGTAAGAAGCTGAAAAACCTATTTCAATAAAGTAATTTCCTATTTTGACATGTAAAATTTGTCTTTATAACTTATAATCGTTATTGTTTAGTTATGTATATATGGTTGTCGACTACTTCTGTGAAGTCACAGATTAGGCGCTGAATACTTTAAGGCGAATTGGTTTGCTATAAAATTTTAAACATCGGACTATAAAAGCAGAAAATCTTTCTTCAATCATATCTAGACCAGATAAATAAGGGAAAAATAATTGTTAGTTTGTATCGCTTTATAATTTTATACCAAACTTTTTGTTATAGTCTTTGGAAAAAAATAATTCAGAACTGGTTTGGAGATGAACTAAATGCAATAATTTAGTGATAAAATACTTTGTCTACTCCCGTCTGTAAAATACCTAATTACACAGCCATCTAGCGTGCGGGAAGCGTCACTTTACCACTTCAGTTTCGTTTCCCACTGATCCGTGTCACTTCGGACGTTTCCGGGATTTTATCCCACGGGTTTGGGAGCAATCGGATGTTTTCGGAGATATTTCCCACGCTTTGAATGACGATCATATCAGTGAATGAATTCCTGCTATTTTGCGAAAATGTACCCAAAAACTAACGGTCGTAGAAAAAGTATAGTATGCAACACGTTCGGTAAACTTTTTAAGTCACTGTCAAATTTACTCGTGAGTCCAATGCCGTTTACCGCACTAGTTGCATAATATACTATTACCGTTTAGGTTCATGTTAGTGTGTGCTGCCGTTTGTTGGCTTTTGATGCGATTATGCGATTACGGCACACTAATTTTCCAGATCTCCCCTATCAAGTTTAGTCCTCCTATGAAGTCGGTTTTGTTTTTGTTTCGTATCTTCTTGTCCACGTTGATTCTCCTGAAGGAAACTAGATTCCATCCTCGTTAACGTGCTCTGAATAATTGGTTTGATGTCATTCCAAACCATTCCCTTAAGTTCACGAGTCCAGAGGTTATTCCCCTTCTGTCCTTGATCCTTCCATAATGTTCTGTAGTATCGCATATTTAGTTCTTCTGATTATGCGGGCAAAGTATACTAACGATATTCTTTTAAGAGTGTTAAGTATTTTTTCCTGTTTCTAAGTTCTTTGTCGCAGTTAGTTGGGAACCCTGTTTAGTTCATTCACCAAAAACACAATCTTTCGAATGCCTTGATCCTGTGCATAGTCTGCATCCTTATGATCTGTAAGACAATGTTGAAAAAACGTAACATCTTATCCTTAATACCAAATTTATGCTTCTGAAAAAGAGAAATTTTGCGAGTTTTGAGTTCATGACACTGCTCCAATGTTTCATGGAGCCACGTTCCTATTTACTTATTTTTTTTTCATCTTCCTTTATTTATGTATAGTAAGAATACCAACATCTGCCTTCTTTAAGTTTGGCAGGATTTGCAGATCTTCTAGCTTGTGTGTAATTATAATTATGTCGTCAGCCTAACGTAAAAATTGCGTCACTATTTACATTTAAGATCAGCGAAGACAGAACTCAACCCTGACGTACGCCTTGCAGAATCTCTCAATTGAAAATTTTGCTATTCGGTTCAAGTAATTATTTGCTTTGCTTGTAATATTTCTATAAACGTCTGATGACCTTATCAAACGCCTTTTCGGAATCAACATAGCAGGAGTAAGCGTCTTGATTCATGTCGAGATATCTCTGAGTTAACACAGAACCTCCTGGTACCCATACCCTTTCCAAACAATAATTGGTTATCGATAATTTCGGAATCCAACTTAGCAAATATTTTGTTGTGAATTAAAAATAAAAATACTTTCAAAGTGTATCCCTTCAGGACTATTTCCTCTTTCTCCTTTCTTCTGCTGACCTAGTCTTTTCAGCATAGCCAAGTACCAATTCACAGAACGTCCTTGAAAAGTTCCTTAACATATTCAGTTCAGCAAATCAGTTGCTAAGCATCCGAGATAAGACTGCCGTCGAAACTTCTATAAAGAATGGACTGCCGATCATTTCTTTCAGTTTCTTGTGCACATTGAAGCTGTCACTCGTATTATTCCACTTCTTCACACACCCTCCTTATCCAGTTTTCTTTTGCAGGTTTAATCTTCATGATGTTATGCGCCTTTTATCTGTTAAGCATAATATTTCCTATGTTATCCAAGTTTGTCTTGCTTTTCTTTCCGAAGTCAACATTTCTTGATCCGCTGATAATAAAGCGTAAAATGTTGTTATTAGGTTTCAATATTTTCAGTCTAACTTTGATACCGGAGACTACGGTGTTCGATGTGCAGCATGCTGGAGACTAAGGTATTTGGTCTGTCCTGTATACAATCAATTGCGGCACATCCTCTTGGTCAACCTATCACAACTTTGTAATTTTTTTAAGCAACTATTGCCAAGGTAAGGCCGACGATTTGATAAGCGTCCAGGCCATAGTTAGCAGCTAGACTCTTTTTGCTTTATCTTTTTATAACAGGAGTACTTTTTATTTTTCTTATTTTATATTTTATTTTATACTACTAACATAGCTCTAAGTTTTGTCGCTTCAAGTTGTACTTTGATACTGACAAAATTTCTTGTTATGGAAATATTTTTCTTGAACAATAAAATAAAATGACATGCTGGACAGTTCTCTGTCTCTCAAAGAGTAGCTAAAGGTATTTGATTTTAAGTGTCGTGTTCTAAGTGGTCAAAAATAACGGTCTGTTTTAGTATCGAATATTAGGTGCGATCAGAAATAATTTTGCACAACATTTATCTACCCTTATGCTCAACAGCCAAATTGAGCAAAACTGGACGGAATTTCCCACTTTTTTGGCATAACCTTTATGTGAAAAATGATTGGAACAAAAATTGTTTGGCTGATTGAAATCCACCAAACGTAATTCATTACCTATTTATAATATTAGTGAAATTGAGAAGATATTTATTTTAATGGATCCAGGTAAAATATGATATAATAAAAAAAATGAACAAAGAACTATGATAACCATTTTAAAAATGCAAGTGTAAAATAAGAAATTTAATTGTTAGAATACCTTCCTAAACCAAATGTTATATATGTATAATTGCTGGCGCTAAAACTCTATGCTTTGTGTAAATACACTATAAAAAAAAACGGTACCTAGCTCTTACTCTTTTTATCAAAGCAAAAAAAATCCCTTCAAATAACAAACCTTTTCCATCAGTAGGGTGCCCGAATTGATAATGTTAAGCTGTGCTTTAGTCACGAGTGCAACATTAGTTAATTAGCGAGTGTCTGAAGAAATTTATTAACCTGTTGCGTCTAGTTTTTCTACTAACCTTACGAAAAAAAAACGATTTATTAATAATACTAACGATTCATATAATACTGAAAGACGTGATGAATGCAGAAAACGTTACTAGAGTACCGGAAACGCTCGTATTGACTCATTACAGTGTTTAATAAAACTAACGTTTTAAAGTGACACGTTGCTCACGCCTTATCAGTACATAATTAAATACTTTAGAGTATATCGTAAACGGAACTGCCTAAAAACAGCATATAAAATTACTTAGGATATGTTTTACAAGTTAACTTATTTGTAAAAATGAAAAAAAGACTGTTTTAAGTTGCAGGGTTTTTAAAAACCCTCTTTTGTTGCCAAACGGTTGGCCATTTTCGTTTGAACCAGTTTTTTTTTTATAAATTTTCAGCTGTATAATCGGAGGTCGAAAATTTTTCTCCCAAATATAATGTGTTCCCGAAGGCAATTCAACGAAATATAACGAAATATAACGTCTGCAATGCATTGTTTTTATTGCTGCAATTATTTAAGGGCCATCACTATGGCGCTGATTTATTTAATTGTATATTATGCAACAAATTTAATAAGTGTCATTTTAGTCATGAGCGTGCATACTATACTTTCTCTACGACTATTTTTTGCAAAACAGCATGAATGAATTCATCGGGTGACATGTGATGTGACCGTCGGAATTGACAAACGTCAAAATACCGTCCTTGGCTATAAAATCTACCGAAAACAATCAATAGCGCTACAAACTATCGTGACTAAAGTACCGGAAATGTCTGAAGTAACTCGCGACCGGGGGTAACTAAGCTCACGTCTCAAATTCAAAATATTTAGTTTTTTTTTTTAATGTATATTACTGACTGACTGACTTATCTTTTGTCTCCATTGGCACAAAAATTCAGACATCACTTTAAATTTAAATTTTGAAGATATGAAAACTGGAAAGATTTTATTGGTAATTTATTATAAACATTTTTTTTTCGAAAAAATATCTAATAAAGTCAGTAGGTACACAAAGTACTCAAAAGTAACAGAATCCCAAAAATCGCGAAATTGCTAAAATCTCGACTACATTGCATTACATTGTTTGTTTTTTTAATATCACGAGTTTTTATTTATTTTAAATTATACTGGGGGCGTCAATGCAAAGACTCCACACAAATACTAGGAATTGATTAAGGTGGACAAAAATTATGTAAAATTTTAAGGTCACAGAATTCTATAAATATTAAATTAAAATAATTATAATTAAAATAATGCGCCCTTTTTAATAAATTTAGTTCTGCAAAAAATACCGACCCGCCTATGAATACCATTTTCTTGCAGTTTATTAGCTTATTATTATACTCATAATTATAGGAAAAACTAATCAAATTTTAAAATAATTGTAAGTTAATATGGAAAATGAGGTACAAAAAGTGCCCGTGTGGTACGAATTATTTTTGTAAGTTGACATATTTTATAATTTTTTTTGTGTAGCATTTTACACAGCTTTTCACCGGCTGACGTGGTAGAAAAAGTTATGCGGGACAGCGGCGTAGAAAATTGGTCCGAGAGAAGGGCAAAACCCGATGCTCCGTCGTACGGTCAAAACTTTCGAAATATCGGATAAGTACTCAACTCCTCTTTCCCCTCATTTCAGTCGTGGTGTGGTGGCCCCACTGTATACGTGTACTTGACAAAACTCGCGTGCCGTTTTGGCTTATTGTTTTTCGTGTACGAAGTAAACAATTTATTTTCAATTCGCCCAAATGAGCAATGTCAAAAAAGCATCATATAAGTTACGTTAAACCGAGCGATCCCAGCTTTTTGAAGAAATTAAAGGAGCAAATCGGGTACAAAGAAGGCCCAACGGTTGATACAAAAGTAGGTTAGGTTATTTATATTTTCTATAGCCAAACTCAGCTCTGTTTTTTAGCGTGAAGATTTGGGGCCAGTGTCAGAACAAGATTTTCAAGACAACGAGGACGAACAGCCACAAGTCGTGGTGCTGAGCCCCGGAGATCTTACGGCCGAGGAAGCTGCCAAAGAAAAGCTCAGATTGGAGAAAGGTTAGATTCTGTACCTTAGTTAACCGGTGGTTCAGTTGCTAAATCGATTATAAAACATTTTCGTTAACATCTTTCCATAACATAAAGTTTCTTTTAAGAAAAATGTATTAAAATGTATTAAACACTAGCCATCCCATAGATAACATTTTGCGATGTTGCCGATCGCTTTGAAATTTAGTGTAACGGATGATATCCCGTTAAAGATTGCACAACTGCGTATTTAATTATGTTTACTAAACGCAAAAAAATGTCTGCCAGTAAAAATAATATTTAATTAAAGCTTCAGTCGCTCCTCGCAAACTATTTTGTGAGCATTTAACTGATTGATTTGTGGCATCTTGTGTGTGACACACAGAATTCGGCATCGCTGCACAAGTCTAATTTCATTGCGAAACTGACAGCTATGATTCGGATGGAGTCGTTGTGCGCATGTGTGTTTGATGGCGCGCGAACTCTAAACCGCGACATGAATTAGTTTAATTTTAAGACAAGTTTAAACTGTTATAAAGTTTTACTGAAAGGCTTACCCGGATATTATTTTCGGGAGACATAGTAATAAGATGTAATTTGTAATTCCAACGCTGTTCTTGCATAATGCCTAACTTCCAGAGTTGTGCGTTGTTATAAATTTTTCGCCACGTTATATTGCTCCTCCGACAGAGACGGACTGACAGCATGTTGTGCATGCTGACGGGGACAGAATTTTGTAGGCCACGTGATGCCTGATTATTCTAGCTCAAGCAAATACTGGCTCCCTTTTTGTAAAAACGGTCTGGTCTACCCACTGGAACGGTATTTTGCTTTCAGCCTTTAGATACAAGCAAGCATAAAATGTTCAATTCGACGACATATTTAATATTTAAACTGAGTGTTATTCTTCGGAATTCGGATATTTTTGAATATAAAACTACAAGAAAAAACATCAAGCTCTATTAGTTTAATAATTAAAAAATAAATTTGCATAAATAACATCATGTTTTATTGCTAGTATGAGCTAACTAACTAAGCTTCATGCTGCTAATTATTTTTATAAGATTTTTCTTATTTAATATACCTTATATCTTATAGATCTCAAATAACGCAAGGTTATAAAAACAATTTGTGTCAAGAAAACGAAATAGAAATTCCCTTTATTGACATAATAGCTAATTATTATTTTTTAATTTTTTATTGTAGTAAAAGGAACTTTGTAAAACAGAATAAAATAAGCCATTTTTTTATAATGCTAATCTTTCTAAAGATAATGTCATTTCTTGTTCTAAAACGACAGAAACATTTTTATAATTCAGTATCAGCATAACCCATCGAGACTATTTAGGAGCATCTTTTTTTTAACAAATAAGGGTGCGATGATTTTTTAAAAAATAAAAAGCTCTTTCTTTTCTTTGGTCTGGAAACGTCATTTTTGACGTAAAAAAAGTGCAGAACTGTGTTTCATTTAAAATTGGTAAGTGAACACCTATCCTATACCTTCGGTATTCGCCATCTTAAACATGTGTTAAGTGGAATATAGAATGTTCCAATCTTTGAGAAAATACATGGAAGTTAATCGTTAACGCACTAAGCTTAGATAAAGTTACTGGGGCCGTTTTAAAGGTTTAGGAGTTTAAAAATTAGAAAATATTTTACGCACAGAACCCATATCACAATTAAACTTGGTTGTAGACTTCAACGGAAATATTTTTATATTCGCAACTGAAAAATGAAATGCAGGAGACTGATTTTATCCGCTATCGAGGTGGAAATTTTAATACCCATGGTTACTTTACTGGTGGTTCAGATCATACCAACACGGACTGAGCTGGGGTTTATTTTTGGAAATTCAGATATTCGATATAAGTAATTAATTACACCCGATTCAAAACTAAAATTGTAATTAATAAAACAATAAAATTGAATAAAAACTATCACAGTATTAAGTAAATCGGACAAAAAAAATTAACCAAAACCAAATAAAAAATATACATTACATTTAAAAAGACCATTACCATTTTGGTTTTTGTACCAAAATTCTGCAGACTAAAAAATGTTAATACCTTTATCATTTTTTTTCCATTTTGTGGATATTAATATGATTCTCTTTAAACTTAAAATTTAAGTAATATATGTGTCATTTTCATTCTTTGTTTTCGGATAACATGCAGGTTTCAATCAATTTACAGAAATTTGCTGTGGCTTAGCGCGGAACAGTTGCGTTTTTACCAAATTTTGGCCTAAATTAGGAAAGATCTACTAATTTTCGTTTGAATCATTCATCTTCATCTTAAGCAATAAAAATAGAGAGATAGGCGCGCAAAATATGAAGCAAGGAGACTCATTTAGCAGATTAAACTTTATATCCTGCTAAACCAAGATATCAACTGGTGAAAAACTTTAAATAAATATAAAGATCGCATCGGCCCAAAATGAAAATAAATTATTTACTGGACAATGTACCGCAAAAGAGTAATAATTAGAAAAATATGTCGGTATATATATATATATATATATATATATATATATATATATATATATATATATATATATATATATATATATATATATACAAATGTTAATAAAAAGTTACTCTAAATTTATTTGATTTATATTTTATGTGAATAAACCCTCTTCAAATGTTTTTTCAGCAATTATTTGATATTTGTTCATCACTTTTAACGCTTAAACAACTTTTTTAAATTAATTAATTATAAATTATTAAATAATGATAAGTAGGTACATAATTAGTGTTATGCAACAAGTTTGATAAATGTCATTTTAGTCACGAGTTTCATTTCGTGCGACTTTAACGCAGCGGAGCAAGTGATCAACAAATTCAATATCAACGTGTTGACAGACTATATATTTTTCTGCGACTATTACTTTTTTGCAAACAAGCACAAATACATTCATTGAGTGACGCGTGACCGTCACAATTGAGCAACGTCAAATCCGCAAGATTAAAATCTACCGAAAAAATACGATTTATCCTTAACTAAAGTACCAGAAACAGTATGCGATCGTGGGGACGAACTGACAAAGTGACACTTTCCGCACGCTTGATGTGTACACAATTGGGTATTTTAGAGAGTAGGGAGTGGAAAAAAACGTATTATTTAGTTTGGTTTTGAATAATTCGGTAATCAACGGTGCAAACGAAATAAGTCACTTTTAGAATAAAAATGTCGAAATAATCCTCACGAACTGGTATTTTTTAAATGTTGACATCTATTTTAGCAAGATTTTCCCACAAAATTATTGATAGGTGTCCAACTCTGCCTCGTTCCAAGTGGTTTTGGAACAAAATAATAGGTGTCGTAAATTAATCTAAATTGCACTGCCCTCTACATCTTATAAAATTGTCATACACCGTCTATAAAATGTACTCTCACAAATACATTTCTAGAGCTTTTTTGGGGTGTTTGATAAAATGTGACTTTTTGAGTTTTAAATTTTACGTTTAAGTTATATTAAGTTAGAATATGAGATAAGTCACATTACTTATTTTTAATAATTTTACCTCTGCTTATTAGTATATTATGCGACGAGTTTGATAAGCGCCAATTTAGTCACGAGTCAATTTTATCAACTGTTGCATATTACACTTTTTTTGGAAAAACAGCTCGAACATATTTACTGAGTGTCCTGTGACGTGATCGTCAGATTTGATTTGTCTTAACACTTCCCGTTCGCTTGATCTCTGCTTAAATGAGTATTTTAAAGTGGGGAGTGGAAATATGTGTTTTTGAGTAGATAATACGGATTTTTTGAAACTGTTTCTTTAAAAATTATATAAATCCTATATCTAACATCAGGTGGTCTGATATATTACCTCTACCTACTGAAAATTTGGAATCGTGGACGGATGAAAGCTATTATAAGTTTGGTATCATATTAGAGTGGTCCCGATGCCAACAAGTATTTGTAATTGCGTCCCCTGTCTCGTGCCGCCACTGGTCGCGTCGGTAAAATTTTCTAAAATGGTTGCCGGGTGAGGCGGAGTGGGACGCTGCTCAAAACGATCACGTGACCAACAGTAGATGTATACTACACCAACTACACAGCTCCTATTGACTACGAAGTATAAAAATCGATTGCGTCATATCGGGATAACAACTCAGCGTTTGGCTTTTTGGCAAGCTCGTGTAAAAAACGATTATGGCATGAGGGCATGAGATTGACTCTAAATTTTGAAGTTAGCAGGGATTGGAGAAATCGATATAGCAAAATTTTCCTACGTTATTGATCTGTCACGCAAAAATTACACAAAGCAGAAAAAAGTCTGTTTTAATTATATGCGCTTTGGCGTTTCTGTTTCTTGTCCCAATCAGATTTATGGATAGCACCCATTTTAACAATATATTTTGTATCTAATTATTTACTCTCTATTGGATGTTTACGGTTTTGATGTCGTTTTATCCAAATTTTTGAAGACTTAATTCATGCGTACATAATTCCTTAGTTTTTCCAGGGAGGAGGCAAGATGGGTTTTCCATTACCAATTAGTGTAATTATAAACACCGTCATCATTTTATTTTCATTCGTTTCATCGATTAGGTGTACCATACACGTCTTAGACATTGGAACAGATTTATGGACTTGGTTTTGGGGGATTGTTTTGGTATTATGCAAACTTATAAAAAGCATCTACCTGGCAAAGTGATTACCAGAAATTTTGATTATTGTTGCACCAGATAAGAATTACTCTCAACTAGATCATAAAATGACAGAAGCGATACTACAGCCTGGATCAAATTTTAGAATACATACATTCAAATCCGTTCTGCTTGACTAACGGTATTGTTCGGGCCAATTTTTTTATGACTGAAAATCGTATTACTTCGAAGTATGAAGCTACATTAAAGTTACTTGAAACGATCTTGTGCAAAGGATTCTTGTTTTTTTTTTTAGAAGAGCAAGAGACACCCGCGGATTTAAACGCGCCCATATTGTTTAAAGCCCCGGACAAATCAAAACCCAACTCAGAAGTGTCGTCCAAACAGTCCGTCAGCAAAAGGCGGTCTTCGTCGACTGATCAAACTAAAAAGTCTTCGAAAAAAATTAAAAATTCTAGTTTGCTCTCTTTCGACGACGAAGAAGACGAATAAATTGAAAGGTAATTTATATTTCCATTTAGTTTTCGGGGGGCATTGCTACAATAATTCTTAGTCATTAATAAAATAACAAAAACGCAGACAAAGTTTACGCCCACCCTAGCCAGGGTTCGTGTTCGCTAGGGTTGAGAGATTTTTGTGAAAAAATATTCAAAATATTCGTCACGTGTGCATGTTTACGAAAATTTTTTAACAAAACAGCGTAGCGGTACATGGAGTATGGTAAAACTTGGCGAAAAATTCGCCGAAGTTTAAATAAAATGTGTGGAAGAAATATGGCCGACATAGAACCACGTTGCCGGCGTCGAGCAAAATTTAACGGAAACAGCGAGAGCACTAGCTAGCATGAGGTTCGGACCAAACCATTCTCCTACAAACAGCGTAGCTTACATTGGGAAGAGGGGCAAAGGGGGGTGCTCGGCCTCTCGGTGCACAAAGAATGACGTCATTTTTCTTTAATCTTCAATCGAAAAAGCACAAAAAAGCGCATTTTTCTATTTAGGCGCGAAAGCGCTGATTTAAACTGCGTCGACGGTAATTATTTAAAATATATTGGGATCGACTAATGCCGCACCTATAACTAACGAAATTTAGGATATCGAACATTTTCGTATATACTTTTTCTTATTGCTTTGCTTGCATAAAGACTATTTGTTTTGAAATATATAAAAACGCATTTTTCGGTACAGGGGCGCCAGAGTTTAAGAATATATTTTTTTATTAAATAAAAAATGAATTAGGAAAAATTATGTTTTCGCATCGGTTTCAATTTTTGTGATGTGCGAATCGATAATTGTGCTGTGATTTTATAAAAATTATATCCGTTGCTTACGTAACGAAAAAATTTTAAGACATCGCGGAACGAAAAGCTACGTCACTATTTTCGGTCACGTGACGTACCGTTAGACGCCATATTGGCAGTTTAGTGCGTTGCCAGGGTTCAGCATGATAGTGTGCGGCTCATTGGACGTCTCGGATCAAAATAAAACCGATAATTAACGGAAAGAACAGTTTCGGGGTCGATTGTTTGTGTAATTCGTCGGATTTGGGTATCGGCACATTTGAATATCGCGGGTCGTCAAGATTTCGATTCGGGTATTTACGATTGTCACGGAGTGTGTCTCGATTGGTGGTGCAGATGTTCTGTGTTTCTTTGCTGACGATCCCATGTGCCTTGGCGGGAAATTAAACAAATTATAATTTTAATGGTAAATATTGGTTTATATTTTGTGCGGAGACTGAGAAAAATGTCGTCGGTGGACCCTGTGGAGGAGAATTTAACTCGAAGCAGTGGGGTTATTCGTCCAGCGGCGGCGTTGGTTGCGCTGGGGATATTGTTATCATTGCTAAACAGTGGTGGGGTTGGCTACTCAGGCTGTTTGAATTTTCGAAACTCTTCACTAACAAGCACCTTTGAAAAAAGTTGGACCTTGTACCGAATTACGAGAACATCATTGGAAAATACTACTAAATATTTATTTTGAGGTTATATTTTATGTATACTCTATCCTTTATTCTATTTTCTATATTTCTGAGTACAAAAATAACCTGTTAACACGTTAAAACAGTAATGTTTGACCATGGCAATAAAGGATTTACAAAATCAGCACTGACCAACATTCTTTAATGGAGAAATGATATATTTATCCTGATGCAGTGGCGTAGGAGACGTTTTGAAGTCCAAGGGATATTGTTGTCATTTCTGAACAGTGATGGGGTTAACTGAGCAGGGTGTTCGAATTTTCAAAACCTATCACTAATAAGTAATTTAAGGACTGTCTTCCTTGTACCGAATTATGGAAACAACAATGAAAAATAATTATTGGAAAATTGTTTGTAAATAACTTGTCCCTTAGTCGATTTTATTAGCTTCTTGAATCTTCAATAGAAAAAAATGAACTGTTAACACATTAAAACAGTGATATTTGTGTATGGAAATAACCAACATTAACTTAACAATCCTTGAGGAGATACTTTCCTAGTTACAATGATATATTTATCTTGTTGAGATGGCATACGAAACATTTGGAGCAACAGGTTCATGTTTATTCATAGTAGGCAATATTTCCCGAACCATCAAATAAAACAGTTTTGGTATATTTATGCATTAGATTTGTTTGATAATATTACATGGACTGCTCAAGAAAAAATATACCTATTGAAAAATTAATTAGCACACAAAATTAGAATCAGGGATCTGAAATTTTAATATTTGGAGATTGTGACTGCATTTTCATAATTCATCCACTAACTATGAATTTTTTGACAGACCCGATAGTTGTCGGCTATGGCAGAAGTGGCAGATATGGGGGAAGTGGACGAGATGCATTCAAATGAAGGTCGGCCCCCTTTCAAGTGCCTAGTAAATTAACAAGGGTAACCTAATTTATTTTTAATAGGTGTGCTGGTGAATGGCAGTTTAACAAACGACGTTGACATGGAGAGCCAGGACAGCCAGGACAGCAGTAAGAAAATTAGGATACCTGAATCAATGGATATTGATCATGCAGACACCAGTGACAATGAAACTGATGAAACCAAGGAAGGCAATCCAGACAGTATTTCAACTGAAGACGACAGTAATGATAACATGGCCGACAGCAATTCAGTAACTACAGAAAATCATTCCATTGAAACGGAAGAGACTAGTAGTCAAGAAGGAAAAGAGACTGAAGATCAAGACTCCAATTTGGGGGAGCTTGAATCAATTAGGGAATTTAGTGATAGTGAAAAAGTAGTGGATCACATAAGTAGTTCAAAATTAGATGAGGAATCGCAACAAAGTACAGAAGGAGCTAAAATGGCGCAAATAGAAATAAAAACAACTAGTGAAGAAGCTGTTCTTGAAGTGCACACCGAACTACACCATAAAAAAGGTATTTACTTTGTTACTGACGGTGATGTACCTAATAGTGTAAAAAAAAACGAAAAAACAAAGTAATAAAAAATAAAAATTCATATTTGGATTACAATGATCTGAAAATTACTGAAAATATTTATTCACTATAGTTACTCTCAAAGTTTGTGACAGAGGATGAAGCAGTTTTTTAAAAATTATTTTGGATAAGACATTGAACTTTAATGTTATAAAAACTGAACTAATCCACATTCTTTAAATAAGCAATTTATTATAATATAATGAAACATGATCCATCTTTAGCTTTAACTTGTGGATTTAAAACTGTCTTAGAAGCATTAACATTATAATCCAAATCCAAATGTCTGATGGGCATATGATGATGTTTTGGATATTCTTAACTTCAATTCAATATTCAAAACTAGAAGTCTATCTGATCAACATTTTATGACTATTGAATTCTTATGCATGTCTCTTTCCTGCTATGGACTTGCAAATTAGACGAGCTAATTAGTGTGTTGTATCTGTAAATGTGTTGTAATGTTTATCATTTAGAATGGACTTGTTTGTCTCTTTTATTTATTAATAAGTATTTAGCCTAATATGCCATCCATATTGTAGATAAGGAAGAAGAAACAAAAAGAGAGTCAAGTGATGAATCTGAACCCAAACAAATGCTTGAAAATTTAGAAGGAAAAAATATCAGTTCTATAGAGATCCACCAGATTGATGAAGAAGAGAAAAGCAAACATCATGAAACTGTGGAACTGAATACTGACAGTGAGGATGACGCTGATGTTATGATAGTTGATTCACCAAAAACGAATGGCACTTCTCATGAAGTCATTGATCTCGTTGAGACACCAGAGAAACATAGCAAGATTGGAAAAGATGCTATCACGCCGCGAAGGAGTTCTAGGAATTTAAATAAGAACAAAAGTTATGCTGAGAGTGATAAGGAAGACACACCTCCACCACGTCCTGTGGCACCAGTTGAGTCTGAGGGGTCGGATATTGAAGAAGTACTTCCTCAAGATCCCCTGGCTGTGAATGATCAGATCACAGTTGAGAGGATACCCCTTGAAACCAGCAAAAGCGCTTCGACGATCGTGGTGAAAGACACTAAACGCTTAGTAGAAATTGCTTCTAAATCGAATTCTAGTGGTTCTTCTATTAGTGGCGGCAAAAAAGAACCAACACTAGTGATAATAGACACTAATTCGATTCTCTCAGGCCGTGGTCCTGTTCCTGTGAACAAATCCGCGACCCAAGGCACTTCTACCTCAAACTATTCCTCCGCGCTGCCCGTCTCTATACCCGCTCAGTATCCTCAAAATATGCGAGCCACCATAACTCCCATTCCTGTCAACTCAAGTCAGGTGAGTGTCGCCGCTGTTTCTAAATCCAGCGCCGCCACTATAACTCCGAATCCCACTCCTTTGCTGCCTACATTGACAGACGATATGTTTGTGGTCGAAGCGCCTTCATTTATAGTGCCCTATGTGTATGAAAAACCTCCAGTGAAAATTCTCAAAGATTTTGTGGCGGATTTAAAGAAGCAAATCCAAGGGAGAAGGAAATCAAAAATTGACAAAGCAAAAGGGGAAGCTAAGGCTATGGTAGAGTCAAAAGATAATTCCAAAAACGATAAGGAAAACAAAGAAGTGAATGACAGTGAGAAGAAGGAATCAGAATCGGAGGAAGAAAGTGAGGAGGAGGAAGAGAAGAAAACTGATGATCTTAGGAAGCCTTACAATTATTTTAACAGTCCATTGGGGAAGTTTTTTACCGATATCGGGTTCAATATGGTACAGGAATATGTTCAAGCTGACTTGCTAAAACAGCAGAAACGAAAACGGGAAAGGGAACAGGGCACCAATCCTGAGACAAACAAAACAATTCAGTCGCTGATGAAAAACCTAGAACTGAGCAAAGATTCAAATGACCACTTTAAAATGGAGTTGAAAAAGTGTGAGTTCTGCAACTTCAAAACTGAATCCACTTTAGCTATGGCATACCATTTGGAGACGCCTCACATGAAGAACTTTGTTTATAAATGCAATTTTTGTCCCTATGAAGTGCGAAGTCCCCATGACATTCTGTTTCATATGGAAGCGGAACATGCAGTCCGTGGTAAGTAATATTGTTTACATTAACTTCTACTAGTAATATAGAGCCTTAAAAAGAAAACTAAATCCATCAACAGATGTCAAGGATTTGTTATAGTGAAACTGACATTTACTATTTATTTATGGAACTGTTGCAATATGCCGCCTAATTTCATTGCATTTTTTTAAAACTCATTGTTTCATATTATAATGGTGATAAACAGGTTTGATATTTAGACATAATTTTTCATTAGGATCAAACCGGAATTGGTTTTAATCTTATAATATGACTATTGAAAATGCATTTTGTGGCTAATTTGGAGACCATATTCTATTTCAGGTCATTTAGAAAGAGCTCCTGCTTTTCATCAGTGCCCATCTTGTCCATTCGAGGACAACCAAAAGGGGAAATTGTCGCGGCATCTGGTGGTTTGTGCACGAAAGTTCAAACCAGATCGGAACTTGGAACCTCCGGCCGATTGGGAACCACCCGCCAAGATACCACGCATGCCCAAATTAAGGGCTCAAGGGTTAAATGCTACAGCGGCTGCTTACCAAGCGATGAGTAAAACCGGCCAGTATCAGTTCCTATCCAAGGTAATTGACGTCAAACAATTTCAAAGAAACACTCCTTTTGCTTGTGTGAATTTTACTTAGGATTATATTAATATTTAAGATGCAACTTCAAAGCACAAATCCTGCATTACAACGGGGCAGGGGCCGACCCACTTTGGGACCAAATATGAAAGTCCAACCAATGCTGAGACCACAGGGTATGGTGTTTAAGCAACAGGCAATGTCTGGCGGCTCTGTGTTGGTCCCTACCAATTACCAGTTGAGCGGGAACCAAGTGTTTCAGGTAGGTTTTGTTTTCCTAAAATACAGGTATTTACTGTAGATTTCAATGTTACCTTGTACATACAGGGTGTAATTTTTGATGTTTTTGAAGCAGAGATAAAAAGTTGCCTTTGGTACCCTAGAACAAAAGGTTTGTTTTTTGTTTTATAACAGATGAACCAGCCCTTAACAAATTTTTTCACTTGGATCTTTAATTGTGTCAAAAACTGTAAACCGCAATTCTACAGAAACCTCTGTACACTCAGGTTAGACACCCTGTACAAGGCTCGAATTATCCTTGTGATTAGCCTTCAATTTTTAAACAGTTTTCAGTAGTTCGTGAATTTTGAAGTTGCCTGGTTACCCCAATTTCTGCTTTTTGGTAAAATTTTTCAAAGTAATTGCTTTTGCGGCTACCCAAAATGAATTTGATAGCGAAATAAGTATGTTTACTTGTTATTTGATCTCTGGCTGTGGAATTAGGTGGTGGGCGGTGGTCAGGACTTGGGCGGGCGGCTTGGTGTAGCTCCCGGCCACATGGCTTTTGTCCCACCCAACATGGCCGCCTCCGCCTCTTCTAGCATGCTCACCGTTCAGGTACGGACGATTCATAATGGTGGTGTCGAAACAAACTTTCAGCTTCCGCTTCTCCCTTTTTCCAATACATTTTTTTCAGATTGATTTTGTTTTGCATGTCAGTAGCCAAATGAGTTTATTTTGATTAATCGTTGATTTTGTTTAACATCGTTTGGCATCTGGCTGCTGATTACTGTTCCCTCCTCCTTGGTCGTTAGTTTTTATAATTTATTTTTATGAATTAACAAGTTTTTGGTTGGATTCATGCGAGTAACACCAGTGAAGTACTACATTTTGAATCCGGTTTTACTCACATTTGTTCATTCTTTTTCAGAACGCGACGCAACAGAAAAAGCCTACGAATCAACCCAGTATTTCCATTACGCCATTGCCTAGAGGCACTACAGCTACACCTGCCGTCACTTCTAAACCCGGCGATACAAACTCTAAAAATTCTTTTGTCATTTGCGAAATTTGCGACGGTTATATAAAGGTAAAAAGAATAATATTATTCCACTATTTCACACAAAGTTGTACTTCAGTTCTAAACTAACTATAGTTGTTAGTAAGCATATGAGCATTACTGTAGCTTGTTTTATTAAAAAGAAATAATTTGAGCGGCGCCCAAATGTTATGACTCCACTAGATTGGTCACACTTCTTTAGGATTTGGAGCAACTGCGGAATCACATGCAGTGGATCCACAAGATCAAAATTCATCCGAAAATGATCTACAATCGGCCGCCATTGAATTGCCAAAAGTGCCAGTTCCGTTTTTTCACGGATCAAGGCCTGGAGCGGCACTTGTTGGGATCACACGGATTAGTGACCTCTAGTATGCAAGACGCAGCAAACAAGAGCAAAGATTCAGGAAGGTGTCCCGTGTGCGGACGGGTCAGTATATCACGGAAACCTTAAAACAATTGTACTAAATTCGATGTATTTCAGGTTTACCAATGGAAATTGCTTAACCATGTGGCTCGAGATCACGGCATGACACTAAAGCCGGCGCATTTGTCATACAAGTGCACCGTTTGCACGGCTACCTTCGGCATGTACAAACAGTTTGAGAATCACGTATATTCTGCGCATAGTGTGGTGGCGAAGCGGGTGATGGACAAAAAGCATAGCATGCCACTGCCTTCTTCAGCCGTTTCGAAGGTATGTTTTCATAATATAGTATAATATGGTTAACAGGGTAAAGATGGCAGTAGCTTTGCCATTATAGAAAAGGCAGTAATTTCATTTTATGTTGCCTGCAGAAAACAAAATTTTTATTGTTTTTCAACGACTTGGCCGAAATTTAAAATTAAAGTGCACTTTTCGGATAAGAAAAATATTTTGAAACTTATGCTCGTTACTTTGTATTAGATCTTAATATATTTTGAAAATTAAAGGATTAAAGGCTGTTAAGTTGTTTTTTTCTTTCTGTGATCTTTGTCACATCACTGTTAACTATCAGAATAGGGACCACATGAAGATAACAGAAAAATAATGAAAATTTTTAACCGACTCCGCCTTACATTGGAGCGCAGTTCAACAGAAAATGAAGGGCAAAATTTTTAAAAACCGTTAAGGAACAGGGTTAACGCAAATGAACTAACGATTTAGGTAACGGACATGAAACCCTTGAAAATAAACGATGAAATCACCATTATCCCGCAACCGGCAAAATCCGCGAATGGTGCCAGCAAAGAGGGCAGCCCCTCCTCGACGACCTCGACGAATTCCAGACACAGCACCCCGAGCACTAGCAAAAGTAGGTAAATTTCCAAAACGAGAATAGAATGAACCGAAATTAAAAAATGAACATTAAAAAAGGATATTTTGCTTTTATATTATATATATATTACATGTAGGTAGATTTTTTAAACAATTATTTATAAACAGAGAGAGCGAAAAAAAGTTGATATCGAATAATGTAACATATTTACAAGGAAGATGTATACTTAGGTTAGTAACGGGCGGTAGAAGAAAGGAATTGTTTCATTTAGTGTAAACTACTAAAGGAACAAACGTAAACTATTTAATAAAAATTATAGATTTTTTTTTTCGTACATCAGGTAGATTATATTTGAAAGTAGGATGCAGTGGCCAGTGGAATTCTTTTGTAAAAGGAACGTCCCGCCATTGTTCCTGCTGCCGATTAAAAACTGTATAAACTAATTATTTGTATCACACAATTATTGTACATAGGTACCATATTCTTCAATATACGTTTTTGCAAAACCCCAAGTTTTTGATATTGAGGCAAAAACAATTGAATGTCTTTTTTTTATCTGTCCTTATAGATCTTTCGCATGAAGGTGGCGCTTCTTGAACTGGGCGGAGAAGAGTGGCAGAATTTAAGTGCTAAAAAATATTGGTGTATTCAATGACCATGTGTAATAGGGTAGCTCCCCATATCATTAGATATCTGTTTCAAAGTTGGGAGTGTCTGTGAAAGGCAGGTAGCCAAGAACACGTTTTGACAGTTTTGTTTTTAGTGCCTCTGGATAATATTAATTTGGCACTATGGTTAAGTTTAAGTTTACCTCTGTCTCATATTTTCATGCCTCTGCAATTTATACTTAGCGACTGCCTTTGCGTTTGCATACTTTAAATTCAATCATTGGCATCACAGATACTTAACCATGTTCACTTCACACAGGTGAAGTTCAACGTTTTTAAGCAGTAAATTTTTTTTTTAAACTGGGCGAATATTTTAAGGTTGCTTTCGGGGGAAACACTTTAGTTTTAGTTCAGTAAAAATACTGTAAAAACGTGTCACTGGCCTTTTTCGGGGAAGGAAACTCCGTATGCGAGAATAACCAGTGTAATATAAACACAAGGTTGAAGATTGAATATTTGTAAATTTTTTGTTTGTATAAGGAATATTCTTGTGGCGGAGATGTGGTAGAGAAGACTAATATATATTTTGAGCCGAAAACGACTATAAAATATTGCTTAGTAGAAAACTGTAAAGACCAGAAACAAAATTTGGATTGCTAGATTATATATACCTTTTATGTGCTAAAATTGAAGAAATTGCAATCAGCATAGTATCCTCTCTAATGTTTCATGTAAATAGTTACAACTACCACTTACCTTTACCACAAATTTCTATGTATATCTATCATCCGGAAAGAGTTCTTATTTCCAGCAAGTCTGCTCTATTCAATAGTAAAAGTCAACTATTTTATGTTCACCTAATAAAGCCCTAAACGCTATAACATAGGTTTTGAACTGGAATCCCAAGCCATTTTCCTACATTATTTGGTTGGACGGTAGGATATAAACTGTATTCTAAAACACTCTGGGATTGCTTAGAGCAATGTTTTTTTGGCAATATCCAGTGTACATAAAGTGATTAAATTAGCGCGTTTTAAATCTAACAGTTCACTAAATATCTGAAAAAAAAAAAACTTTGAAAAATGGTTTTAGTTCTCTCTGCATTATTTGAAAATTATTTCACAATGAATGGGTTGTATCAGAATAGTAATCTGATGTTTCGCTGTTGGTCGCCATCATCATTATTCAAAATAAATTGGAGTCACTTTCCTAATTTTTTAGGCGCGATGCTTACATTCTTAATGCAGTTGCCAATAACTTTTGCTATATTTCAGTTGTATTTCGCAATAAGCTATAGTGTAAAAAAATAGCAATGTCTGATTAGTAATCACACTCACAACCACAGATTTTCCTTGTCTTTCTCTAATTTCATGCTACTTGGCCGAATAATAGATAGTATTGATCAACTATTTTTGTTAGGGATTTTGATTTGATTTTTAATCAAAAAATCAAAATTTAATCTAAATATCAACTTGGTTTCTTACATGTTAGTAAAGTATTTGTCCTCATTCAGAACTTCATGATAAAAAAAAGTTTTGTGAAAAACTACTTATTACGTCTCAAATTGTGTTTTAGTGAAATATTTTTGTTGATAGTAAACCAAGGAAATTCCAAAAAATTAATATATACATATAAATGTGTTTAATATATGCCTTTACCTTCTTTCAGAAAAACAAAACTTGCGGTTGCAATTTTGTTAACATACTTAATTTATTTTTATATCACTCAGATATTTGTTTCAAATGCCTTTAAGTAAAATATAACTTAATCATTTTTTAATATGTTGATGTTTTAATTAATTGCCCCAAATCTATTCAAAAATATAATTAAATATCAAATTTATTCAAACGTCATCATGTGTATTTGAACATAAGAAATAGAAGTGCTGATATAGCATATGACCCAGCCATGTTTATTTGGTTAGCTTTGGTTAACTTGTTTTGTTTTGGATTTAATGCTAACGAATTAAGCTTTGGTTGACTTATCCCCTAGTACCATCCGCTAGCGGATAAGGACATCTCACATTCTTATTGTATTAGTAATTATGGAATTTAATGCAACACAATAAGCAGATAAAACTAGATAGTCCGCATATATACCACTCGAGCAGCAAAGAAATTTTAATTTTTTAATTTAATTTTTGTATATTTTGAATAAAATTTCGACAGTATCGACGAATTCCGACGATTTTTTCGAACGTGGGACAGAAACAAAATAAATTGTATTTTTCGGTCTTACCATACTTTTCTCATTAAATAAACTATTCCCCAAAATGGTGGACTGAACTTCTGAAACTAGTTTATGAGATGTGAAAAATAAAAATTACCATAAAAGCGACATTTCCCGAAAACTGTGAAAAGACAGAAATTCAAACCACAGGTAAGTGGTTGATTAGAATTTTTTTAATTCCTGGGAAAAGAGTGCAATAAACTGTTATTGACGAGCAATCGTTCAAATAGTGCGTTAAATTATCGTTTAAATTTTTCGAGTACTTTATAGGTTGTTTTTGGGCGCAGACATTGCCACCGCCGATCTACTCTCCCTTAACATTAAAAACTACCGTGTGAAAAGTTAAAAACCACTAAAATAATCAAACATTACTTTCGTCAAAGTTGTGTCGTGTCTACCTACCACCTTAAAATTACTGGTTAAATTTTACATTATATTTAGGATACCTGTTTCCAAAAAATACTTATATGTATCAACCCTATAAGCATTTCTTTTTATCAGGAAAGAGTGAATAACTTTTTATATTCGCCATTATTTGTCTACAATTTATATGTGAAAACTTAAAGCATGACGTAACTAATGTGTGTCATAGAATATTAAATTCTCTAGCCAGAGATCACAGGAAGGTAACAACGTTCGTTATTACTCTCCTTAATCATAACCTCAAAGATCACGCTTGTTATTTTACGTGGAGTTGATTTATTTGTTTTTCAACATAATGGTAAGAACGTTTAATGTATATGTTTAATATACATACATTTTTTTATATTTTTATTTAGAAACCAATCATTTTGCATGGTCACGAGCGTTCCATAACCCAAATCAAATACAATAGGGAAGGCGACTTGCTGTTTTCCTCCTCCAAAGACAGCAAGCCAAATGTTTGGTACTCGCTAAATGGTGAACGTTTAGGCAGTTTTAACGGTCATCAGGGAGCTGTTTGGTGCATTGATGTAGATTGGACCACTACAAGATTTTTGTCTGGGGCAGGTGACAACACCCTAAAAATATGGGACTGCCAGACTGGAAAAGAAATAGGCAATATTCCTACCCTGTCTTCTGTTAGGACTTGTTTGTTCAGTTATTCTGCAAACATGGCGGTTTACACAACTGATGCAGCTATGAAGCAGCAATGTGAAATCTTTATTATAGATGTTAGGACAGTTGACGAAAGCATATCTAATCAAGACCCAATCCTAAGAATTCCTATTAGTGGTTCAAGAGTATCTTCTGTATTGTGGGATAATCTAGATGAAGTTATTATCACGGGTCATGAAAATGGAGAAATAAATCAATGGGACTTGAAGGTGAGCAACTTAAGGGGTGCATTCAAAAATATTTTGTAAAGCAACTTTACGTAAACAAAAAAATATAACAGTTCCTTTCTAAAATGATCAACGGAATTTTCTATTAGTTTATCATAATATATATGCAGTGACTTTGGGAAAAATTATAAACCAGTTAAAACAAAAAATATTTTTAAATTAGTCTACACTAAAATTCTATACAAAAACTAAAAATGTGAAATAAGCAATATGCATTGTTTATTGCCTGGTTTTCATTAAATGCAAATAAAATATAACTTGTTCTGTTTATTTATGGTCAAATAATTATTGGTAGGTTATACATTTTTTTTGTATTTGTCATTTACAAATATTGGTGCCTACCATTCAAGGAATTAGATGAACTCAGTAAAAATTTTCTCGCATTTTGCTGTCATATGAAATGAAGTCCCAGAGAAAAAAATTAATATATGTTGCATATTTCTGAACAGGCTTCCAATAGAAATGGAAGAAATGTGTACTCCAGCCTTTTCTGAATGCACCCCAGCAATCAAAGCTTTAATATATTAAAATTGGCTAATTGTAGACAGGAAAGCAATTAAACAGTACCAAAGAACATGATCATTTGATAAATGATATGCAATGGAATAAAGATGGCACAATGTTCATTACAGCATCTAAGGACCACACTGCTAAGCTGTTTGATGGGGATAATTTAATGTTGCTTAAGACTTATAAAACTGAACGGCCAGTAAACTCGGCAGCTTTAAGTCCAATCGCAGAACATGTTGTGTTGGGAGGTGGTCAAGAAGCTATGGAAGTAACAACAACAAGCTCAAGAGCTGGGAAATTTGACTCTAGATTTTTCCACTTGGTATTTGAAGAAGAATTTGGCAGAGTTAAAGGGCATTTTGGTCCTATTAATAGTATTGCTTTTCACCCTGATGGTAAAAGTTATTCTTCTGGAGGAGAAGATGGTCTTGTTAGAATTCACAATTTTGATTCATCATATTTTGAATATAATTTTGATTATTAGCATTAATTTATTTTTTCTTGGTTTGTATGTATTATACAATTAATACATTATCACAAAGACAACAAAGTTTTATTCACAATGAAAATGTACTTATTTAGATTCCATAAAAATTTACAAAAAAATACTTTATTCATTTGATATGACATACCCAAACTTAAACAAACAGTCTCTTAGATAATGTACCACTAGAATCAACAGAATCAAGTAACTTTCTTTTTAAAGAAGGTCTTTCAATTTCACTAACTTTTTTAATACACTGGGGGAGTGGCAACTTGGGTCCCATAGTAGGTGCTGGTTTATTTGTAAAAAACTGCATTTTTAAACACTCTGTACAAGTTTTCCTCATAATTGGATTCAAAACCAACATGCACTCAATTACGTTAATTAAATCATCGCCAGCTGCTGTGAAAATAGATTTAAGAGGAATAGCTGGAATGGGTTTAAACTCTATGTAGTCTGATAAAGTTTTCAATCCAGGCCAGTTTTCTTCATTAGGATTTCCAAAAACTCCAAAAATTTTTGTTAATTGGTCTAAATCTGATTCTCCAGGAAAAAGTGGCACTCTTAAAAGTAATTCTGCTAAAATACAACCAACAGCCCATATATCTATGCAGGTGCCATACTGTTTAGCACCAAAAAGTAATTCAGGGGATCTATACCATCGGGTGACAACTTGATGAGTATTAACACGGTTTGGAGAACCAAACATTTTTGCTAATCCAAAATCACCAATTTTCAACACACCGCTGGAATTTACCAACAAATTGTTTGGTTTCAAGTCCCTGTGCAAAATCCAATTTAAGTGCAGGTACTCCAGACCTTTTAACGTTTGCAAGATGTAAGATTTGATGTTGGCTGTGGTCAAAATAATAGTGTTATCTTTAATGACAACTTCCAAATCAGTATCCATAAAATCAAACACCAAGGAAACATTCGACATATGTCCAAAAACATCTAGAAGTCCTATTAAGTTATCGTGGTGCAATTCTTGTAGCAATTTAATTTCTCTTAAAGCTGTTCTGTTGATTCCATCTTGCGCTTCTTCCCTACTTCCAATTTTAATTTTTTTTACAGCGACTATATTATCGTTCTCAATATCTTTCGCTTTATATACGGTAGCGAATTGTCCTTCTCCAAGGTACTCGATTTTTTCGTATCTTTTAAGTTTATTTTCCATAATTTAATAATATCAGAAATTCAAAATAGTAACCTCACAAAAATTAGATTTTTTTTATTATACCACAGATCTCAGATCACAACCTATGGCGAACTGGGGTACGTATCACGTAACGACATAGCATGCCGCATAAGAGTTAAAAAGGCTGTAATTTAAAGGTGCCTGGTAGACCGCATATCCTCCATATGAATATAATGTAAGTTTTGCACATCATTATTAGATACTCCTCAACTTATAAAAATTGAATATTTTCTAAAGGAATTTGAAAATTTAGAATTTCCCGCTTTCTTGTTGTGTTCCGTCAAAATCAACAAGTGCATTATGGGACTTCGGATTGTGAACGTTTATTATTAGTAGAAATTGTATTTATAACTTGGGTTTTATTAATTTAATTTTATTTTAATTGCCCAAGCGAGGAAGTGTATAATTACGTGGATAAGTTGTGATATGCCTTTTACGATCGACATCTACTTATCAAAACCTCTTTGTGTATTGTTTTTTATTATCTAGCTGGATAGAACATTCATGTCAAATGAACATAACCCATCCAACAATTTAAAATTGCCATACAGTAAGAAAGGTTTAAAACGTATGTATCTACACTTTTTAAATGTAAGAAAATGTGTTCAGCAAAAAGCTTTATTGCTTGTAAAGAAGGATTTTGATTTTTTTATGCTGTGTATATTTTCAGATTGATACCATGTTTTGGAACTTTAATACAACTGTTTCCCAAATTGATTCAATTTTAGCAAAAGAGGTAAGCAATCATTTATGTCGCGTTAAAATTCCTGAGTGTTTGTTTTTTAGGATGTTACTTTACAAGAAGTTTTGGATTCAGAAGATATTATAAACGATTGTCGACTGCAAAATAAAAATTTGATAGATTTGTAAGTCGAGGTAGTTAGTTTACATTGTAACTCAAAAGACATCATTTGCAGCCTTCAAAAGCCAGAAATCATGGAAGAGTTGGTAACATTAACTACTCGTGAACCTTCTTTGGATCTAGATGAAAAAGTTCGATTCAAATATCCAAACATAGCTAGTGAATTGTTAACATGTGACATTCCTACCATAAATGAGCGATTAGCTAGAGACGAATCTTTGTTGGAAAAGCTATATGCTTTCCTTGAAAATGATTCTCCATTGAATCCTCTTTTAGCTTCCTTTTTTAGCAAAATTATGGGTGCCCTTATTGCTAGAAGTTCTGAGCAGGTGTGTGTACACTTTTTTATTGTTTTTTTTTTAACATTATGAATACAAGTATAATGGAAATTCTTTTACCTGCCCTCCTACCACTCCTTGATCTGACCTAGAACTGGTTATCCTATCAGTTTACCAGCTTACAGGTTCTGCACTTTCTAAAAGCAAAAGAAACATTTTTACCTTTACTACTTAAACATCTGGGCACATCTGCTATTATGGATCTTGCCCTTAAACTTATGACCCAGGTAGAAGGTGTGGAAATGTGTCAAAACACTTTAAATGTAAGTGTAAATAACCATTATTGAGCAGATAATAATTGATTTTTTTAGTGGTTGGATAGCCAAATGATTATACAAAAGCTTGTGATTATGCTGAACCCTAAAATGGAAAAAGAGAAGCATGATAATGTTGCTCAATTACTATGTGATTTTATCAGAATAGCCCGTGATAGTTCCAGAATTTCCACTGAAAGGGCTGATCTTGATCCTTTAGTTAACACTTTGGAATCGTAAGTTACAATTTGTTGGTCTAAATATAATTTAATTTTGCACCTTTTTTAGCTCTGAGACTATCTGCTTATTGTTGGATCAAATATTTAGTGATGAAAAATGTGAGAGCGCAATTGTGGGAGGCATTCAAGTACTTTTGGCTTTGCTAGATGTTAATCAACCAAAGTGAGTTTCTAAAGTGTTTTGCAGAAATTTGCTTTTGTTCATTTGACTTTTAAAAAACTGCATTATAAAAATAGAATAATATACTTGCATCCAAAGTTTTAACCAATTATTGGACTGGTTTTTGCTCTCATCTCAATCAATTTTAATTTTTCTAAAATAACAGCAATATGTTTAGAAAACAATTAAGTTGTGAATAGCTCCTTTAAGCTTTTTTTGTTTGTTCTACCTGCCTACAAAGTTGTATACTGCAGGTAAACAGTATTCCCAAGACATCAATGTAACAAGACAAAAAATATTATTTAACCCAGTTCAATTTAAAAATTCATAGAGGTATGATATATCACTAAACATTTTATTTTATACAATTTGAACCTTAAAAGTTAAAGTTCAATATCATCAGGTACTTTATTAAAGAACATTATAGTCTAGTAAGTTGGATGTTTCTCTGTGGCCGTGATTTTTCTCTGGAGAAAATTTTGCAAGTCCTGCAAACTTCTTCCTATTGTTCCATGTCAGAAATTCTTGTTTTCTAAATGTACCTTTACACAAATGTCTTTTGTGACTTCTAAAAATTATAAATTTGTCTCTTGTTTGGGCAAGGACAAACACTTGATTTGCAGTTGTGCCTCTACATCAAAAAATAATTCTTTACGTCTTGAGGTGAGACAATGTTTCTACAAAAAAACGCAAAATGAAAAAAACTGAAACCAAACGGTCCTTATTATTAAAAACAATAAGCTTGCCATAGAAATTATTGGATGGAACTGTAAAGCTGTAGATTGTTTTCAAATAAAGTTTATTATTATTACTTTTCAAACACATTGTCAATTTTGCTCTCTAATTTTTTCTATCACAGTATCACCATCCATGTGGAAAAGAAACAGAGAATTGTAGATTCCACTATGGAAGCTATATGCACAAGAATAAAAGATTTCCACGACATATTATTAAATCCACCCAAGGTAAATATGAAAATCGCCTATAGGTGCTTTTTTGTTTCTCCCTTGGTTCTGGTTCTGGTACGTAATGACTCCTAAGGTTGGTAATGATTTTGATCCTGATGTTTAATATTTATCAGCTCTGTTAATAATAACAAAAATTATGTAACATATGAAACAAATAATAAAAATATGCTATTAGAATCAATTGATATAAAAAAATTTTGGTCCATCAAACTAAGACCAAACCTGTACCATTGTCATCAAATAACTACTAATTAGGACCAGAGTCAACCGTAGAACCAGAAAACCTGACGTAAATTAATTATTATGGGTTGAAACCTCATCCTTTGAGAACTTATTTTCAGCAACCCTTATTGATGACCACGGTTGGTACATTGGATCCGCCCCTGGGCAATACCCGTTTGCACGTCGTCAAACTCTTATCAGTGATTTTAGCGTGGAATAACAATCACCGTCTGTTGAATGAGTTGCGTACTCTGAACACATTTACTGTGATGCTAGATTTGTTTTTCAAGTACTCGTGGAATAACTTTTTACATGCGCAGGTGGAGAATTGTCTATTAGATGTTTTACACTTCTGCGAAATCAATGATGACAGTGAGTCAAGCTCACATGCCTTATGTAAACATGTAAGTAAATGTTCTCTGTATTTGGGATCTGTAAAACTATAGGTAGTCTGTATAAACTTGAATCTTCAGACACCTAAACTTACAATTTAGTGGAATTTTGGGTATCGAATTTTCGAGTTATTTGATGATAAAGAAAGCTTGATTTGTTTTTGTGATTTTTCAAATTATATCGTTTTGGTACACTTTACTTCTTAATAATCAAAATTCATTGTGTTTTTTTACAGGGTGGTGGAACCTATTTTCTTTTAACAGAGCATATTATATTTTTGTCCCTGTTTCATTTCTGAAATAAGGCATTTAACACTTCTTTTTTCTTTTTAGTCAAACTAAGTGATTTCTTTGGCGCAGGATAAACACTATGTTCTTTTTTGAAAATAATATTTACATTGATCATTTTTCTGGATATAGAAAAATTCACGTGAAACAGGGGGAATAAGGCAATAAAAAATATGCAAGTTAGAATAATTTCTACTTTTTTGACAAAAAAGTATGCAGGTGAATTCTGTTTTTTTTTTTTAATTTATTTAAGATCTTTATTCCAAATTACTCCCAATGTAATGAGAAAATCGCGAATTTCTGCACTTCTACACCTTAGAAGCTCTAGAAGGATACAAGATAACTGACTAAAAATTTCCTTAAACTTAAACTTCCTTTGAACTCTTAAACTTCATATTAGCATTAGACTTTTAATAAAGTTATGTTTGTTTTCAGTTAATAGTTGATTGCAAATTAGTGGACAGATTGTTGCAAGAATGGAAAGATAATGATGAACAAGAGTAAGTACTGTTTTATCTCAAAGCTGCTTGTCGTAAGCAGCGTATTATTTTAGGAAAGAGGGTAAACGTATTAGGCAAGGCTATATGGGCCACGTGATCAGTATAGTCAATAATTTAGTTGAATTGTGTGAATCAACCCCTCTTGGGAAAAACCTGCAAATCTGGCAGCCTGAAACTGTGAAACTTTTGGACGTGTTTAAGGAGACTACACTTGCTGAAACCAATAAAATGCAAGACATAGTTCTGGTAAAAATTGGTATTAATTTGGTCTTGGTGGTTATAATGATCATGATGATTCATTTTGTTGCCAAAATTTATAATATTTTCTATTATTTGTTTAACACGTTTGACTTAGGTTGTTCTCCATCTAGATATTTTTCAGGAAAGTTTTTGACAACATTTGATCTATTCTTCAAAAATTGAAAAACTTTTGTGTTAATTACTCAATTACCGGGCATGATTAATAAAATTTCTAAGAAGAAAAAATCATAGTGCCATTTCTTTAGTGCTCAATTTTAGCATAGAATTTTCGACGATTAATAGTATAGCATTTTAGCAATAGGAAGACGTTTTTTTTCTAATATTTCAAACTTTTTCAAATAGGCCACATTATACAAAGCCCCCCCCCCCCCCCCCCATTCATTTAAAAATTAGTACTACTGTAAAAGATAAAATTATAATAACTCGGATTTGGGAGTTCTTGATTTTATTTAATTTTATTTCGATTAAACAAACTGTCTTCCATATATTTCTATGGAATTTGCTGTAATTAAATTCTGAATAAAAGTATCTGACAGAAGTGTTACCGAAGAATCAATGTACAATTTAGAAAAATCAAATCATTAAAAGTAAATGAATGGTTTCAACTTACAAAAATAAACTGCTTTAAAAAGTGAACTTTTTAGGGTGGTGCCGACCCAAAAAGTTCTGTAGAAGATAATGATGAGTACGGAAGCATACCCAGTGCTTTCCCCCAACAAGTAAGTGACATGACCCTGTATAACTTTCAAGTTAACAACAAATTCACCTCATTTTTACATGTTTTAGCTCTTTTCCTCTTACCAGACCCAAAATTTAACCTACATCGATAGTTACGGTGGATTTAATGATGATGCATATAATGATGGCGATGGGACTCTGCAGTAAGAGTCACAGTATCCATAACATTCAGATTTATATTGGTTGTTTTTGTAGAACGATTGAAAACCCCTCGGACGCGAACTTTGAGCTCTCTGAAAATGACTTGGCCCAAAAGGACGAGTTTTTCAAGCAAATCTGCGCCCAGAAGATCAGCACTTTTTTCGACGCCGATGATCAAATATTTGAAGACAAGGAGCACACATTTCAGACTGTAATCGAGAAGCAGGGCGTCGACAAAAATGACGTTGTGTACACTAGTGGAAGCGACGACGACTCTCCAGAGAACATGGACGTGGATCGTAAGTGAAATTTGATTATTGTAAAATCATTATTTATATTTATGAAATATGCGTTATGTGTAATTTTTGCTTACCGATAACATTTGGAGCGTTGTCGTAAGTTTGCAAATGAATTTTTTTATTAATAGTAACTAGGAAACTGATATTTAAAAACTGTCAGTGAACAACAATAAGACACCAAGTTAACAATTAAAATAGTGTCGAGGAATGCTGGGTTTTCGTAAAATTGACAAAAAAAGAAATGTAGTAACACAGCGAAATAACGCTGTAATACTATTTACAAATATTCTAGATTCCTTCCGCGTTTGTTGTTGATGAATCAAACAGTTTTCACAATCAGTCTCGGAATACAGCATTAAACATCTGAAATGACTAGATACTACTAGATACTTTATCCTAAAAATGACTAATGTAATATTTACTTGGAAGACCAGTCGGCTGGGAATTGCGAGAAAGTTGAACTTATGAAAAAACATGGACCTGCATGGGAGGGAAATATTCATTATAATTCAAACAATCTTATCAAAGGACATCATTAAATTATTGTGATTTAACTAATGATATAAGAAAGCATAGCTTTAAACATTTCGTAAATACATGTACATCTTACTACTGAGGCAGCATCGTTTTAACATGAACCAAAAAATTCAGTTTTAACCATCATTAAAATTAAAACTAGAAAGTTAGACTGCCTTTAGTTTTTGTTCATTTACTTAATTGTACTTGTTAGAGAAAGAATTCTCTCGGTCTAACAAATTAATTTCTGAGTTTTTTTTTTGCAAATTTTAATTTAAATTGGTTATAAAAATGAAATTGTAGCATGGACTTCCCCAAAACCGGTAGACACCGAGGTATTCACTTCGCCTGACCCGTGGGCCACTCGCCAGAGTAATATTTCCAACACTACCACAGAAGGATGGGCGGATTTTAGTTTGGCAGCATTTGACCTTAATACAATTAAAGGTAACGATGGTCAGCAACGGTCTACAGATTCAACAGTACCCCAAGTAGAGTCAGAATCCGCTCAGACCGAGAAAAGTTTACCTCAAGATAAATTGTCATTCTTAGAAGAGGGCACGAAAAGCGCAGCGGGCGACCAAGAGCAATTATCCAATAAAGGTGGCGAACCGAGCGTGGTGGAGCCGTCCAGGTAATAAAAATTTATTGATGTTATTGAGAAACTACATAAATTCGTTTGAAAATTGGAGTTATTAAAGTATCCAAGTGTCTCATATATTGTAAGTTGGATTTTGCGGCACTTGCATTTAACATTTCATATACAAGGTCAAACCGACGTAGACTATTTAAATTACATCGGTTAGGATTTGATACCCCTTTACACTTTAGAGCTGGGAAATACACTTATTGGGCGCACATCATGGTCTCTTCGGAAGAGATAACGGCCACAAGATGGCTGAGTGACCCTGGAGATATCTAGTTCACTAAAATTTAATCCTAATATTGAAAAATGACCCAAAAAATATATGTTTTAAAGTTTAGAAATTAATCATGTAGTTCCATGCAGATAAATACTCTAACTATAACTTGTTCTTGAGTCCAGCATGGAGTTATTCTTTTTTTTTCTTTGCTTTCTGCAGTATCACTGCCAGTTAAATCAATAAGTGATTGCCCCCTGTGACTGTCTAGTATTAAGCCTGACAGAGATTTCGAAAAGTATCTTCCGCATCCTTGATCCAGTAATAACATAGCTGCTGCAACATTTCATTTTCCCCTTTTATCTCCTCAAAAAGAAAGGTAATATATCCACAGACTGGCTAAAATCTGTATTTATGCCAATACCGAAAAAGCCAAATGAAAAAAAATGTTCGGATCATAGGCTCATTATTTTAATGAGGCATGTGCTTAAGCTGCTTCTACACATTCTACAAAAAATAATTAGTAACAAATGCGAGCAAGCTATGAGTTTGGAGCAATTTGGTTTCACAAGATGTATGGGAACTTTTTACCATGGAAACGCTTCTGGAAAGGTGAGAAAGCCTGTTTACTTGTGCTGTATTGATTTTGAGAAAGCCTTCGACCGCATTCAGTACAATAAACTGATGTCAATCCTACAGAACATTGAACTAAGATCACAAAGACATTAGGCTGATGTCGTATCTGTACTGGAACCAAACAACTACCATTATAGTGAACGGCAGTGAAACGAACCTCATTGAGCATGGCGTGAGACAGGGTTGCATACTTTCCCCCACCCTCTTCAACGTTTTTTCTGAAGTGGTCAAAAAGGAATTGTAATTGGAGGAGAAACAGTTAATAATATAGCATATGCCGACGATACCGTAATTATAGCAGAAAATCTCGTAGACCTGCAAAACTTAGTAAACAGAGTCAATGAAGCTTGTAAGAACTGGGGGCTATATATCAACATAAATAAAACTAAATATATGATTGTGAGTAAAGTAGATGTTGACCAGACCCTATTACTTTTAAACGGAGAACCCTTGGAGAGAGAGACAAAGTTGAAATGTCTCTCTGCTGCTGGATATTTTTAATGGAAAAAAAGGGGGCAAAAGTGGATTAGGCGTAAGAGGCTTTCACGGCTAAGAAACCTAAGACAATGGACAGGCCTTAATGCAGATGAGTTACTCCATGTAGCACAAGATCAGGATCGTGAACATGGCAGTCGTCAACGTTCAATAGGGACATGACACTTGAAGAAAATATACTTTTAAAAACAACAAATATTTATGTAATGCATTTCTTTCACTTAATAATATATCTAGGAAATGCCTATTTTAAAATTTATAAGGACTAGCGTTAAGGAAAAATTGTCTACTTTATATTTCCTTGTTTAATATATTTGATGAGTTATTCGATAAAAACAGTCTTGAACCATGGCAAATATTTTTTAATTCAATGTGCCCGCTAGAGCTTTCTGCATTTCTGAAATCCCACATGTTATCCTTATTTTACATTTGCAATAAATCACGTTTTGATTTAGTACTGTAGATGGCGAAAGCTGCAAACTACCAACAGCTTCGGAAAATGGAGACGCTCCAGTTGTTCCAGATAAGGACGCGTCAACTCAGAAGACAGTGTAAAAATCGCGAAACTCGATTCCGAACATATCATTCAGTCCCAAAGGTTACGGAAGGATCGAGACCTTTACCTCTTTGCAAATATATTACGTAACAGTATTTTGTGTCCGATTTCCGACAAAAAGTGTACAGAGAAGAGTAAACGAATCCGGAACAATAACCGCTGCCTTTTTTATAATGTAATTAACACGTGGATTTATAAACCATTTTTTTTTATTAAGAACCTGCGCACATTTTTTATTTCTTTTGTTTTCGTGTCGGAGATTGTCATAGTGTTGCTAAGACCATCAGAGTGCGAAGAGTATATTCTCTCATGGTGCGGCGTTGCAATTTAGAATTGTCCTACCAAGATTTCAATATTTAACAGGCTTTTGATATGTTTCGTTCAGTAATTTATTTTTTTTTCTGTGTTGTTGATACCTAGTTACATTGTAAATTTTACGAGTTATTTATAATGTTATATTAAAATAAATATAAATTAGTTAATAATGATTATCACGTTTTATTGATATCCATTAAGAAAAAAATCAAAATCTGTCTACACTTTTATTCCAGCTAGAGCACATTACCAGTTTACAGCCGAAAATAAATCAAATTTGCTGCTCCCTTGACCAGCCTCTGCTAAGACCATATATTTACATAAAAAATTTCCACAAAGTTGAATTTTTAAGCATTGGTCTGCATAACTTTGTAACATAACTAAGAGATAAAGTTCGATTCTTTGGTGATTGGAAGTGGCTTCCCGCCAATAGTTATAGAAGGCCCAACATAATAACGGACAAGAAGGCTAGAACCTCGTTTCAGTTGATTTTTCTTTGATAAGTCCAACCAGCACTGAACCCAGGAATTATAGTGCGGCATATATGCAGGTGACCCAATTGCTAGTCCAGAGTTTGTAACTGCCATACAATTAGATACCACTTGGAATGGATACATGATAGCAGAAGACAAGAACTGAAAACCATGATTAATTAGCAAAATTAAAATTAGATTGACGTTTTCTATACATTCATAGTTGCTCCAGTATACACTTTCAATTCCCTTTCCTCAATGAAGTATCTATTTATCGTATAGGTTAAACTTCCGGCCAATATCAAAGCTAATACATCCCCAAGCATTCTCGGGACCAAACCACTGAAGAAACCCAAAATACCATTGTCATGATAAATTTCTCGAATTGATGTGAAAAGGCCGCAATATTTTGTCTCCTTTCCAACAAACTGGGCCATCATTCTCACTGTTATAACGTGAAAAGGCTGACTAACAATAACCGTCAGACTGTGTGTTATTAAGTCACTTTTCATTGATTTTATCCATTTCTTTTTACTAAAAATATCAACAAATTGCAACTCAATCTATTCGTGAAAAATCTGCAATAGTACACCTCTGTTCTTCTGTCTCCTCTTCAAGTTCCTCTTCTTCATCACCCAAATTCAAAAACTCTGCGCATTTATGAGCAGCTATTGTACTAAGGAGATTGCCACAAAGCTTAGGCGCAAGGCCTGTATATAGTCCGACAAATCCATCAACGGATTTAATATGTTTGACTGCAAAAGCAGTAGGAAAATCACTTGTACTATTTTTACTTTTCTATAACTTACCATATTGGAATATGTTTGGCAATTTTAAAGCCGGTTTACCAAAAAATGTCTTTGCCGGCCTGGGTGGGATAGGTTCATACCCAATCTAATAACCGAACGAATTGATTAAATCTAAAATTGTTAGAATGGGGAATCTAACCTGTATAAGAACTTTCGCGTACTCAAATGGGTGAGACGCACTGTTTACTATAATTCTAAACGCGAAATTTGACCATTTATTTTCCTGCTTTTTCGACATCTCAGCAATTTCCTGTACTTTCGACATCTTTCAAAAACCCAGACAACTTTTCAAAAACTAATATCTCCCGGCACCCTAAAAATCAATTTATACAATATATATCTCTTAACCATGATTCTACGGTATTTTATTTATCTATCACTTAGAAACCGAAACGGTAAGTTGTACAAGATATCCAATAAAAAACTGTTAATTATAAAAATAAACACCACCTTTATTTATATTTTCACAATAAATTAGACAATATCATAGACGACGTCCAAGATTGTTGATGGGGTGAAGGTGGTGGCAGGACTGTTGATATGGTTTTGATTAGGAGAGACTCTCGTTTACAAAATTCAACCTCAAAATTGTCAAAAATGTTTGAGACAAGTTTTTGGACTATTATCCAACCATACAAGGATGAAAAAAACTATAACATTAGGCAGCATGCACTTGCGCGGTTGTGTTAAATCTCCTATTTAACCAATAATTCCTGTCTTTTCAAACCAACCAGTAAGAACTAGCGACGTCTAACAAGCAACATGGCTGCTGACAGTTCGTCTGCTCCTCAATTCGACAGGTTGCAGTTTAGATGTAGTAGATCTCGTTTAATGTTGTGGCAAAAGAAGTTAAGTGTGTGTAGATCGCTGTTTAGGCAGAAAATTGGGCAAAGTGCAGGTTAGTTTTTGAAATTCATTATCTAACAGGCATATCGTAGAAAAGTCAAGGAAACGTCAATGCATTAAGTAAATTTCTTTCCTATTGAAATTACGATTTGGGTTAACTTAATTGGGTTTAATTTCAGTTTACACTGTTTTGCCTTGAAATTGAAGAAAAACACAAAGTGCCATTATTTAATGTTCAAAGTTAGGGTAATATCATTTTTTCATTCGATGGGTGGAAGAATATACAGTATGTCTTATTTAAAAAAGAACATTTGTTAAATAGTTAGCAAATTTGTGGGATTTTGCGTATAATTTGTCAGACTCTACAAAACCAAAATTGGTCAATTGTAGGTTATTTCTACTGTTTTTTAAAAATTTATCATTGAAAACAATGAAAAATACAATTTCAAAAATAGGATTTTATTAAAAAAACATAAAAATACATTTTTTTTCTTATTGCCAGAAAAGAAAAAGCTCAAAAGTTTCAATTATTGTGTTGTTTCCATTGAAACACTGACAATGAGATTTAAAATATTGAAAATTTGCTTACATAAATAAGTATATTTAACTATAATAAATATATTTAACAATTCTCGTTGCGTTTATCTTCTTCGATAGTAGTAATTTATTAACCAAAGATCCACAGAGACACAATAAAAATTGTTACAATACTTCTGCAAATAAGTCTATACAAAAATGTATAAATAAAAATGCTTATTTCATTTATGACTGGAGTACAAACCTACATAACTTTGGTGTGCTTTGGTTGAAAATGTTGCAGTTTTAAACACTCAGTAAATTAATTTTTTTAGGTATGTATCAAAAAAATAAATATCTTATGCAACTATAGCAAAGCGCAACACTATGAATAACCTATCATCTTTTCGGTTCTTACTAGTCTTAAATTAATTTGCTATTTGCAAAATTATAAAAAAAAGGCTAGCAATGTTTTTGATAAACCTTATTTTCCTGGGAATGCTAAAGTAACGTGTTTATTGAACGTCTGATCCTTTTTGCAAAAGGATGCTAAGAGTTTGACGGTTAAACTCAAGTATTACTTAGATGACCTGATGCTTATTTTTCACACTTATCAATAAACATATCAATCTGAGCTCGTTAAGTCATGTACATGTTGATGATATCTTCTATTGCGGATTTCGATCCAAATACCAAAGCTAATAGTCCAGTCACAACAACCACTATATTCTTCAAAATCTTCCAGTTATATTTTCCAAATCCTTTGTCCCAAAATGTTAGAACTTCTATGCCAACTGGCACGAGCAGACCTAAGATCGAGAAGCAGAAGGCGCCAATGAGAGACACAAATGGAACAATAGTCGGTACAGCAATTGCCAGGGATACGCAAACTATGACCATGATCGTTCTCAAGACATACTGTGCCAAGGTTTTGTGTTTGACGAATCTGTCTTTAATTCCATTCCACGCTATATCCAGGCAAACGTAAAATTGAAGTCCAAATGTACAAAACACAGCAATGGCAATCAGGATGTTGACTGCTTGCGCGGCACTAAAAAAACAACAAATTCTTAGCCAAAATGACAAATTAAAAAGCACAAAATAGAGAAATATAGTATATAAATATAAATAAATTGTTAGTCGATCAAAACAGACAGGAGGTTGAAACTGAAAAATTAAAAGAATTTTAAATTAGTAGTGTTTATGAACTTGAGGAATTAGAACGTGATATTGGATTGAACCTTGAAGCAACTCATTAAGTATTTTTCATATTTATATTTTATACTCTGTAAGGATTAAACTATTTTGACTTAAATATAATTCGTTTTTGAATATCTTATTGAATATATTAATCATCATGCATCTCACAAAGTCTGGGAAGCTTATGTTTTCCTTTCAACACCCTATATCTTATCTTTTCAAGGGCTCGCATTTTGCTGGCACATGTGTATTAACCAGTCTTATTTTTATTTATATATCACCTAGTTTTCAAGCTAATTAAATCCGCAGGCGATACAATAGCAGATTATTTTGTTCAAAACTAGATACTTCAATATATTGTGGGTATTTTGTGATTGGTTCGCAAAGAAAAAATGATGTTACATTTTTACCTTAGTTTAAAAAGTTTGTTGGAATGTTAACAGTTTTACCAGTATTTTATTGTTTAGGTTTAGGGGAATATTTGTAGAAACTTGAAATTTTTATTTGAAACGTAAATGGACCGTTTTAAATTTGATTAAGCATTGATGCTGCGGGGTATTTTCGAAAAGAAGGAGCGTTTATTTTAACATCAGGTGATATGTATCGTTCTTAAGGGTTTACTCTAAATTACAATATGTTCGTATGTATTACGGCGGTATTTGACTGTGATCTTTGCAGTAAGTACGTATTTATATATATTGACCCTGCAAGGCTGTTATCACTAGATAGTTCAAAGGGTAAGGGTAAGTACGTGCACTCAATGTATCTTAGAGGTAAGTTTGAAAATAATCATTTTTGTCTTGTGTGCCTGTCGATTAACAACATTCTTTTTGTTTTTTTATTGCGTCTTCTACATAGTTCTTCGATTTGTAAACAACAACAGTCTTTTTTAAGACTATAGATTATATTCGCGGTAGATAAAGGTACGTCATACTTCAACACACGTCAACTTGAAGAAGACATTAAAAACAACGCAGAATTTAAAGACGAAGTGGAGAAGTTAGTCGAACCTAATGACAATTTAGAAGACAAACTACCTCAGCAAATAAAAACACTTATCCATTTGTCTTCGTATGCAAAACAAATTGTTTTGAATGTTTACAATTTTATAAGAAATTCAAAAGTGGAATAGGAGTAGCAATAAAAACAAGTGACACGACCAAAGTTCCGAAGTTAACTGTAAGAAAAATTGTTACAAATGGGACAGTCAAGAGGAAAGTGAGAAAAGATGCTGGTACTTTGCGAGTTTTTAAAGAACAACGCGCAGATCTAATTAGGCGTATATTCTACGACGCTTATAAAGTGAATAGTGTTTTAACCCCAAAAGAACTTCATAAAAAAGTATCGACAGACTTAAACATTACTTGTGCCAAAGGGTCGTATTTTTTGAAGAAAATGGATTTTCAGTTCCAAACAATTAATAAAGGTCAAGTGCTAATTAATGGAATCTCAAAGAATTGATCACAGTAGCGATAGTCACGATTTTTTAAGTGACTGATACTTTATTATTATTATATTTAATATTTTGTGTATTAATAATGACACTATGTAGAAATTTAATGAAATAGAACGTAATAAATTGTTACTTTGTACTATCCCTTCCTTATACCCCGCTTGTTGGTGTAGGTAGATAAATTCCTAGAACGGTCTGCTCGGCAGGGTGTTATATAAGGCGCTGGGGTTTTGGAGTAATAAACAGGCAAAGTTAATCACGGGGTAGGTTGTAAAAGCACTATATTTCTGGTCCAATTATAGCTGTTTCAAAAGCTTTCGGAAATGTGAAGTCACTTACTATTCTTCCTGAGGTAGATTAAGCGTAATCGAGCCCATCGTCTTTTCACCGTATTTTAAATACCCGAAAAATCCCAGTAGAATGTACACCAAAGTGACTCCAGCCATTCCCTGATTCAAAACGCCGCACAACCCAGTAAAGTGTTGCGGTGTCTGCATATGATTTTCCAGCGGCATAACCTGGAAAACGTAAGGACAGTTTTAAATAACATATTGACAAGTTTGGAAGGCTTGCTTCACGTCACATTAATTAGTTGCGGAAAGTGAGATTTATCAAACAGAACTTTATTGTATCTTTGGATGCAAATGTAACAGCACAAATACTGCAACATTAAACTGCTTGCATCGTAAAAAACGCTTAAGAACCATGGTTTATTGTAGTACTTACCACTCCAATAGCTTCTATGGCAAAAATGGTAATACTGAAAAACACAGGGAAAGTTGTGATGCTGGCCACCAGGGGTCTTTCCGACACGGCAGGCATGTCTATAACCAAGTAATAAAAGGTAATGCCCAAACCAATTGCCATGCAAATATTGGCAACCATGGACACAGGCGCCAAGTATTTTAGATTAGGAACGTAGGCCAGCAGGATTAAAGGCACTAACAGTACCGCAATGGTGAGCCTTATGTTAATTTCGTAGGGTACCACCAAAACTTCATTTTCGGTACCATTTAAGGTGGCATTGGTAACCTCCACTGCGGGTTTGAGGTAGTGTTCGAGCACGTAGTTTATATTTTTGGCAACTATCACCGAATAGCAACTGCACGTCGCAAAGTAAGTGGCGAAAATTCCAATAAGGACCGTTTGTCTGCAAAATAAATACATTTGTAGAAAAATTTAACCACGGAATATAAGTGTAATACCTGGCCGGTTCTCCGAACTTTCTAGCCCATTTGGGTCCCCTCAGGCAGGCTTGTTCGGCGACTTCGGCGAAACCCATCTGAGTTTTACCAACTCGCCTATATAATTCGTGAGCGCACACCACGAGAATGTAGGCACAATGGGTGCAAATAACTGAAACGAGTATTGTAGAAAATATACCTAAGGCTAACCCTGAAGCTTGAAAGGCGGCCGGCATGGACAGAATTCCTGTTCCCAGGGAGGCTTTCAGTAAATGCGTGAGCGTGTCGCAGTCTCTGAAAGAGTCGTTCAAAAATTATTGAAAAAGAAAAGTTTTATCGTGATCTACTAGCTTAAATTAACTCAGTCCAGAGTTGGGATTTAAGTGATAGCGCCACCGCTATTTTACAAATAGGACGAGTCCATTCAATACTTACTTACAGTGTTTCCCAATTCATTTTAGTTTATGAAATGCTATTTAATCGATCATTATTTAAATTGACAAGTTAGTAGGTATTTTTCAAGAGTAGTACTACAAAGTAGCCAACTTTGTTTATAAAGAAAAGTTGCCATCTATTAAAAACTATGCGTACCGTGTTAAAAAGTTAAACGAATAACTATTTACAATCAGCATTCTGCTGTTTGCTTAGTTGGAAAAAAGGTTGGGAATATTAGCAGCAGTTGTTTTTTCACTCTTTTAAAAATAAAAACACTTGTTCTGACAACTAGATGTCAGTTTTAAACTAAAAGTTTGTATGTCGGCGAAAGTGCTGTTTTCGAAAAAAACGAAAATATTTCAAAAAAATTGTGTTGGAAATTGTGATTCATTCATATCATTTAGTGATCGTAATGTATGGTATGGACAAGGGAAACAGAAGAAGAATGTTCTGATCCGTTAAAAAGTATTAATGAGTTAAGTTATAAATTCAAAAGCGAGGTTTTTTTTTAGTTCACAAAAAACATGAAGTCCAAACCAGTCCGTATCGGGAATAACGACTAATAAACACAACGGTTGAACGCAATACTGAGAGTAATTCGAGTACTATAAGTCAAAACCCCATTTCCTCCTCCGGCGTCTAAATAAACGGTGCGGCATTTATATTTAGATTAGGCTGCTATTGATGTCAAACGTATAAAAGGCAAACTTACGAGACAGGGTGTTCCAATTCCCTGGCCTTGAACGGATCGAAATCGACAACGGCAGCTTCGAAATCGTCTTTCGTTACTTTGTACCTGAAACGAAATCGCGACGTTCCATTAAAAATAGAAGTATATTTTCTGTTTTGCAAATGATTTGATTTGTCATGGATTTACGCAATCTTAGGCAAATAATACCATGGCCGTAGCAGCTAACCAAAGTTAATGCCTATAAAATTGCTATATGAAATATGGTTTATGGAAATTTGTTCTGCAAACAAATTCAAGCAAATTTGGAGAGGACTTTAGACAAGCACTCTTTTCTTATCATCAGTATTTATGAAAGTAAGGGCGAATTAAATATTCTAGATGACCAAGTCACCTTACTTGTTGCAAGTATATTGCTGCAATTCTCTAGTATGCTAGGTAGGTGTAAAGAATAAAATTTTTACATCAAAAGCTATTATTAGGTTAATTGTCATTTAATGTTTTTTGAGTGATAGTGATAGTTAATGGTAAAGCCATCAACGCACTGTATCGCGAATGATCCCAAACAAACAATTTTCTAAAGCAATATCTACATTAACCCATATAACGCAAATTTTACTTCCGAAGTAAAATAATATTCGTCCCATTGAATTGTAAAATCACATTACATGGCTCAGGAAAGAGGGCTCGTCTAAGGCCAGCTTCAGTATCGGGGTTAGTTTTGTAGCTTGAGATTATCGATGTATCTATTAGTATTAAATAGCCAATTTAACCATGGAATAATGTAGTGTAAAGTAACCTCTAGCATAATTCAGCATAATTCAGAACAATCATAAAAGTACTTGAAAAGAGGTGATACTTGCTTACTGTTACCAACCCTTAAAAAAGCGGTTCAGAAGAAAACTGGTATTTATTTAGTAATTCCACCATCCGGCAAATTTTTAGAGACCCAAATAGAATTCATCACTTATTAATATTTGACTTATTTACAAGCGTATAGGCAAAACTCAAAAATGATATATATCATTTTTCTTCTGAACGTCCTAAAAAATGATTTATGGTAATTTTATGAAAAAAAGGCATGCCCACATGGACCTTTAAATGCGCGTCATTTTGAGAATGTCAATGCGACTCAACGATTTGTTTTTCGAAATTATGGCGTGCGGCATTTTGCCGAATGTAAAAAACTGACACCTCAAAATGATTCAGCCCATTCGGTGAAAAAAAAAAGATTAGAGCCGACAAAAAAAATGATACTTGCTTACTGTCTTTTACTACCAGTAAATAATTATTGTTGGCAATTTTTGTTAGATTTTTAGCGTATGAACACGAATTGTATCCTTTTCTACAAACAAAAACATCCTGTAGACATTGATGAGGTAAAAAAAAAACAGGGCAAAACTCCCTACTCTAAAATACCCAATTTTAACCATAGTATTTTGACGACCACTTTACACGTCACTCAGTGCTTGTATTGGTGCTGTTTTGTGCAAAACTAATGGTCGTAGAAAAAGCAGCACACGGAATTTAAAAATTAATGTATAATTGGGTTTTTTACAGAAGGGAGTGGAAAAAGTAAGACAAATGCTTTAATACGTGCTGGAGATCTTGGACTAAAATAAAAAACCTTTAAGCGCGGCTCAAAGAAGAACCACGACTCCGGGTAGGTATAAGAAAAGTGTGGATGAAATACAAATAATAAATATAATAATAAATTGTATATTTGATAAGAAGCGCTAAATTGTGTGTTTTAAAAGAAAAAAAATCATGTCGGGTGCTGAGATATCAGAGTGGAAATATTAAAAAAATAACAATAGGTTTGATCTTGTTCCAAGCTCATTAAAAAAATGACCCGGTTTTACCCAAATCTTTTTCTATTTCTGTAAAGCAGGAAAAGTGGTGGAAAGAGATGAAAGAAAAATTATATATAGTAACAGTTTTCCCGTGCTTATTTATCGGCAAAAGTAATAATACTCCACGGTCAATAGAACTTTACGCAATACTGTAAGTATTTTAGATCGATAGGACAAAATTAAAAATCTAGGCGACCTAATTTTCAGGAAATTCTTAGAACCCGTTGAATTTTTTAATGCTTTTATGCAACGAAGCTTTCTGAATTTAAATTAAACATCCATATAAACTCCATCATTGCAGCTGACGTCGGTCTATAAGAAAGTTCAAGATGGGCAAATTTTGTAAAGTACCTTAGGCATCCTTTGTAATAAAATAGATCCAAACTTTCTAAAAATAATGGTAGCTGGAAATGTATCGTTATCAAAACGTCAAATATAAGCTTGTCCATAAATATTAGTGGTGATTAAACATCCGGAAAAATGTTTGGGAACCGCCACATCGTTTAAAGGACGGTTCAGATAACGTTTTGTTTAGTTAATAATAATGGCCCGTTAAAAACATATTAGAATTTAAATTATAGCTACTGGTATAGATATCATTTAAGAACCTGGTAAATACAAACGGAATTTACTTACTCCACGGTTTCTTTATCGTCGCGAATGCTTGAGGGAATAAAGGGATTAGTAGTGATAAGATTTGTGGATTTATTTATCATAACAAATGGTCTTACTTTGTGACGCCGTTAATTCCTGAATTGTCCTTCGGCAAGAACGTTTCCAATTCTGTAGTTGTGCCATTTTCAGATTTGGGTTTTTCAGCCTGAAAAAAAAAAGATTGATGTAATAATATGTTTATTCCCGCTGTAAGACTTTGTCAAAATAGGAAGTTTATTTAAATTAAGGTAAAATCGATACGATACGATACGTACCACCACATACGGATACTACTAAATCTTCGTGACAAGACAGAACAAGTAACATAGAATATGTATAAGAGTAAAAAAGAAACGGGTGTAAAATATGCTCAGAACAGAATAAGTTATTTGTGTATGTTTTATTATTTTTTGTCGGATACATTACTGCAAAAAATTAAGCTTCTTTAAAAGTCTTCAATCATTGAAGTATGGCGTTAAAAAAGTAATTCAATAATAACTATTTTCTCGTATTAAATTGTTTGATATTAGGCCGAAAGTTTATTATAAGCATGTAGTTGGCAGAAAACTATATAAAACCATAGAAGGCCAAAAAATATATCTAGAAACTCATTTTTTATATACTCTCGGTGCTTTATTACATTGTTCTTTTGAGTTTCGGTTATAGTGAGAAAATATTTTGGATTGTTGGTATATTCAGACTCACAATTTCAGTTTAGTTTAGGTTACAATTAGAAAATTTTTGATACAATTTTAAGTTTCATTCGGATGTTAATGGAAAACAAGATATTACTTCCACTTATTGCACGCAGGCTAATGCGCGATTTCTTTTAATATTATATTACATAAATTTGATAAACGTTATTTTAATAAAGAGCTTATAATATAAATATAACAAATAAATAAAATAAGTTATAAACGAGTTACTGAAAAAGTTTATCAAGTGTTGCATATTTACTTTTTCTACGACTATTAGTTTTGGAGCACTTTTTTGCAAAACAACACGAATACATTATTTGGTGATTTACGTGTAACGTGGCCATTAGGACTGACAGACGTCAAAATACCAGTGGCAAAAATCTACAGAAAACATCCGATCGCTCGTAAACCCTACAGTACCGGAAATGTCGGAAATTGCTAGTAAGGGCAGACTAAAGAGGCATAATCGTTTATGTACTCTAGGACCCTAGGGGGACGTTACGAAGTTACTGAAAAACCACCAAAAGGCATTTTCACCTTTTTAACCCGTTCATAACAAAATTAAACTAAACAAAACATCGATTTAGCATGTAAAAAATGTTCCCATGTAAGCATTTTCACCTTCCTTCTCATCTTCCAGTGACGGAATAACAATAACAAATCAATGAATAAATTTCTAAGTCGAATTGTGACTTAATTTTTTTTAAGCAATGGATTGCTTTTGGCGAAGACTTACCATTTTAACAGTATGCACTACTTGACGCTGCTATTATTTTTTTCTACAGTCGTCTTTGAATCATGTACCCTGTAACAGAAAAACAATTGTTATTAATGTTTTTTTTAGGATCATAAATTTGAAATCATTTCCATTTTCGTTTTTATTACGCTAAAATAAAACGAAATAATTTTCAGTATGAATTTTTGTGGCTTCGATGAACACTACGTGGGCGCTTTATTGTTTTTTTTTTCGTTAAAAATAGACCAGATCGATTTGATTACGGCTTAGACGTCGCATTATATGTAATATCCATTTACCCATTCACTGGGTTAAATCGAACACAACATAAATGAACTTACTAAAATGACAATTGTTAAGCTGATGGAGAAGACTACCACTATTAGTACTCGGTTATGTTAATGCACGCACAGGCTGTTTATCTGATTGCTTATTTGTTTACTACCACCACTGTTGCGCTTCTGCTGTAAATAACTCTTCGCTGGGTGTTAGCTATCTGGAGACCTAGAGATTAGGTCAAGGACAAAAAATGATAAATACTCAAACTGATATGAAAATCGATTTATGTATTTCCACGACGAACTTATTTATCGACTTCAATTATGGGAGGTATAACTGTAAGAGGGCAACAGAGGCAATTGGAAGATTGTATGGATGTATTTATTTCTAGCGCACTTGGAAAGGAACTTGCAAATCAAATAGCAAAGCGGTTTCACAACAGGATGATCCTTTGTCGGCGACATCTATACCATAGAGAAAATGCGAGTACGGAACAAAGAAACACGTCTTGTTTTGATTCACTTGAAAACAATTCTCCTCCTGAAGCTATTTGATATTTTAGACCAAAGTCAAATATGTGGAAAGTATCTTGCCGCCATAAAGTCGCTCTTTTGAAGCCTCGAAACGAGAATCAAGATGGGCTGAAGGCTATCGAGAATAGTTTAACCGATGAAAAGGTGCGCCAACATATGAAATATTAAATATGAAATATTGGCAGTTTTCTGCACAGCCTTCTATTAGCCGATTAGCAAATCCTCTTCACGAGTGACTCATATGACATGCGGCAAATATATAAGGCCGGTTTTAAAGCCAAATATCTGTAAGTGGAGTATTCCCGGTGCAATTTAAATGTTGATCGACAAGTAGTCGAAGCCTTCATGAAAATACCTTTTTAAGAATCGAAGACATTAATCAAGCAAATGAGGCCATCAGTAAATTGAATCCCTTATCGTGGTCACATGATGTATAAAAATAGACAAACAAAACTTGGACAAAGACTGGAAGTGACAGAGATGGATTTTCGTAGTAGAAGTTGTAGAAGAGTATCACGGGTACACAGAATAAGAAATAACGAAAAAAAACTGCAGAATGAATATGAACTGTTGGCAAAAAAAGTAAATTTGCAACCAGGAGACCTCCAGAGGAATGGATAAAGCAGGTTCGGAAGTATATATCGAGAAGAGGAATGGAAGAACAAGAGAGGCGTGAAAAAGAGGATGCGCAGAGCTCGCTTATACGGGTCACGAAAAATATCATTCGGTTATAGTGTGTTGTAAGTATGACACAGTTACACCGAGATTGTTGGAATCTAAAAGAGTGACACCTCCTCTGTATGGGAGGGAAAGGAAAATCGGAAGGAGAAAAATGGTAGTATATTCAACCAAAGAAAAGGTCATAATTATCGAGTGATATTTCTCGGATAGTTCGCCCCGAAAAATTATTGGCAGATATGGATTTTTTTTTACGAATATTTAAAAATTTTGAAAAGCATGGTTGTTTACTTAATTGTAGAAAATGCAGGAAATTTTATCATCAAATCATGAAAAACGCATGATATTCTGTGAAGAAATGATTCAATGAGTTAACGAAAATGGAGGTGTTTTAGTGAATATGTTATTCAGCGATGAATTCTCATTTTCGTTACATGGTCGTCATAATCTGTCAGTGGCTGTTCGGTATTCAAAAGAGAACCAACACATGTCCAGTCCCCAGTATCTGGAAAGATCAACGTATGGGCTGATATTTTAAGAAACCATAGATGGGAATTTAAATACAAACGAATATTTAGATATTTTGCTTGATCAAATAATTCCATCTGTTCAGGCTCTTAATATCTTCATGAGATTTGGTACCAACAAGATGGTTGCCCCGTACATGATGCCGGGAGAGTTCAGGATTTTCTGTAAGCAACATTTTCTAATCGCATAGAAGTGGAAAGGGAACAATCAAATGGCCACCGAGATCCGCAGATCTAGCAGATTTTTTTCTTTGGGGTTACGTTACTAGCAACTTACGTTACTGCAACTACTTCGCAATAAAATTACTAATGCTATCAGCAGTTACTGCTGAAACACTGGCCAAAGTTCGACAAGAATTTTGTGATAGGTTGGGATATTGTTCAGCTAGAAATGGTAGACTTTTTGAACCTTTTGTAGAACAATTTTTTTTGTTTTAATTTTATTTTTAGAACTCCTTTTTGTATTTTTCATGTCGGGTGGTCAGGTACGATTTTATTAAACATATTCTGTTTTTTTTTTTTTTCGTTTTTATTTTAGTCCAAACGAAAAAGCATACGAAAACAAAAAACAGTAAATAAGTATATTTCTTTAAGCACTGCAAAGAGATACCACATTGCGCGAAAGAAACCCTTGGTAAGAATTAAATTTTAATAAAAACTTATCAATGACTGAAACGGCATCAAATGGACTGCCCACAGTCGGAGGAGTCTTATAGTACTGGAACTGAGGAGTCGTTTGACCATATAGCAAAATATTTTGCATCTTACTTCGATGCTTTTAAAAACTCCGTTTAACTTTGTCACACTGACGATAACCCTATCACCGAATAATAGTTTTCGTAACCACACGGGAATTCACTAAGGTATGGTCTGTTCATAGATATAAGAAAGTGAAGCTTTTGAATGGGATTATCCAAGGGTGGTCATTAACATACAGTGCAACAAGATTATTACTTAAAGTTTCGGAATTTAAATTCAGTTAAAATTGTGGTCCATAATAGAAAATAATTTTATACCTATCTGTTTAATATTTTTTGGTTTGCTATACTACTTAGTTTAAGTTTATTAGTAATCATTCTTAGTTCGCGTGTAATACAGCATGTGTTAAATCGTGTGCGAATTATGCAAAATATGTGCGAGTCTAGTGTATCTCAGGAGATGCTCCCTCCCAAATGTAGAAAACACTATTCTATTGAGACTAAGGAAGTTATAGACAGTATTTACTTGACTCTCATTGAACGTGGTGCCAGCAAGCAAGCACCTTTAGAAGAAACGGCCACATTGACGAAAATTCCAACGTCAACTGTATGGAAAATTGTGAATAATCCCATTTCAGCGAGGAAAAAAAAAGAAGCGATGCTGACATTTAAGCAGGTAATAAAAATAATTTGTAATTTTATTTTAGATTTAAACATGAACACATACCTAACAAATCCCCAAATAATGAAATTCTAAGCAAAGTACGGACCTGTTCGGCCATATTTCATTCTTACAGCTTGCCCGGGTCTTTCCTTAATTCGTATCAGTTAGTCACTTTCTTATATCTATGAACAGACTTTACCTTATACATTCGATAATATCTGTAACGTGCAAAATATATTTTTTTCCCTAATAGAAAAATAAAAAAAAAGATATTTGTGTACGTAACAATAAATGAGCATCGGAAGGTTGAACTGAGGTCAAAACATTGTTACAAGGCCGACGAAAAACGATGTTGTCTAAGCTTTTAACACAGTTATCCTATTGTACTATTTGCGTTAATACACAATGCACAATAAGCTTCTTAATAAAAAGCAAGTTTGTCAATATTTGCCCAAGTAGTATAGTTATCGCATACCTAATTCTTCATCCAATTTTAATGCAAAAATTCAGAATACCCACGGATCTTTCCAAGCGGAAGAACAACTGATCACTATCGGAATTTGTATATAAATCCGCTATTTTATCGCAAATCTAATTCCAGCAAAATAGGCGAAAGAAAAGTTAGAAGAAACGCCAAATTTATTTTCCAAGGTCGAGGTTGCAAATAAAATACGCAGTACACGAATTGTTAATGCGTAAAACGAATAAAAACTCGTTATTATGTTACTTCCTTATTAAATAGGGTTGATATAACTGACACGCAAAGAAGTTTTTCGATATTTTTATCAGGCATGTTGTTTATAATGAAAACGTTATGCTTTTGAATGTTGTGTTCTTATCAAATACTTTACTGGGCATCCTATCAGACATTTTGCGATGACAAAAATAATGCCATTAAAATTTTATAAACGACGGCCTTTCCTATCTTTTTCGAAGGTGTACATAAAATTTGCCATTTATTTTATTTAAAATTATACGTATTTTATTAAAGATGTGATCGGTGACCTTGTTTTCAGATTTTATCAAGAGGTTATTTTAATTTTCTCGACAAACGGTCACATTTTTATACGAATACGAAAGTATTCTACATTTTCTGTTAAAATAGTCCTTCTCTTACATCTTTGGAAAATCTTTTAAATGGGACAATCCAAGAGTTTTAAAATACTCTATTTTTATTATATATATTTCAATTGCCATTAGTTCTAGATTTCAATCGAAATGTTTACTCTTGTATACTTGAATAATTCAGTATCTCAGTACTGTCAGTACTTTATAAGTTATGTTTTTAAGTCAAGTTTAATATATATATATATATATATATATATATATATATATATATATATATATATATATATATATATATATATATATATATATATATATATATATATATATATATATATATATATATATATATATATATATATATATATATATATATATATATATATATATATATATATATATATATATTGGCTCGCAGTTGTGCGGATTTGATTACTATAAATTAGGGTTACTTAACCCTTAAGTGTTATTATTCCTTCATAATTCTAAAATTTTGGTATCGTTTACCGATTCCGCTTCTCAAATGCAGCAACAAAGCGTAGTAATTTGTAGGAAAATTGGAAGACGAATTCAAAAATATCATTACTAGGTGTTAAAATAAACCAGTAACCTAATGTTTTATTAA